TACTATGCATGGTCAGAAGAAACTGTTGATCACAGTATGAGCATATTAGCATGAATTTGGAAGTTGGAAGTGACACACATAAGTCATTATGCAACGCCAGCACCACCACTACACGGCAGACCAGACAGAGAAGTGAGTAACTCCTATATCCTCCAAATTAAAGGCAGAACTTTAGGGAAGCCAGACTGTACAAGCCCAGTGTCAAATTAAAAGAAGTAAATGTGATTCAGACCTCCTTCTCTCATGAACAATGTCATGAGATCCTTAATAACCTAGTAGTCACGGCCTCAGTGTAATGTCTGAGCTGAAGAACAGTGCTTTTTACAGCACAGTGTCCTGGGTCACACAAGACTTCTTAGTTCTTTCCAGAATGAAGAGTGCCACCTACTAGTCCACTAATGCCAGCTTTAACAACAACTTTGCTTTCCTAAGGTTCTGCTTAACTTCTGAGATCAGGTTTAAAGGTAGAAATGCTGTTTTCAATATATACAGTACAATCTTATTATGACACTGCAATTCTGGCATTTGGAACGCAGGACATACAGTAAGGGCTGGGCAGTGTCATCATCTCACCATGCAACAGCCACGCCGAGCTGGAAGCTTGAGGTGACATCAGTGATGACTGCGCCATTCTTCCAATCGCTGTGATGGCTGTGGGACTAGTGGCGTACGACAGGCAGGCATCCGTGAGAAGTGGAAGCAAAGATCCTCCTTCTCCCAGCAGCGTTAAACTGGGATGAATCCGCATTTCACACATCCAGATTGACAGAAAACTGAAAAAATGATTTCCAAAATAAAGCGTTGAAATGGTCTATTTTAAGGAAAGACATTGTCCTGCAAGATGTCGTTTTTCATCATGAGAGTGGTGGGGGGGCTCGGTGGGCTCAGCTGTGGTGTGAGGGCACCCCTGGAGCTTGCAGAGCTTCCATCTAAGCCCCATTATCTCAGCCAAATGAAAGGCAGACCCAGTCTGAGGCGCGCCTCACTCTGCTCACGCTGCTCACACGTTCTGCTGCAGCCCCGGCTTCGAGATTAAGTCTGGCCCACCCTGCTGCTCGCTAGATTGCCGGGCACACTCAGGCGACCGCTCCCAGAAATCTTCGGTAAATAAAACGCATCAGCATGTCTCTAACAGGCATGTTTTCGACACCAGACCCCGCTTGCTACTCTCTCCCTTTAACACCTTCCTTTCCCCCAGCAGATCACTCAGGGAAGCTGCTGAGCCAAGCTGTAAGCATTAGCACCAAACGTCGGAAAATTCAAGCCTCCTATAAGTAACAGGGCTGATCTGGCAGTGAGCCTGTTACAGTACATGTACATCACTCTCCATCTTGGAATTCTCCAGCAACAGGAGACCCGGCCTTTTGACGTAGTGGATTTCCCGCCTGTCTGAGGAGATCCCCATGAGTGGTCAATGACCAACTGCGTCAGGAACAGAGTTGCAGTTGTAACATACTGTATGCAACACGTTACTGTGAAACATCCTGATATTGGGTCACTGCAGTGTGAATGTGGCATCCTGACAAAAATCACAGCTCAGGTTGCAAATTTCCTACTGCGATACCAATAACCAAACACATCAAACAACAGACAGCCTTAAAATAACTTCAGTAAGACATTTTAAAACGCAATGTAAGTCTACAACCTGTTTACAATAGTATTTTAATAAAAAGAGATGCTGGACTGCAATCATCACCAACATTACTGTCACCTTGATTCTAATAATTTTGAAAACATCAAAGCAGAACACAGCAGAAGCCTGCAGAGCACTTTTATTTACCTACAGTGTACTTTCATTTATATAGCTGGGATTCCAAGTAATAGATGCAAGTTCTTGTCTTGCCACATTTAAGATCTTTAAACTAATTTTGACCTCAACACTGTCAAGGTTTTGTTTTTTAAAGGTTAAATATTAAAATGTGCATATTTTGATCTTTTAAGCTCACAACAAATCTCTATTGTGTAGCTTTAAATACAAATAAACAGAGTGAAAGGCAAAGGAGGTACAGCCATTGCTTTTACTGTCAAGGACAAAAGCACAGACTCATTTCAATGAGCTCTGCTCTTCTAATCACAAACTCATTCAACACATTCTGCTGCCACACGCTCATTCTTACATCCAAATTACTGAAATACTTACAAAAACATAAAAGTACAGAAACCATTTTATTCATTTTCAACCACATTTATAACTAGATAGGAACTACTGTAAACGTGTGTTAAATATTGTAATAAACACAACAAAGTAATCAGATTTTTTAACATTTACAAGAACTGAAAACCTAAAAAAAAAAACACTGGAAAGAAATATAAGGACCTCCCATGTTTTCCTCAATATTAAGAGCTACGGGAGGCAGATACTGTATACCAGTCGCACTGTACAGTATATATGACTAATTAGCATCTATTAAGGCAGTTTTGTCAATTCATAGGGCTTTCTACCACTGGAGTGGAACTATACAGACAGGTTCCCTACAGCTGAAGGAGGAGTCTGCTTACTGACATCACGCTGGCGATAGTGAAAAAGGCTGGTGGCATCCAGCTCACTGCAGTGCTTGATTGCTTCAGCAAACAGCTTCACAACCTGGAGAGCAGGAGAGGAGAAAGTGAGCCAACCCCATCACTCCATGGGTTTGACGCCCAGGGTGGATGGAAGGGTTTAAAAGTTAGGAAAGGTGTGGCTGTTTGGAAATCTGGAAACAGCCCTTCCATTTTCTCTGTTGATGCACCACATTCAATGTAAAAGATGTCAAATTTAAACACAACATGAACTGCATTTCCTACAACCCAGAGGTGCTAGTTTACTGGAGATCCTTCCCAAATGGGTCAGAACGGGTCACAGCTAAATAAAAAATTCAGCATCACATGTGTGAGAAATAAAAAAGGCCAGAAAGAGGAAAGACCAACCTACACCCCACCCATACTTTGTTACTTTTTGCCTTGATGCAATCATGCTGCTTTAGCGTTTAAGAAATGATCCAAAAGTCTCTTTACATAATATGAGAAAATAAAAGTTCTTAAAATCCAGAGCCGCTGGGCAAGCATGTTATACTGGCTGGTAACTGCAGGTCAGTAAGACCTGTGCTAAGACTTTCTCACCTGGAAGTTGGTGATGAGGGGCACTCCGTGGTCAACAGCCATCCTGCGGATCAGGAAGTTGTCCTTGATAAACCTGGTGCTGCTGTTGGGAAGGTTCACTACCAGATCAATCTCCCCTTCACTGATAAGCCTGAGAGAGAAGAAGTCGGGGGAAAAAAAACATGGAAAGGTCGAACATGCTGATGCCTGAAATCTGCATTGCGAAGGACAGTCTGTATGACAGGCACAGTGGACACTGGATCTATGTTTTGCTGAACACTGAATACTGTATATATTGTTTGGATGAAGCAATTGTTTATACAGTTTTCTCCAGCAATAAAAAGACTGGATCTAAACCCATACTTTGAAGTTCAGTCTTTTGACCCTTAAAAATAAGCGGTTTTTACTTGTGCAAACACACTGCAGCAAATTATTTTGAACTGACTTTTCACTGAGCGCGTGTGGAATAAATTCTCCTTCATGAAAAACACAGCCTCAGTGATATGACCCTTTAGGTCAGTATGGACCACTGGAGCAAATTGCCAGTTTTGAGGTACTGCCCTTGTTTTCCCTGCTGAAAGCCTCCCCAAAGCACGGCACTGAAAGCCTTGCCCTCCAGAATGGACCTTATTCAACAAATAGCCCCACATTTCTGCTCCACCGTGCTTTTCTGCAACAGAAACTTAAATGGCCCTTCATTATGGCAGCTGTCCTCCCCTCTGACAGTGTGATAATTGGCAAGGTGTTCCCAGGTTGGCAGATCTCAGCTGGGCCGAGTCGCACTCTACCCTCATTAGAAGACTATCTGTTCCAGCCGTTCCTCAAGTACACAACACATCCACACTTATTGCCTGCCAGGACCAGCAGCCTTGCATGGTGCCACTACTCAAGGAGGCACTTTGCCCAAGTGCCTGCCGGCAGAGTAGATCTGGCTAACTTCATTAGTCACGTTTCAACCATACATCTACTAAAGGCATTCATTACTATCAATACTTAATTTGTTCATTCATTTGTTTGCCACAGGGGAATCCTAGGGAAGAGGAGCTCTTATCCAAGCAAGGGAACTAGGCCAGGTGTTATCATCCCATACCTGTCATAATGGATATCCAAGGTAAAGACTGCATGTACTGTAAGATCTTCTTGCACACTAAGGTGGGACATGGGAAATTTTCAAACTCATTTTTTTTTCATTCATGTTTATGATTTTAGTTTTCCAATAATGAATGACTGAAGGCAGATTTATGACAAGCGTATCAAGCCGATCTTGTTTTCTGACATTCTGTCCCCAGCAGACTGCCAGCTCTCAGGGTCTCATCTACTCTGCTCAGTGTCTCTACAGGTTGTACAAGTATCCCTCCTCCACGTCTTACAGGGATCACATGAGGAATCTTCTATAAACAACAGACACAAGTTCCCGAGCTTGCAGAAACCTTGTAGCAGTTATCCCATGCTGCAAAGAACATCAGGAGAAAACAGCTGCAGATCAAGATCATCAAAAGTGCTCTCTGTAACAAAAGGAAGGACTGTCAGGTTCTATCTACCATCTACAAGACACCAAAATACTTTTCCCAAAAGGTGTGAGCGTGGAATGGGAACATCTCACAGCTGCATGAAAACAGCCAAGAGGCTTTTGCATGAGTCCTGAACATTGTGCATCATAAGAACTTACATATATGACAAATGACAGAAGGTCATTCTGAATATCTGGGCTGTTTGGCTTCTAGTAGTGAAGTGAGTAGAGAATGTCATCCAGCCACTTCTTGAAGGAAGCCATGTAATTTTCTATAATGTGACTGGATAGTCATACACAAACACCTGAATAGGTGCATTGTAGAATTGTAGTGCATGGTACTACACATGCATGCTACACTGTGCATTAAATGACATCTACTAGGTGTTTGCTCAGCCTTGATGGTTCTAGTAGTTATCTTTTGTTTTTATTAGTGTATTTATGGTGCAGCCAAGAGACATCCCCTGCTGTGATGGAATTAGCACTGGACTAGAAGAGATGTCTCAGATCATTACACCTGTGTTCCTCTTTGAAGTAAGCAACACAGGTTACTGAATCACATGTGGCAGATTGTATGAAAAGCAATGAGACCACCACTTCCAGAGGGTTGCTACACACTTTTACAAATTGCAGCACTGATAGAGAACTCGTGAGGCTGAGGTTGCGATATTCCATTTCATAATGAATGCTCTTCACTTTTAGAGCAAGGTCTTTTCTTAACAAACTATCACCGATTCCAGACGCTTGGCCCCTATTAAACCTGCTTTGATTGTAACGAGCACTTAATTCTAACAAAAAAAACACACCGCCACTGAATGAAACACTTCTAATGAGAGGGCAGTGTAATCTGCAGAGATAATGATTGGGGGATCAGTAGACTGAGAATACAATGGTGTTTTTTACATGTATTAATTCCCATCAGTCTCGTCAACACTAATCCACCTCTTCACAACTTCTGAATACGGCAGTTTTATGAAGTACAGTACATCAAGTGAAACCCTCCGAGGAAACGATGCAGTTTATCAGGAGGGAAGTGGTGCAGATTTTTTTACACTGGTAATTCTCCCATCTGCTAAAAATTAAAGGATCACACAATTCATTTCTGTTCATTTTTCCACCTGATTCGCTTTAAAGCTTAGCAGTCAGTGGAACCTGCAGGTTCCCATACTCCAACGAATAACCGAAGATACAAAATGCCAGAAAAATCATCACGTACAGAACACAGGTCAACAAAGGCAGAAGAGAAGCAATGCATCCTGATTCAAAAACATTAGTGAGATGCTTTCATTATTCCGCACGTGCTGTAAGCCTTCATATCCGTATCTATGAATCTGAGCGGTCCTACTGTACCTGTTAATGCTGGGCAGGGCAGGGTTCACGTCATCACTTGTCTCACATGGCCAAGCCACCGGAGTGGAGGGAACATCATTAGCATTGAGCCAGACTGAAGTGCCCTCAGTAGCATAGAGCTGGGAACACAGAGCCTGAAAGTTATTAGTATGTTTTTTGTATTTTATATAAACTTACAGTCTCTGTACCCTGAGTGGTAAAGATCTACTGTACAATGATGACACAGCTATTGTAAGTTTTCACCAATATATATATACAATACATGTATGTAGTCAGACCATTAACTGTACTTCATATACAGTACCTAAGTGTCACAAACCAATAAAGAAAAAATCACCTAGACTGAAATACAGATTTTATTAGGAAAATATTGAAAGCATGTAGAAGAATACAGTAACATCATCATACAATGCAAAGGAATGGCAACACTCAAGAATTAAGTGTCTTGAAAACATTTTTGAGTGTTTCAGTCACAATGCAAGGAGGATGGGGCCCCATGCAGAGTTCGGAGTGACCAAGGGACAGCTGCAAAGGTGGAGATGGGGTGGAGCTGGGGTGCAAAAAGACGATTGCACAAGAGTAAAGGGGGCTAATGTATTGAATTTAGTTTGTTTTTTTAATTTAGGAAACAATATCAGATGATTATGGTTTGAGACAGCTGATGCCCTCTGAACTTGTCACCCCCCCTCAACTTTCATTGTAAAGTCGATTTATTCAGAAAAAGAAGAATGATGTGGTGACAATCTACACACAAAGTCTGATGGGATGATGTATGATGTATGAACAGTATACTGGAAGTTAACACTTCCCAAAAGGGAAAGTTCAAGTCCTAAACTCCCAGCAAGTGGCAGGGTTGCGCATTGCTGAAAGCAATGCAAAACTCACATCAGACCTGTAAACTGGTCCTTTCAATGCCTCATGTTGAAGAAAACAAAACCTTTCAAATGATCCACTGTCGTTAGATTTGTTCAAAAGATTTATTCTGTCCCTCAGTACGTTTTCCTAGTGATCGAATTTCCTAGTACTGGAATCTATACACTTAAAATAGCATGTTTAGTTGCAGTTTTTGTAGGTTTTACAGAATAAACAGTATGCACCTAATCCTTCTTGTCCTGTCATAAGTGTAATGTTTTTATCGTTTGAAAAGAATTAAGTATGTTATGAAGGGACATGCCCTGCGATGGAGTGGCATCTCATCCAGGGTGTATCCCACCTTGCGCCTGTTGCTTCTCACATTAGTCTCCAGTGTCCCCTGTGACCCTGTATTGGATAAAGTGGTTTAGAAAATGGATCCATCCAAGGAGCAAACTGACCTTAAACCCTTCTTCATTGAGCTGATATGCTGTGGCTAAGAACTTTGGTCGGAATGAATGCTGGAAAAAAACCAAAACATTTAAAGTGAGATTAAAACAGAAGGATACAGTACATACCGTATAATTAAGTTTGATACTGTGACACTTAGAAAACCACACAAGTGTTTAACAAGACTCTTTTGTTAATAAAAATTAAAAAAGAAAATAAACTGAAATAAATCAAATAAAATAAATTGCCACACAATTTCCAACACCTAGATCTTAGTGGTAGCTTCTCAAGATAACAAAACAATGGACTCAAAATCCGATCCTGGCTAATAGGATCCATCCAGAATTGGGATTCAATTAGAATTTCAATTAGAAGTTCATTCCAACTGTAATTCGGAAGTTGCCTTGCTAATCATATCATTTGGTTATCATCTCATTGAGACAGCCACTAAGAAAACACTCTTTTTCATCTTTCAGAGTTCTAAATTCTCTTGTCTTTGCTTAATCTATGCCTACTAGTTTACAGAGGTTCAAGATTTACATTTTGCGATCTGAATATACAACGATAGACGTGTTGTAATTTTGAAAATGTGAGGCTGCACAGGCGGTACTTGTTACCCGTAAGGCTCTTTACTGAAGATACTTTTTTAAATATGCACAGTTGCTGGCAGTGCTGTGGCTCATGAAATGGCAGGCCATGTGCATTTGAGTCACAAAGAAAAAGAAAAAAATAACAATAAAAAGGTACAGAACTGGTAGGCACCTGAAGCCGTGATTGGACAGAGGTGGTTCCGCAAGGTTGGACTCATTCATCCCTGTAGTAAACTCATTAAAACTCCCCCTTGGGTATTTGGCCCAGGCTGCGGCCGATGCACACACAGCCTCTGCCCTTTCACTCCAGCCTTGCCGTCACAAACCAATAATTTATACATGAGGCTCAGAGGCAACTTCAACAACAGCCTCTTGCTGTTTTTCAAACTGGAGCCCCTGCACTGACAGACACCCAGGGAACTAATGGGAGAGTCAGACCGCTGTGTGGCGCGCAGCAATCGCAACAGTCGATTTATCAAAAAGGTAATGAACTACACTGCTCCCACTCTCGCTACCACTACCAGAGCGGTGTACGCCACTGTCGATGAATCAGCCTTCACTTTCCGTCTCCTTCTTCTGAAACGCAGCCAGCTCAGCTGTATTTCTGAGAGATTTCTTTGAGATAAAACCATCAGCAATCGTTCTTTCCAGCTCGGCTCGTCCCTAGAGTATCCCAATATCACGGATGTGTCAAAAGATCTAGTAGATTATATATAGATTAAATGTATCAAAACAAAATACTAGAAATATTTAATGAGATTTTAAACTTCGCAGCCATCAAAAAAAAAAAATCAGAGCAAACTCATTTAGACATTGAACTGTACAGAAATATCTGGCATTGCCGAGCACATTGTAATCTCCGATTACTGTAATTACTATACATAAATTACCTTCTTTAGAACCAGTAGCATGAAGCCAACACTCACATTCATAGCGTCAAACACTTATTTCCACTCTTTACTTTTAAAGCACCACTAAAGAAGAATGAGGCTGTATCATACCACACTACACATAGCAGTATTGTACAGTAAACTCCTATTTAAAGACAGTGACTGCTGATAAAAACTGGATGTGTTGCATTATTATGTACTTAATTATGTTATTACATTGTTATTACTGTAGGTCCAGAGATGCTTCAGCCAATAAAGGTATGGAACCAACTTTGTCAAGGTATGGAACTTCAAACATTGTCCAAGAGAGCTAATTAAGAATTAACAGTTTCATACGCTTTCAAGGGTTTCAAAGTGTTTCCTTTGCTTTGTAGAGCACATTGAGCCCAACGGTATACATATTGCTGAAGCAAGTACAGGTGACAGTGAAGTAAAAACACATCCAAACTGTTTTTAACATGGTGCAATGTAGAAAAGAAACATCCAAAATACATCAAGTAGGGAGCTGCGTCAGCATGCGTAGGCTTCAAGGGAACAAGTCAAAGGTTTATTCCATGTTGAAAAGAGAAGAAAGGAAACACAACACAACACAACAGGGTGTACCAGAAGAAGGCTCCACAGCTGAAACGTTGGGTTTCCTTTCTTCTTTTTTCAGCATGGAATAAACCTGTTACTTGTTCCTTTGCATCTAAAATACATTTCAACTTTATCTGCACACTTGACCCCCAGGCTGCACCACATAGATTTTTGTTATCTGATTAAATATACAACCTGTTATCAACAACAAAACAGATTAGGCCATTCTGCCCATCTAGCCTATTGGGTAAGAATTAATTTACTCAGGACCTCATCCAGCTGTCTCTCGAAAGAACCTAGGGTATCGGCTTCAACCACATGGCTGGGTAGCGCGTTCCATTCTTCTACCACGCTTTGTTTAAAAAAGTGACTCCCATTCTCAGTTTTAAACATACTCCCGAACAATAGTTTCCGAACAGTAAAAACACTTTTCACATGAAAGACATAATATCAAACAAAAGATACAAAATAACTAAGGCATATAATAATAATAATAATAATAATAATAATAATAATAATAATAATAGATAGATAGCTACAAGCACTATTAATTCACAAGGTTTAGAAGCAATCCATTGGACCTGTACAGAAAATATACTATATGAAAGCAAAGAGAATTAACTTGTATATTTATAATATTGTAATGGAATTTTAACTGCACAGGTTAAACTTCTGCCTAGGCGGTTTGAGATTGGAGGATTGGAGGTTTCTCGAGCTGGCCTGAGCTTCCTGGCCAGCTGTGCAGAGGGACTCCCGGGGCTCACAGCGCCTGTGAGCTTGTTGTCAGTGACAGCTGCCTCCCCGCCCTGATTCGAGCTTCTGCCATTTCCAGGCAGGGAAAGAAAGCAAATGGTAAATAACCAAGCAGCCGAGGTTTTGGGCTCGTAACTGGAAGGTTTGGAACGTTGGGTGTTCAAACCCAGGTGAGACCCTGCTGTTGGACTCTTGAGGCAATCGCACATGAGGTGAGTAAACAGCTTCTGCAAATGTAAGTCACTTTGGATAAAAACAACAGTCGGATCTTAAATAAAATTACAGTGGGGGGACACATCTTTTTTAAATTAACATTTTGACAAATTCACCAGCATGGATACAGTGAGACATAATGGTTGTAACAGGACCGTCACAGGGGTCGCTGTAAGGCTCAGGCTGTCTGGTTGTTCGCAGAGTCACAGGTGCACAACCGCTCCTCCTCTTTCCCTGCATTAGCTTCTTCCTGCGCGGGGCTTCAAAAGCGCCTCCGCAGCAGCAGCGGTTATGAAGCTGTTGCTGCCATTACTTTCCCGAGCAGAAAGGATGAGTATAAAACATGACAATATTGGCAGGTTCCCAAATAGCTAACTGCTCTGCCTTCTGGGGGTGTTGCGTTTCATAACGGTGCTATATACTTCTATCAAACAAGTATTGAGCGCTTGTGACACATAAAACAGCCTCTCCATGATGAGAAATAACTACTGTCAACTTCCATCTGGGCTTCAAAAGATTTAAAAGCAGATTGCAAGAGCAAGCTGGGGATGGATGCACTGGAGAGGAGCAGCCAGTGGCAGAGAGCATGACAGTTTGTTCTGCACAGTACAACTACACACACACAAAAACATTACTACAGTTAATACTACACACAGTATACAAACTGCGCCTCTCTGCTAAGACGTGTATCAAACATGCACTTTTACACATTTACCTAATGTGCTCACAACAACACAATATCAGAAGGTCAGGCAAATGTGAAAATTATATCAATCCGTTCTTAGTTGTAGAATAATGCATTAATTTTATTTCCCCAGCTGTAAAAATACTAGGTATCTTAAATTTTGTTTTGCTGCATCGCAGGGTTAACTCTAAGCATAGCCCCTTTCACTGGTGCCAGTTCAAGCTTATCAGTCACAGGAGCCCTTGGTGAACTGCAAGCTGAAATTCCTCTGGTCACTGTCAGACCACCAGACCCTGAAATCATTCATCCAAGCCTAGCTAGCTAAGGCTAGGGTAGTATATGTGACAGAGGTTTCTTTTTATTTTAAAGTTTTTCTTTTTGTTCTGGGAGGCAGACAGTTTATTTGGAAGCAACTCTGAAATTAAGAGAAATGTGCAGACTGTTGGAAGAAGCATACTGTATGTCTTACTTGCCAAATAAGGAAGGTCTATTTTTACTGCACTCATTTCCATGAAGCCAAAGACTCTTCCAGCATTTCACAATATGCCATTCTGAGAGCTTGGGTGTCTGCTAAGAAATGCCACCAAAAATATTCTCCTAGCAAGCTTCAGTAGGAGTCCCACTGCATGTTTTTCTTTGTGCGTAGATTTTGTTAATCTGTCAAACTGAGAACTGTAAAGGGAAATAAAGTCTCACTTGCTTTATATCACTGAAGTTGGCAGCTTTTTTTGATCAGTGTTTACAATATTCATTTTGGATCCAAACTATTGTGTTAATTAACACTGAACATCGCCAGTCTCCCAGAATGCAATTTCCACTCTTCCTCACTTGAACAAAACCACACACACAGGCCTGTAGGCATCTCATTGAGCCAGAAGCACCTTACTGTATCTCTCTCCTTACGAATACAGAATGAAGGGGCAATTGCACTTGAACTGCTGAGGATCGAATTCAGAAAGCCAGTCAATGCACACAAGCTCAAGCAAAGGTGGTGGCGTGCTCCTCTGTGGACCCTCCCCTGCTTGTCAACTTCAGTCACAGAAACCTTTTCAAAAGGCTCAGTGGCTTCAGTTTCAGTTCCCTTACCTGAATCCCAATGAGAATTCCTTTCTGAGGTAGTTTAAAGCCCGTGGACAGCATCGCTTTCAGGAATGCTGAGTAAATGTTTGGCCCAAAGCAGGCGACCTACAAAGATATGGTCAAGCTGATAAGAGACATGACAGATTAAGCTATTTACCTGTTTCCTTAGCAATGCAAGTGAAACATCCTAAAAACAACAAAAAAATCATTTTCAGGACATTTAGAATATCCTTGGTAATAACCATTCTCAGGTGGCCCAGTGGGGCAGTGGATAGCATTCTTGCCTAGCCGTGCACGGGGCCTGGGTTCAGCCCTGGGCCTGGAGTGCTCTCTATGTGGAGGCTGTACAGTATGTTAATAATAATAACTTATTTATAAAGCGCTTTTCCAAACCCAAGGTCGCCTTCCTCCCCATATTTGCATGTTTTGTAACCTGGATGCTCTGCTTTCCTCCCACAGTCCAAAGACAAGTACTGTAAGTTAATTGGCTCCTGGGAAAACTGGCCCTTGTGTGAATGTGTGTACTGTATATATAGTACTGAATGTGTGTATGCCCTGAGATTGACTGGCGTCCTTCCCTAGGGTCTACCAGGCCTTGTACCCTCTGCAAGCCAGGAGAGGCCCTGGCTCCCGCACGAGCCGAAATTGGAAAGAAAGGTTAAAATCAATGGATGGATAACTATTCTCTTCCTCGTATAATGTTATTGCCTGTTGTTATAATGTTAAAAAAAAGCAAAACATACTGAAAGTCACGAGGAGAAAACTCTGATACCAAAATACCCATTTCTTCCTTTCCAAGCGCTTGGTCTATAACTTGTAACATCTTATGCGATTTAATTTTTGCCTTGAGTAAAACTGTGTGAGCAAGGCAGCCTCGAAGCAAATGAGAGCACAGGATCACACTTAGAAACAAGCAAACTCAAGAAAAACACAGCATTAGAACTTCAAAGCCTTGAGAGAATATGTTATATAATTGGCTTTTGCTGGGCCTCTGTTCTGAAAATGAGTTCCAATTGTTATTGTTTTGCCAAGTGAAGCAGGTGGGCAATCTGGTCTGAACATTAATATTGTGCTATTCTGTGTTTTTTTTAGAACACGTCCTCACAGAGTCAGTTATTCACAGGACAGTGTATGGGGAACCTGAGTTCTGCAGTCATGCTTAAGAGATACTTAGCTCTCCCAGCCGGTGAGGATTCAGGTGTTTCGCTTGAAACAATCAGCATGGATTGCTACATGACTGAGAGGCAAGTCAAGGCGGGTGTGCTGTGCAATAAAGCCCTTTTTAATGAGAAAGAAGCATATTAACTCCACTCAGGGACTGGCTGTGAGGTTGTTAGCATTTGCTCCCTGGCCAAAGGAGCTAAACAGTCTTCTGACTGTCTTGATTAATCCGATGTTTCGAGGAGGAAGCAAAAGAAAAAGAAAAAGATCTAGGAAAAAGGAGAACTACTGTACATGTACCTCTCCAGTTGAAGCCATTTCACAACGCAAGATGGGATCGGCGTCCCTCAGGCGAGGCCAAGAGAACATGGGAGCCTATGAAATGAATTCCAAAACGTTAGTGATCGTCTATTTGCCGACTTGATCGGAACTTTAGGCAACACAGGGGGCTGTACAGTAGCTGTGTCCACTGTAGTGCAGTAGAGCTGGTTCCCAGCTTGTCTATGACAATGCTGCCACCTAGAGGCAGTTAAAAAACATTTACAGGCAATCACAAATGAGGATTGCCTTTTATTCATCTCAAACTCCATCTGAATTAATTACTTCCATGAGATTCTGATGCAAATTAATACTGAGGTTTGAAATCTTTTGAGAAATAAAATGAAATGCAGCTGACATCCAACATTTTGACTTCCGTATTCTTCGGCGAGAGTCTAAACAAATTTGGAAACAGATTACTCTGCAACTGGAAATGACATCAATTTGTAGATTGATGGCAAAACGTACAGCAATCTTCACGTGATACTGATCTGCAGTGGCACCGAGTGGAACAACAAACCTAAAAACTACAAGAAGCAACTGCTTTCACGTTAACAAAGGACAGCTTTCATGACACAGAATGAGTGTTTTTCTCTTCATTTGAACAATGTAAGCAGCCATTTCAACAATTAAATCTAATTTGTACCCTCTGTGAATAAGTACACAATTTTAAAAATACTTTTATTACCAGTACTTATAAATTATGAATCCTCATTAAATACCAATAGAAACCTCCTCCATAAAAACACATGCAACTTACAGTACCTTCCAAGAACATGGCATCTACAGCACCTAAAGCAGTTTTATGGCTTAGGACTCTGCTTTCGGTAGAATTTAATGTGAACAGACTAAAAAAGCAGTGTGGTTTTAAAGATGATGCTAAAGAAACATAGGTTTCAATGAAGGAAAACTGTGCAGCTGGGACTTGTTACAGGAGAAGTACAGGTCTCTGCTGAAATGGTAGCAGCAGAAGAAAAAAAATGGTAATCACTGTAACTGGGTGAAAGCAGTGCTATCTGTTTAATCAGGGAGTAGCCATTGGGAGCAACCATCTAAACTGAAAATGCGTAAACTGAAATGTAATTTATTCATGCATTTAAATTTGTTTATACCAGCATGCCCAAAGAGATGCAAACATATGTTAACATGCAAATAATTTTGTGTCTTTATTGGGTGTTTATGGAATCAGTGCTGATGAAAGGTGTCAGAGCCACTGGCCCACTGTAGCCAGGCAGCACACCAGCTGGTGCTCTGAGCCCCTCTTCTAATGGCTCAGCCAACCCAAGACCCCAAAGACAAAACTTCAAAACGCTGCAGCAAGCACTTGCAAAGGAGGGACAAAACGTCTGCTTACATCCAGGATCAAAAAAAGGAAAACTTTGGACTCGCTGGGGTTATCTGGGAATCTTTATATGGCAGCCACTGGCAGATCAGCGAATACAGCAGAAAAGCTGAGATGGGATGAGAGAATGGGAGGGAGGCCTGCGTTATTGTAAATGTACATGCGTGTTCCAGATATTGAAATCCCAGTCACTGTGAGTGGCTGCACACTTTATATTCAAGACATGACGCATCATGAGCCAACATGATTACACCTGGGTGACTGTCTCTTGTATCCTGGTCTTGTACTGCATAAACCTTCAGTAATTACCGGGAAAGGGCTTGAAAAAAAGCATTTTGTTATTTAAATGTTCAAGGTGTCATGCGTACCCCGCAAGCAGCTATCGAGTGGATATGAAGCTGCCTGCTAGCCATGACATGAATGATTATTACCGCACCATAGTTCAACATTGTATTGAGCTCTGTCCCCAAGTCCCCATTTTCACCTTTTCTTCAGAAGTATAATCCCCTGCAATTCTCATGACTTCGACTATCTATTTCACACATCTGGTTACTGGCAGGTAAAATAATATGAAATGGTCCATAGGTCACCAAACACAGCACTAAGTAAAGGAACAGCATCAGCAATGGGCGGAAAGGGTTACTGGGAATTAATCGTATTTTTTTTTTTAAATGAATGAAAAAATAATTAAGAAAAAATAACTGTGCACTTATAAGATCTTATAAGATGATTCAGACCAGAAACCAATCATAACCCTGTCCTTCTCTAGAGAATAATGGCTGTTGATTAACAGTCACCATTACCATGAAAAAAGTGGAACTGCACAAGATTGTATATCTCTTCAGATGAACAGCGTGATAACATTTTTCTAACTTAATTCAGTTTAACCCCCCTTTCTTCTAACAAAGAGGATATCGGCCTTTCCTTATATCCATTCTCTCCAACCTAATTAATCTGTGCTGGTGTTGTCTCCACTTCAGTATCCCCTGGAAACCTGTATCCCCTCCTCTGTCATGCACACGTGCTTCACAAAACATTCCAGGACATCTTAATGATATGGGCAGCAGCTCAAAAAATCCAAAGTTTCCTCTTGAAATGAGGAGAAAAACATTTGAGAAGACAGAACAATGTGCTTCAAAAGTCTGGCTAACAGCAAATGAGGTTCCTAGTCTTAACAGAAGTGTCTTGATTGTGCACCTGCTTGTACCCTTTTTTGAACAAAAAAAAATAGTTTAAATGATGGTTTTACGAAAATAATAAAAGGTGAGAATTCTATCCTTCAAATGAAAAGTAGATTTTTGTCAATATTGTTACCAACAGTATGGGCTATATACTGTAGTATACTGCACAGTGTGGGCTAGTGGGAGATCACAGTCAGATCTGGAAACACTATGCACTGTATCCATCAGAGTTAAAATGATTAAAAATAGAGAACGTCTGGTAGCATATGATTATGGTATTTAAAAGACTAATTAAAAAAATCTTGGCACCTTATTATCACTGGCAGCTGGAAGATACATTGAAAGTTTGTTTCATTGATGTTAAGTACATGTCACAGCTAAGAGCTCCATTGCCCCTTGTACATCTGCTCTCTCCCGTTCACAGTGAGCTCTGGCACCTTGTGATTTACAAATTAAGCATTAATGATACCCTTCAGGTAGAACAGTTCCACCTTCAGTGACCTGTTTACGTGCCCTTTCAATCGCCTCTAAGGCATACACATGGCCAAACCTTTGTGCTTAGAAGGAGCACATGACATGTAATAAATAGTTTGGGTTTTACAAACAGCCCACAGTACTGGTTGCACTTCAATAGGATAAAGGCAGTTTCTTCTTACCAGTATTTAACTTAAGAGCCTTCCCTCAAGTTAAAAAAACAACTAAATCCCACCTCAGTGGACTTGGAGCTGGCCTAGGTGAACCGGTGTGGTTGAGAATTTGCTGTGGTCTCTGGCAGAACAAGCAAGATGCTGTTTATTAGTCACTACGCATAACTAATTACTGTCAGTATAAATTAACAACATATTAAAATGAAAGCAGATAGTTAACTGATAACCACGGCGATCGTAAGAGAGTAACCATAGATGAAATGGAATAAAAAACGGTTGCATATGTGCATATGAAAACCGAAGCATATTTTGCTGTGTTTTACAGTGCAGCAGTCATTTCATCTTCTTCAAAGCCCCCCTTAAACACAAAGGGAAAGAGACCCAAATGTCACAAAGGCTCTGCTGTGGAAAAGGGCCAACACAGCCTCACTCCCTCTCTTTCACAGACCTTGATGCCCACGTAGTCCATGGGGATGAGGGGGTTTTCGAAGGACGGCAGACGGGACTCGTCGATGTGCTCCCCGATCATGACCCGGGTGGCGATGTCGATGAAGTCAACTCCGATGGTCTTGGAGACAAAGGGGAAGGAGCGGGAGGCACGCAGATTGCACTCGATGACCTGGACACAAGGGGCAGCAAGAAGTGGCACAGCTGGGTTACAGGGGGCACTTCTTTGATGAAAATGCTACCTTCAGCTGGAAGAGATCCTCAGAGCAACTAACTACAAAACCGGCTTAATGGGTTGAATAGCGGCCTCTGGTTTATAACGTCTCTTATGTTACCCGACAGCAATAGGTAGGAAGTAAGCTGCAGTTACGGTGGATAGTCAAGGTTAACAGTCTCTTTGTTCAGTTATCTATCTCAGAGCTTGGTCAATAACAACAATGATAAGCATCCTGGCTTCTAAAAACTAAAAAAAATACTTCTTAACTGCTACAAAAGCCATTTTTAAACATTCCCATAACCCAGACCGAACTCCCAAGCACAGGATCCCAAACAAAGCAAAACAGGGTCAAAGCTCAATAAAGAAGTCTGATGCTACTGACGTCATCAGTTAATAGGGGATTGAGAATTTTTTTTCAGAAATCTCAAAACCACACAACTGCATAGAATAGTAAGTTAAAATTAAAATTTTATACCATGACATCATTCCCTTTCACGAGAAACTGTGTGTTGAATGGTCCGGAAATATCAAATGCCATGGCGATTTTCCGAGTTGTGGTCTTTACCTGTGGTGGAAAAAAATAAGGTCTTACTCACTAAAGACTGTATAACTGCTTTAATTTTTTTCACTTAACACTTTTTTAGATCTTTAAAGTATCCTTCTCAAAAGGTTTGCACTCTCATATTATAAACATTCATGTTTCATCTGTTTAAAGGACACTGGAATACAATTCCTTACTATGTCCCCCACACCATTTTTAGTAGGCCAGGTGTTACAGTAAAATTATCTCCTTCCGTAGAGAACTAGAGACACTCAGACAATACTTTCCCCCTTCCTGTGTTTCTGAAGAAAATTCCGGAGGATACTAGGTGTCCCAATGTGGGAATGTCTTGATTTTAATACTGGAGAAACAAACACAAGACGGATCGAAGAACTTTGAGAGGGGAAGGATGAGGAATTCTGAATCAACACTGAAAAAAGTTGCCATCATTGTTGAATGAAACCTCAAATTCTTACTGGTGTTAATTTCCCATTTAATTCAACAATAAAGAAAAAAACTCTAAAGGCAACAAGACTTGCCTTTTTAACATTTAAAAAAAATATATCATTTTTTGTATGTTATATCCTCCCTTTTGATTATAGCTACATGTCCACAAAGCCACTTGCAATGCTACATGCTACAGGCCCCACAGTTGCTTTACAGGAAAACAGGCCCCAATTGGAAGAAAGTTGTATCTTTCATTACATGTCACAGCAAGAGGCAGGTGTCTGGCAGCCCCAGTTGGCACTGTTTTGTTCAAATCAGAGAGAGCCGGTCCTGGTGGTGCTCTGCCGGTTGCATGCTGCTCTTAGAAGAGCCTGTGCCACAGGTGAACAGTATGGACCAGTATATAAACTTCCAAATATGGAAATATGGGATGGTTACCTTCCTTCCATTGAAATTAGCACACTGTTCTCTCAGCCTACTAGAGAGATGTCAGAGGCCACAATTACACCACAACACAGTAACTTCACTTTTAAAAAGTCTTGTACCATCAACCTGTATTCATTTTAAACTTATCAATGAATGGGCTAGTATATAGTTTTCCATCTCTGTAATGCCTACAAAAGCAATCTGAAAGAGCACATCTCCTCAAACTCTCCTAGATTACAGGAATACGAGTATCAGCTCATTTGCCACTATTACACGAGACAGGAGTGGCTGCTCTGTTTTTAGTCAAAGCATTAAGGATTTTCTTGGCTGCCATTTTGAGAGCGTCTTGCTGTGGATTTAAACCACCTGCCAAAGTGTCCAAAAAGGAATAGTAGCTTCTGCGTGAGCTGCCGATTCTTATCGATTTTTTTGATTCTCAAACCTGGCACAAACCAGGTCTTTTTTTGTGGATTTCACCATGAGCAGGTTTATATCTTTAGCCCGTGTGTTCTAATTTGTCTGGCGGAAACCTCTCGTTACGCAGAGGCGAAAGAGGCGGAGGAGCCGCGGAATGTTGGCGCGGGGTATTCCGGAATGCCCCGGTGCTCTGACCTTCTCCAGCGCCCCCTGGCTGATGGTCTGTGTGGGCAGCATGAGAGTGGCGTCTCCCGAGTGCACGCCCGCGTCCTCCACGTGCTCCGTGATGGCGTGGACGAGGACCTGCGGCGGGCACACACACAGAGGCGTCCGCAGGGTGAAACACAGGAGGACCACCCGGGAGAACCGGAGCGCGGGGAGCGAAGCGATTCCTCGGCTCGCGATGAAAACACGGGCTTCTATAAATGAAAGTTCACTTCTGAAAAGCTCCTTTAGTGCTGCTGTTTTTTTTTTTTAATTCCTCTTAGCTGTGTAGTTTGCAATTAAAAAAATATTCTTCTTAAGTAATGCATGCTGCCAACAGAACACTGCGGGGTAAAAGACCTCTCAAATCTCATGACAAAAATCCAGCCAGATCCTCTTCAGCAGAAAACAAGAATGGGAAGGAAAGGGAATTTAACATGACGTTATCTGTCATGGCGCCGAAAAACATCATCTTTTAGCTGCAATCGCTGCTAAATTGCGCAATAATTTCCGAGTCGGCCTATTACAGAGGAAATTACAAATGAATCAACAAATGGATTACTAGGATTTTTATTTGTAAATATCTTCACTCTCTTTGCAGTTACAAAAACAATTTATTCCAAAGGCCTGAATGCCATCTTTTCTTTTTTCCCAAATACCATTTTCTTCTCTGGGGAAACCAGCAGAATTTTATGAACTGCAATATCATTAGAGCCTCTAAACACTCAATAACTGCAACGTTCATTAACACACTTCAAATGAACACTATAATTAATATGGAAAAGGCACATGAAGTGTTCCCAGATTGCTTTCACAGTCTGACTTGAATAATGCATTTTGTTTGGCATTCTGTCAATGCTCAGGACAGAACAGGCAAGAGGGAGAGCAGCAGAGACTGTGTGTGTGGTGCTGCACGGAGCTCATATACACATCAGCAATTAACATTATCAGCTAACTGCCAAGTGTCACAGACTCTGAAGTGCGCGGAACTCCCCAAGGTGGGGAAGCTGGGGCCTGACTCCTCTACAGCGTGTTAAAGAACCTTTCCCCTTCCCACCCCAGGCTAAAAAGCATTGTACAACAAAATCCAGGGGACATTCGAATATAAAGATGTAATACTTATCTCATGAAGCTGGATTCAGTTAACAAATAATGTAAGTTACCAAATACTGGTGCCCGTTTATTCATCAATAAAAATTATTACTATTATGATCGTTATTATGTATCACATCCTCTTGAAGTGAGGAGCTACACATGCCTGTGGGCTGCAAAGGAACACGTAGAGGCTAACTCCACTCTGAAAAGTGGGTATTTTGGCTATGGAACTTCCTTCCGGGGTGTCACAATGGATCCACAGAGGAACTGTGGCGTGTCTCGTTTGTAGACAAGATTAAAAAGCCAGGTCCAGCTTTCAACAGTTTGCTTTTCCAGATCAGATCAATTACTAAGGCATGAGAGGTGGGACACTTTTGTTCTGTGATTTCTTGCAATGTATTTCATTTGGAGTTTTTACACTGGCAAGCACACACACCCTGTGAACTTTCCAAGAAACCACTAAAAACCACCAAAGGACTTGTGACAGTGGACTCTACTCGACAGTGGTTCTCCAGGCATTCACCAAGATAGGGTAAGATGGAGATGGCCTGGGTTAAAAGGATCTATCTTCCTGGTCTGGGGGCTAGGAGGCGAGGGTGTCTTGGGCTCCCCTGCAGTGTTTAGAGATCAGCTAGCCTCATAAAGGATGTCAACAATCGTCAGCACTCTGCATGGGATCCTTCTGCAACATACTCCTACTGTATATAAAAACTTAGGCTTTTAAATTAAAAATTAAATAAATTAAAATGGCTACGCTGCATTTCTTCTGTGTTTTGCCCTTTCCACTTAATCATGTCCTTAAGAGTCTACCTGCAGCACTGGAACTCATGACCATCTGCAATATTTGTAAGTTGACTATGAAGGGCAGCAGTGTCATGCAGTGGTTACAATTCTGGACTCTCCAGACCAAGAGAGTTGAAGCAGTAGTTAATTTGCTATTGGGTTAGCTCGTAAAGAGCTCTTGCCCTCTGCTGAGTATGGAGATGTACTGCTCGGGCAGGTTAAATGGTTAAGATTTTAAAACAGGACACAGGGACTTTGCAAAACAATGTCAGAACAGAAAAGCTACAGGAGGGTAGAAAAAAAAAACAGCTACAGGTCAGCAAAAGTAGCCCAATTTAGAACACAGAGCTGGGAAACCAAGAGTTATGGGCTGTGAATGCCAAGGGTTGCTATGCTACTGCTCACAGAGGTGATGACTGGGCACACAGCTACAGAGACCCACCCTGAATGGTACCTAGGCCCAAATAAAGATAGTGCATTTACTGTGTTTACTGCCTTCAGACATTCAGCCTCTATTTCAAGGTTGTCATGACATGTCTCCGTGACACAGCTGGTGAGCAGAGCGACTATGAGGGCAGGTTAGCCTCCACTTCCTGCAAGAGTGCTGCAAATATGGAGGAGGCTTTCTGTTCTGATGAAGCAGGACCCACCAAACCTCTCACTCACTAGCAACAGCAAGCTCTTGCTAATTTTCCTCCGCATCATTAAACTCCTTCAGCAATTACACATAACAGCACTTCAAGCACTTAGCAGCTTATCATCTTTAACTGCTTAATGTTATAAACTGATCTTAACCCAAATCTTCCTCACAATTATCAATATATAGTTTAGGACACAGCTGAGTTTTTTTTTTTCTTTTGCTGCCATAAGCAAAAGGCGGAGAAACAGTTGTGTAAATCGATGTTGAAGAATCTATCAGGAAAGGGTTTGGTGATTTACTAGGACAGGGACTAGGAACGATCTCCCTTTTCGCTTTAACCCACCACTTGAAAGAAGATCAAGAGGATCTGAGGACTGGCTCAAGGAAACTGAGCTGTGTGGAACAAGATGAACTTTAACATGGACACCCAGCGGCCATGATTGACTGAAATGGGAAGACTACCCCCAAGCCAGCCAGTCTGAAGCTGAAATTCAAACTGGCTGGACCAAAGACAGCAGCATTTCTGAAAAGTCAAGTCCTGAAGTGACATAATATAGTGGACACAACTGCATCCCATAGGTCACTAAAGCATTAAGGCTCAACTTGATGTATGACAGTAATGTGGGATGATTGCTGATGTAAAATAATATTCTCTCTTTTTTATTTAGCCTTATCCCATATCTATATTCAGAAACCTCCCAGGAAAAGTATCTTCTTGAAATATTAAAATCCTACTTTAAAGAAAGCCAAGTACATATGCAGAAAATATCTATAAAAATGACATTTAGATTTTTATTTTTTGAGGGTGCTCCTCCTCAAAACTTACAAAATCCCACGTTAATGCCAGGTCACCATGCTATTTATGCTTCAGAAATACACATGCATAACTTACAGACTGACCACAAGCTACTGTGCGTCACTGCTCTCTCCATATCAAAGATTGCCCTTGGGGGAAGAAAGCTGTAAAAACCAATCGGGTGCATGAAACAGAAAATAAAATTAGAAATGGGAGAGATCACAGCTGCAATTTACAGCAGCACTGTTCTACAAGTTAAAAAGGGTTTCATGCTACTGCATACAGTGGAGATCACTCACCTTCCCTATTAAACTTAGACTTGCACTCTCGCCCTTTGTAAATTCACTTGCATTTGATCCATCCTGCTATGATATGGACAGTAACTGGTCAAATCCAGTTACTCACCTTCCCATTCCTTGCCACTGCATCCATTTCTATTTCCCTGGCTCCCTCAATGAACTTGGTGATGACAACTGGGTGTTCCTGCAGCAAAAAAAAAAGCAGAAAGTGGTTGAGGCATACTTACTGCATTGTGACGTACAGCATCCCACAGAAAGCAAACCAGGGAGACCACTTTACAGCACAAACAGGAAGGAGGCTTTTATCCCTGTAACACAGCAAAGTTGGCTGAAACAAAGGGCCTTTAACATACTGTACGGTTTGAAATCATGAGGGATTCATGGGTGGCTTAATCAGAAAACCTGTTCCCCTTGAGTTTGGGTCTTGTCACTAACCGAATTCTGCAAAGTAGTGATGCTGTTGTGGGACTGCCTGGGTATTAGTTGGCAAGGGTCTGCATTTAGTTTGGTGAACCCTTGAGTCCTTGACTTGCTATGGGCCAACAAGACTGCAGTGACATCAGACAGAGATGCAGCATTCCCTCAGTCAAGCACTCTATTGCACGGCACTGTGGAGCTCGAGAGAACGTCAAATCATACATGACTCTGGTGCTGAAGGTGGTTCATGGTTGCAGGCCCTCACTGGTGTGCACTGCATGGGGCTGTACCCATAAAGCCCACAACACCAGCACCAAAGAGTCTGATAAACAGCTGCAGGTTCCAAACCCAGAGGGTACAGATTAAAGAAAAATGGGATATTCTGGATTTCAAAAACACAGAACTTTGTGTTTACCTGCAATTTCCTCATTTTATCTTATTACACAATGTGGCACAGTGTAATTGAGCGAAATACCATTTTCCTTTGATTAAGCAGCTTGCAGTAATGTGAGAACAGAGGCTAATAACTTTAGCTAATAATTTTTTTTAGTTAAGTGAGCTTTTTTGTAGCTTAATGCTTCTATTATTCTGATCTTTTCAGTCAATGTGCCATTTGCCTCATCTTTTCAGGTCAAACAATGTACAACCGCTTCCCAGTCTGACCTGAGAGGGCAGTGGCAGGGAGTGTTATGAAACAGCCTGTTCATCAGTCTGGAGGGCAGGAGCTGCGTAATCTGCCAGGTGTAAAAATAAGCAGGCAGAGGGAAGAGGAAGACATGTGCCAACTGCAGCCGGAGCCCCAGGACAGAGAGGTAACAAAACTGATCTGCAAAGCCAATTAACCACACAGGAACAGGGAGCACTTGAGACAGTGTGTCACCATTGGACTCGCATAACATCAAAGACATCATCCAGGCAATGCTTGGGGGACAGTGCTCACTTGTGTTTGCTGATGTGGAGGAGGGTCTGTGGGTTGGGGGGGGGTGCGGGGGTGGTAAAAATCGTCTCCCTATTTAGCTGGCAAGTGGGCAATGAGGATGAAGCCGATACAAGTCTGGAACCTCAGCGCGTGAAGGTCACTGATTCGTTAAGTACAAGAGGGAAACGTCAAAAATGTATTGTAATATATAATTATACTGTCCATAAATATAAACGTATAGAAAGCAGACACCTTTACTAATTGTCACATCAGAGGTTTCATTAGCAATTAACGATTTTAATTAGCAGGGCAGGACATTTAAACTGACGACCACTGTGTTCAGAGTTGAAAATGAGATTAGAGAACTAAACAATAGATGGTAAAAGGCTATTGAAAGGCCACACCTGAAGAAGGCTCCACGGCCGAAACGTTGTGTTCTCTTTCTTCTTTTTTTCAGCATGGAATAAACCTATTACTTGTTCCTTTAAAGGCTATTGATGCCCAGTAACCACTTCAGCACAAACTTTTAGGGGGGATTCAGACTTAGAGGTGTTTGGCTTTTCAAACAGGCACAGACACCAAATGTCTAAAACCTGCAGTTCTTCTCGGACTGACTAGGATTCCTGCTCCTACAGCTTCTCAGCAGCGGGGTAAAACTAACCTGTCTCAGAGCAGGCATCAGAGTACTGGGAAGGTCGTGGGTTCACACTCCCACTGTGGACACAACTGTTGTGACCATTGAGTGTGATACTTTACCTCAATGGCTCCAGTCTGTCGGAGGCTAGACTGTGATGGATTAGCATCCTATCCAGGGGGATGTCAAGAGTTCTCCATCTGCTTAGTGGTAAAAGAAACTGGGCCAAAATCTGGCCCGATGAGCCTGTAAGCTCGAGTATGGATGAAAAATCGATCTCAGGCAAAGTGTCAGAAAAATCCAATCTCATCCGACAGGTACAACACATGGAGACACCTGAATCATAGTCAGTCTCGAGTCTTTAAGGGGATAGCCTCTTGGAGCATAACTCTATTTCGCATGGCCTCTTAAATGTATTCCCAGGCAGATGAAATCACTTGCATGCAATAGCTACCTCTTCCAAAACTTTGCTTCTGCTTTCAAAAAGGCTTTGTGTAAAGGTATCTGGACCCGAATTCATTTTAAAAACTGTTACTATTTCAATCGCTGGGAGATACAGAAGGAATAAGTCAGTGCTTAGAAGATGAAGACCAATATTTCAGACATTCCACTTGTTCATTTATGAAGGTCTTTATTGAATGTAAGAGGGATCAAGAGATGAACATTTTGCAGTTCAAGTGTCTGCAAAAAAAGAAAAAAATTAAACAGGTCTATTTTTTTTTAAAAGCAGCAAGCAGTTACCAAAGAAGTACTATTACTCTTCATTTGAAACAATTACTTATTACTCATTGGGTTTAACAAACTATACATATTTATACATTACATCTACTGACAATTGATTAATCTCAGTAAGAAGTACTGCAGGACTGAATTTCAGGTGTTGTTTTTTAGACTGGTCCTTCAGGTAATTTACCTGCAATCTTCACCAGCACTCACTAGAAGGAATCTGTGCTCAATTAACTTTGAAAATAAATCATAATTAAGAACAATATGATAAACCATATTTACTCAGCTGGTAAATGCTATCTGTGAATAACTGTTTTGGTGCAAATCCATTTATCCACTAAACAGGCACGGTGCTGCCCAGACCCTTATTGTGTTGTTGTGCAACTTTTGTACACAGCTTTTGGACATGCAAAGACACATAAATTAAGCTGCAATATTTAGTTTATGATGTGGAAATACAACCAAGATTTATATTTAAAACAAATATCTGGGCAATTATTTTCCCAAAGAGTTGTGGGAGTATGGAACAAGCTATTCAGCCATATTGTTTACCAAATGGGCAAAATGGGAAACACGGTCTCCCTATGTTTATAATCTTTATGTTCTTATGCTGTGTACAGTGCATTATCTCAAAATCCAATAAAGCTACTTTTTTATGCTGAGACTTTTTGAATGCAAAATTCATTTTAGCATTAAAAATGATACTGATCCATCGCTGGAACTTAGTTAAGTCTAAGTGAATTATGTAAGAACAAACATGGGTTTTTTTTTTCCTTGTTTTTGTATCATCTATTTTTAAATCACTTCAGGGCCCCCGTGACATATTACACTGCCCTGAAAGTTACTCAGATCTCTTTATGCAGCTTCCTCAAAGAATACCGCCTGTAGTAAAGAAAAAGCAATTCTTATAATAGTTTGATCTGTTCAAAGGTTAGCGTGGAACAGAAGGGGAGACCAGGGCATACGTTTTCAGCTCCACAGGCAACTAAAACATCCCTCAACACAGAAAAACTGTCAAAGCAAAGTGGGAATCTTTTTTTTTTTATGGAACTACCTCAATACAACACTAGCTGCTTTTGACTGCTTTCAGATCCTATGCATCTGAACAGTTTCCTGATGAGAAAAACAGAAATATGCAAAAAACAAAATTCTTTTATAGAGTTTCACATCCAGAGAGAAAAGCGAAGTAAAAACTATTTGATTATTTCATTTATTATGTAACACAAAGAGTCAACTGTGCATTATCCACAAACAGTTTATCCAGGTTGTGCATAGCATTGGTTCTTTAATTGATCTATTGATAATATACTTTTACAAAAACAGAAGCAAGTTAGACATTTAGTTCTTTTTATTTTCTGATATAGTTTATGGTCTTTATAGCTGTTCTAAACAGAATTCTTTGAAAACTTAATTCTATGTGTCAGGAACGTGGTTTGATCTTAAGGTTTACATACTCTCATTTGCACTCTGTTGTATTACAGTGCATTTCACAATTATCTAAATCCCTATGCACATTTTTCATTGACAGTCTTTTTTTTCGAAGCTTTGTGATTTCAGTTTTTTTTTATACCATCAAAGGCTATGGGTCTCACAGATAAGATAAACTACTGTTTGAGGTACAGGACAGTTACAAAAAGACCAGTGTACTGTATATGATCACATAGGTTACATTTGCATAAAATGGAGGTAAACGATGAATGTGTGTAGTCTGTCTTGCATAGACTTTCTTTACATGTTTTTTTGCGTATCCAGATCTCCACTCCCTTCATTACCCTGGACATGGAGGAGCTATTTAAAACTACAAGGTGCAAGAGAAGACTAATTCTGAGGCAGGCTAATGTCAAAAACATAGTTGCTCTGTTTTGCACAAGCATTAAGAAGTTTGCACGTCCATTGGAGGTGTCTGAACCTCCAGGAGAGAAAGACCATTATTACCACAAGCCTCTTCCACAATGTTCCACGTAGAAGCAATAACCGTCTTTCATTCACTAAAGAATCTCTGCGAATCTTAGCGTGTCGCCGGCTGGACTGGACTGCGTTTGCCTTTCGCCACCCTCCCTGAAAATGGCGCCGAGGCTAAATCAATCAATCAGCTTTCAGTGCAGAAGTGAGGGAAATCATGGCGTCCGCAGATTTCAGTGGGAATGACGCGAAAAAGAAAAAGAAATAGCGCCCCTAAGGTGGAGTGAGGGGCAGAGAGCTGACAGAAGGCACCGACCAGCTGTGCTGCACCCAGTCGATGAGGGGGCAAACGTTGCCACGGAGATGCCCCTCCACTCAGCTTACCTGCGACACCTGCGTGGCCTCCTCTAGAAACCGCTTCATCTCGCCCTCACCGTACACCACGTTCATTGCCGAACCGCTTCATCCAAAGCGAGAAAGAAAGAGAGGGGAGGGAGACAGACAGAGACATTCAGGTCAGTAATCACTCCAGGCTCTTCAAAATGACTTTTACTTTCCCAGCAGAACTGTGTTAAGGTTTGTCATTAAAAACAAGCTTTTAGGGTAAAATGACTTTTTTCTTTTTAGCCAAACAAGCCCAAATCCCTTCGCACTGCAGAGGAGCATTAGTAGATGTGACTGGGAATGAAGCTGTCACAGCATCTCCCAGACCAGCCTCCCAGCACACTTCATCAGCTGCCCATTAGGCTGTGAGCTTCAGGGTATGTCACTGCGCTCACAGACAGGAGGGGGACTGGGCTGCATGTCTGAAACCACAATGATGCCATGTATGCACCACTCAGCGTGGGCTCTCCAGGAAGGCCAAAACACTGAGATAATATCTGCACAACAAAATGTAAGACAGGTCTTGTGCTGCAAGCAAAGCCTGACAGAGACACTGATGCAGAATACTGCAGGTAAACCAATTTTCAGATCATTGGGACAAAATGCCACAAAGTCTCTTCTGATCACTAAAGCTGGTCCACCAGGGGCAACGAAAGGTGTTCTGGTACATTGCAGCTACAGTCTTTACCTGATGTCACCAAACCACCTGAGTACTGTGAACACTGCTCTTCTCACCCCAGTGAAAACTAAGAATGAGTCTTCATGTCAGACGTGGAAGTGTGTCTCCTCTGAGGGATTTCATATGCACTTAAAAGATGTCTCACATCCTACTCTGATATTCTTTTCTCGGTTACCCGATTAAACACAGACTTTATCCCTTATTTAGTTGTGTGTTAAACTAATTGAAGTTGTTTTATTAAATGATACCTCAGGCTTCAGAAAACACTTTATTAGCAAAACACTCAGAATCGTGCCTACTGTAGGCAAGAAAACACAAACTTCAAGGGTGTCGGCCAATTTACAGTGTAAGGTGATGATTAATTTTTCATCTGATGCTTTCAGCTAATAGAAGCTATTTTGAAGACACGACCCCAGAGGGATTTTAAATTCCTTTTTTTTTTGGAGAATGATGAGTGGAAACATGCACTCAGTCATTAACTGGAAGATTAACAAGATTGATAAGTACATTCATTAACATTCTGATGAGGAAAAAGGCGGCTGCTTCCCTCAAAGCTTTCTGAATGCAGCTGTCCCTAGATGTTACTCCACCTGAGGAAGTTACTGGAACAGACGGTCCTACTGGCCAGAGAGGGCTCACTCACAACAGCTAAAAACAAATTTCCCTGACTATGAAACGAAGTATCCAAGCAAGCAAGTTTCAACCAAACCAAAGTCCAAAACAGCACCACCAGCCAGTGGTTTAAAGCATATATTGATCCTCAAAACTGTGAAGTAAATATATCACACTTCTGCTAATTTTTTGTCTACTTTTGGTAAAATGACCTTAGAAAGGCAAATGAAAACACGAGTGAGAATTTCGAGCGTCATCCTAAACAAATATTTCCTTCTAACTTTTCTCACTTGAGAACACCTCCCACACATTCACCTTCTAAAAAATGTCCTCGACCCTCTAAACCACAGAAAAGGCTGAAGAAGACTGCTTTACTTATTGAGGCATCTCACTGGGGCGCTGGGTTTCTGACACGACAATTAAAACAAAGTCCCAAGGCAAGGCTCCTCACTGGCTGATGTGATAACAGCCTCAGGAATGCCTCATAGCTGGAATAATAATAATAAAAATAATCATAATAATAATTGCTTACACTTATATAGCGCTCTTCTGGACACTCAACTCAAAGCGTTTTACAGGTAATGGGGACTCCCCTCCACCACCAATGTGCACGTGGATTATGCGACGCCAGCCACGGTGCACCAGAACGTTCACCACACGTCAGCTATCAGTGGGGAGGAGAGCAGAGTAATGAAACCAATTCATAGATGGGGATTATTAGGATGCCGGGGTTACACCCCTACTCTTTTCGAGAAACATTCTCGGATATTTAATGACCACGGAGAGTCAAGACCTCAGTTTTACGTCTCATCCGAAGGACGGTGCCTGTTAACAGTATAGTGTCCCCATCACTATACTGGGGCATTAGGACCCATATGGACCGCAGGATGAGCACCCCCTGCTGGCCCCACTAACAGCTCTTCCAGCATGTTGCGCCATGTTGACGCCACATGCCCAAATTCAAGATGCGATGGTAACAGCCAAAAGTTCCTTGCTTTAAACTCACAATCAGGAATGTTAATACCAGCTGGAAGCCTGCAGGGCAAAGTATGATTCATAAGGCATTGTGGGTCTTCCTCTTGTTGCTTAAGATGCTCTGCTGCTTGCAGTCTAATACTGTGGCAGGAACAAAAAATCAAATGGCTTTTAAGGGTAAATGTCTCAGGATGGGTGTACAGTATGTTGTCTCTCCTAGGTTGATGTAGAGTCAAGCACTGAGTCAGGCTGAATAATAACTGTGGCCATTCAGAAACTAGGCCTTCTTAAAGGAAATATTCACGTAGCAATTCAGCTTACTCTTTACTCTTTGTTAGCTACTATTTAAAAATTAAAAAAATTAAAAAATGAGTGTGTCACTGTTGACACAGCATCTTAGGATGATATTACTCAAAATTTAGGTAAGTATTTCCTGGCACAGACCTGTGTATGGGTTGAGAATGCACACTTCCACAAATATGACGTTTCCACAAGAAACAATTTGAATCATAGCATATCAAATTGTAAAATTGACTAAATAAATGCTAAATGCTTTCAACTAAAATTGGCACTAATGTGAACAGCTTCCAAAAAGTTGCAGTGGTCTCTCCACCTATGGCAGAAGAAGCAAGAGCTTGTGCTGTTTATTGGTCAATACACAAATCTTCTATCCATCCGTTTCCTAATCTCTTCCTCCAATTCAGGGCTGCGGGAGAGCTAGGTTCCCTGAGCTAACCTCCCTGAGATACAATGGGAGAAAGCCAGGATACACCCTGGATTAGACAGGGGTTTATGTGACACTCACACCAGGGCTAATTAAAATAGCAGTATGTTTTTGGACTGTGAAACTCCACAAAGACTCCACACAGACAACACTCCTAGTCAGAAAGTAAACTAGAGAGCCACAGCTCTGAACAGCAGCAATGCAAACAACTGTGCCATCTCTTCTGCCATTGACAACGAAAATAAATCCCTACTGGGGATACCACCTTAGAAAAATAGGGCTTCCTGCAAATTTTTAGACCCTGAAGATGGAAGGACACTTTTTCTGGTCCCATTACTATTTTTGTTCTGCATTTATGCTGCAATGTGAAAAAACGAACAGGTTTTAACAAAAAAAGACCCTTTCCAGTGCTTTACTGTCATGGAAAAAAAACAGAAACACTAGTCCCTTGGGTATAAAAGGAAATTAAGTTCACTACTGCCCTGGTGTTTACAATAGAGTGGATACTAGGAAATATTAGGCAACACATTCACAAAAGAGGAACCAGTCAGACCTGTCTGTACAAATTCTCACCTCAGAACATACGAAGGTCTCAGAAGACAGGGATAACCAACTTTATTGGCAAAGGCAAAGGCATCTTCCTAAAACACAATACCAAAGGAAAATAAGTCATCATGCAAGAGTTTGTCTTCTGTCACTGGATTTCTTGTCAAATGTCTCTGCCATCCAGAACATTCCAGAGTCTCAGGCAGCCTAAGAAGCCTAATTTCTGCGAAACCTCAGGCAAGCTGCAGCATCAACACAGAGGGCACCAAGTGAGACTGAAATAGAGAAACAGCACCACCACTTGTTAAAATAAAGACCTGAGCCTGTGTTACAGGGATGATTTGTGGTTGATGAAAAGTAACAGCCTCATTTATCAAAGTGGTACTTAAGGCGATTTTTTTCTTAACAAGCTCCAGAGCCAGAAGTAACTATTAGATGCGTTTTAAAAGCGAGGAATTCAACTCATCCTGACCAAGCCTAAAAGGACTCCGACTTCATGAAGTCTTCAAACAAAGTGCAAAAACCGTTAAAACACCAGAAGTCTGGATGGATCTGTGACGCAATTAAAGGAACACATTGTAGGTTGTTTGACAGCAAAGAGCAATCCTCAGCTGAGAAACGATTTATTAGCAACCCCCACCTCTTAACAGGTGGGACTCACTTTCACAGGGAAAGCAGCTACCAGGTGTGCCAGAGACTGTACTAAACCTGGAAAACTGGGTCACACCTTAGGTTTGCCATTTTTTCAAAGCCCGGTATGTGCACTTCTCTTTACCTGCCACCAACCCCTGGCAGGCAAAGACATCCCAAGCATCAGAAGCAGAGAGATGTGCTTCAGGTTACGAGGGTGGGTGGGGAGAATAACTCCCCGTTTCTGCTCACCACCTGACAACAGCACCCATCCCCTCCGGTCCCCGCTGGGAGCCAAGCGCAGCGATGACCAACCAGTGGCCGTCCTCCTTACCAGAGACCTCAGAGCTTTCCACGGAGCCTGCGCCACCGCCAGCTCGTCCAGGATGCTCGAGAAGACGGATCTCTCCTCGGCCCGGTGGATCTGCAGCGGGCTCGTGCCCAGGAGTTTCACCCCGTTCTGGTGGAGCGGCATGGCCAGGTTGTTGGGTATCTGACCCCCGACGGAGACGATGCTTCCACTGCAGCCCTGAACATGGGAGGAGAGACAGTGGGAGATGGGGAGAGGATGCAATAACGGAAGGATGACTGCAGGAAAGACAGGGCTGTCTTCGATACTCCATGCTCCGCTGATTATGCCGACATGCTGATTTTGCACAAGAAAGTAATTCCGATGTTTGATAAAATATCCCAGGGATTCCAACCACTATAACTGTATATTTATCTGTGAGCCATTCAACTCTTTTTGTGTAAAACAGGGCATTCAAAAAAGATCTATTACATCTAGCTAAAACAGGGATCAACAGTATATTAATGCTATATCTAGGATCCCGGTCCTTTGCATGGTTAAAAAAAACGGAAGCAGACTGCAATCCAGATTTTTCACTGAACTGCAGTTTCTTACACGGCACTCGGCTCTTAAATATCAAGCTTGTTTTTTTGCAAATCTAAACGGACACATCGGGGAGCCAAAATAATGTTAAATATATTGCCTTTTGTGCTTCATTAGTTTAATTTGTATAAGAGCCTCCAGATCATAAAACCTGTAATGGACCAAACTGCTGGGGAATTTGAGTTGTAGTTTTTTCCCTACAACAAGAAATGAAGTGTGTGAGACATCGTAACACAGCCAATTCCAGAATAATATATTTTTAAGTAGACCAACCTCCCAAAACCAGACAGAGAGGTTTGGAGGCAGACTGACGAGAGAGCACTGCATTTGCACTCCTGTCTCTGTCTTTACTCAGCAGTGAAGAGAAATACTTTATAACATCACCTGTGTATATAAGACATCACTAACTGTCATTTAATTTATTAACCAGGCAGGAATACCTTCATGAGCTAACTATAGATAAGATATGCGTGTAACTGACACAAATATGTGCTTTTCTGAATGGATCAATGCTATTTCTGATTTATGTTTCAGAATTTATGACTATAAAAAACCCAGGTAAAATTAAAACTACGCATTTAGGAATAGCTAAAGTACTGCAGAATTTCCTCAGTAAACCTGCTTCCTAGGATATGCGCAACATCCTTCAATTTCAATTGAGACACAAGCTAGACACCCAGTGCTTTCCTTCTATTTTTTTTTTACAAAAGAAGGACCTCCAGCATACAGCAATCTTGCCAGCACTCCTTTAAATTACATCTCAAGTAGTGTCTATTCTGCTGAGCCACGGGATGACTTAGATCTCAAATCAGTGTCTTATTTTTCCAGCTTGATAGATAAATTAGGTATCAGGTATCTGTTATCTCGAGCAGCCGAATAAATAGGACCTCAGATGGCTGTTATTTTCCTATCTCTGGTGAAGGGGAAAATCACTGAAGAAGGGGTTGCTTAAACAAGAGCCCCTGCTGTAGGGACCTACAACTGAGCTAGTGAGTTAAAGACGAAGCAGACTTTAACATGTAACTGGTTAACCCAGTACTGTAGTGTTAAAAGCTGCCAGTAATCATTTACTTGAAAGAAAATGTAGGATCCTGTAATATATCTACCTCTATATATAACAACTATTGATGTTTTTGCCAAATTTAGGCATACACCGTGGTGTGATGTGGAAAAAGCTGCAGGGGATATCAGCAGTTTTTTAGCTGCACATTGGTTGAATAAATTAACTTATTTGCTAAATGACAAGTCAGATCTGATAAGTCCCCATCTTTCCTGACTAGCTCATGGTAAGATTTAATTGCTTAGAATGTGTTCTAATTCCAGTTGTCCTACCACATGCTATGAATAGCTCCAATAGGCCCAAACCACTTCATCACTTCATGTATCACTGATGATAAATGTTGATAAGTGTGTTAAAGGAGCAATCTTTCGGTATTCCAAATAAATAATGGCCTGAGTGATCCACACTATTCTCAGATTGCTGCTCCTGGGGTACAATCAAGCTATCCTCTGCTTCTAATCACCTCAAGTCCAAAACACAAAGGAGCTGGAACTGAAGGAAAGAACTGTATTGTGTTCCAAAAGGCACAAAACAGTGTTTACCACAGAAATATTGTATATACTGTTTAGAATAAAAACTTGAGCAAGGCAAGCCCAATAAAGAGATAATTATTCAAATTTTAAGAAACTTCAAATGGAATCACTTTTATGGAAATAGCCTATCCACTTACAGGTGTCTGAGTAGCAGGCTAAACCATTAGACAGCATTTAAAGACACACTGAGGTCAATGCAAGATCCTCCCCTTCCCTCTGGAAAGAAGGTGACGAAGATGCCACACCTCTTTATCTCTTTCCTAGCACATTATGTCAAATTTCGACACACTCTTTCATAGGTTAGATGTATTCGTTCAGGCAGCTGTTTGTCACGCTGGGGCTGGGTCCTCGCTCTCCAGCTAAACCCACGCAAACGAGTTGTCTCTCTGGCTGCCTATCAATCAGGCACCCAATCATCCAATCAAGCTGCCAGTTAAATACCACATAAAGGCTTGATGCACTGCTAGACCAGTGCTCGGACATTTAGCTACTGACAGCCCTGGTGTCTCTTCGTTTAAGCTGTCAGTCAATCTGTCCGCCAGGAACCTGGGCAACCTGCTTGTCTGCTTGAAAGCCTGACCTGCTCTGACCCGTTCTGGTCTGCTCGGGACCTGGGCAGTCCTGCACCGCAGGTACGCGTGGCGCGACACTATTATGATGAAAAGTTGCACGGAACACTGTGAGAAATGGCCTTAACAAAAGGCAAACAAAATCCTTCATCTACCTTACCTTTCCTGAGCCCACAGAACCAGTCTCCCCTGGGAGAGGCCATGGTGTCTGCGCGTTCTTAGAACGAGCCATTCCGGGGGTGCTGTGCCCCCCAGCATGAGCGGGCGAGAAAAAGAGAGTGGGACGGGACTGACCTCCTGCTGCAAGATGTCCAGCACACGCTCCAGGGTGAGCTCCTCGAAGTACAGCCGGTCACACTCGTCGAAGTCTGTGCTCACTGTCTCAGGGTTGTGGTTCACCACCACCGTGCGCCGCCCCAGCTGCCGCAGAGTCCGGATGCTGGAGACTGCACACCAGTCAAACTCCACACTGCTCCCTGCAGGGACAAGCAGGAGATATGCACACCAGTCAAACTCCACACTGCTTCCTTTAGGAATAAGCAGGAGAAAATGCACACCAGTCAAACTCCACACTGCCTCCTTTAGGAATAAGCGGGAGAAATGCACACCAGTCAAACTCCACACTGCTTCCTTTAGGAATAAGCAGGAGAAATGCACACAGTCAAACTCCACACTGCCTCCTTTAGGAATAAGCAGGAGAAATGCACACCGGTCAGGCTCCACAATGCTTCCACACTGTTGTTTTACAGTAATCCTGTCCAGCTAATATTTACCTGCTTTACTTTTATTGCTCATTCCATTAATTTCTTCCTTCTGCTACCTGTTGACCTCTCAATGTGGTGTTTGAAACCAACAGAATAAAGCAGTGAAAGCAATGTGCATCACTAGGCCTGTATACTGAATTCATTTCACAAAAATGAAAGACAAAAACTCAGAACTATTTAGCTGAGGTATAATTTGAGAAAAGGTGAAAGCTGAGCAATGTGAATGGAATCAAATGAAGTGAAAGTGCTCAGCATTAAGTTAAGCGCATCTCACCAATGTGATAGGGCCCACAGCCAAGCACCATCACTCCCTGATCAGTGAAGTCCAGGTCATGTTCCTTAATGGGGAGACACAACACAGGAGAATCAGTGGCAGGAGCTGTGCTAAATTAGCTTGTTGACAGTGGAGATGGGAAAGGGTGTGTGTCATGGGACATATTAATCTGCCCCTTCCACGTCCGGTAATCTGCATCCAGTAAGAGGAACTAGAACAACCAGAACCTACTGTGTGTCTCTTAATCAACACCATGTAAGAGTGGACACAGTCAATGGTATTCCATTAAATCTTAAAAAGCATAGTATTACTTCCAATTTAAACAGCAAACTCCCACAGGGCTCTGAGATCAGGACATGTCAAAGAAACTGAGCTGTGCCCAGAGTACAGAGCTATAACTGCAGGCTGAGGTCAAGTATATTATTTCTTTGCTCAATTCTGAACAGACTCTCACTCATAAAAAAATAGACAGTACCCATTTGTGCAGCTGGGTATTTACTGGAGTAAAATGAACTGAAGTACCTACAGCAGCTCAGAGGTAGAACAGCCAACAGCCTATCTGGGACTTGAACCTACTGTACCACCTTACAGTACAGATACCAGGAGCCTAACCACAGCTCCACATCACTGCCTGATATCACCAATAATGAAGACATTTTACTTTATTCTGTGCATTATCAACATAAATTATGTTTAAAAAAAGAAGCTACCATCTTGCTTGTCAGGCTACCTGTTGCCCATTGTTATGACAACTTCATGGAGTAGCTTCCTGGCAGGTTCTGGAAAGAAAGCTTTGGCAGGACTCACCTGGCCATGATAAGTGCAGTACAGGTAGTTGGTCACAGCAGGGTACTCAGCAGCAAGGGTGTCAATCTGATAACAGGAAAAGGAAAACTAAATTTCACCAACAAAAAGCTGAGGTCACAACTAGACATGTGATACACACTGAAACGTCCCACCAAAAAAATATTGCAAGAAAGATCTAAACTCAAGCCAGGGGCTGTAACCTTGTCCTCAATATGCAAAGACAGAAACAGTGAGGAATCCTGGTTCGGAAAGATTTATGCGTCACATGTGAGGAGATGGCATGGTTCAGACAAGATGGAAGCTACATGAACTACATTCCCCAGAAAGGAGTAAGGAATGACATGCCGGCCTCAGATCACCTGGACAACTGGTCAGAAGACAGTTTAAGGAAAAAAGGGAAGCCGAGACCAACGTTGTTCCCCATCTTCTGTCTGGAGACAGAAGGCAGATTCATCGTAGCGCGTGGCACAGTGGGAGAAGTAGCAATCGAGAGAGGGACCGAAGGACAGAGCTGTGGAAATGATTGTGAGTTTCGGGTTTTGTAGTGAATTCCTGTAGACAGAGTCTAGGGGAAGGCAGTGAGCAGCCTAGCCTCTTGGCAGTGTGTGTAGTGAGGGATGTTGAAACGTCTAGTTCAGACGCTCAGAATGGAGCTTAGGACTTTGTTTGGCATTTTAAGTTTTTGGAGCTTCTGTGCATTGTATAAAGAAGAGCACTGCTTTTTCACTCTGCAGCTACTGGACTTCATTCTTGCCTATTAAAAAAAAAAGATGTGTTACAGTACACTGCCCCCAGGTATGATACAAATACCAGCCCAAGCTCTCAGCCACCTGTTTGACCCAGGGCCTGATGTTCTTGCTGAGTCTCAAGTCTCTGGCCTCAGTCTCTGTAACTCCCAGGATCCGGCCGAGCTGTCGATCAGAGAACCCATCTTGCTTGGCCTTATGCAACAAATCTTCTGGCACAGTGGAGCTGGACAAGGGAGACACAATAACCAGGAGGAATCTTTACAATATTTGGGGGACACCATCATCTATAAGACATGGGAACCGAAACCTTTTTTGAAAAAGTCTGCAAGGTTTTTTAATTTCACTTAACTATTGAAGGTCTATGCAGAACTAAATCCAAACTGCCACGTGCCTTCAAATTCTCTCTTCAGTTTTCTAATAAGTTTGGGGTAAGATTTTAACGTTTTCAAGATTGTGAAGATTGTGCACTTTCATTAATAAACAATGTTGTTTAAATTAAACTATAAGGTTCCTGCAGTCACATCAAGAGCATTTGTAGGATGTGGTAGTTTGGAGGTCTTAGAAACAGCAGCCTTCCATATGAGTTTTGCTTTGAATCATTTAGATACTTGGCGCCCATATAAAGTGTAATTTCAATTATTTCTGGTAGACCCAAAACTCCAAATGCTCCCACTGTCCAAGTGCAATGAGATTATTTTTAACTACTTTAAAACAGAAATCACAGATTCCATACCATTTCTACATTCTGACAGTTGAGAGATGCAATGGCTGTTTGTCTCTCTGGCTGAGAGCACAGCAGTTTGTTTAGTATTTCTTACCAGTCGCAGATGAGAGATAAAAGGCAGATATCAGCAGAGGGCAAAAGAAAAAAAAAAACAGAAAGAGGCTCGTTTTCTCATCTAATTGATATGCTTAAAGCATGTCCCAGACTCCACTGCCTCCTGTATCCTCCACACGGCCGAGATTCCCTCATTACGCCGAAATCCCTGCTATCATTTATTATTAAACACCGGCGAGAGGAGGGAGGAGATGTTACAACAACCTCTATACACAAAAAGGAAAGACATGAATTTTCATTCTTTGGATATATATATACTGTATGTATTTCTAAAGTAAGTTCTAGGAGTTTTTTTTTTGGTGGAGGCACCGCAGTGAGGGAGAGGGAGTCGAAGAGGAAAGCTTCTGCTGTGGGAAGGGAGACTAATCTCTCTTCAATCCCTCACCTCCCTGGGGGAGATGCCTGCAACCACCATGCTGGCTCACTTGCAGTTGTGAGGCACGTGTACCTGCTAGACAACCGCTCCTGCACTGGTGGACGGGTCGGAGAAAGACTGTCCTCACTGGGAACACTGGTGGCCCACGGGGATACCACGCCATAACCTCAGATCAGTAGGCATTGAAAGAGACTGGCGTGACACGTAAGTGTTGACAAGGAAATAAATCAAAAAGTTATCCGTATCCTATAAGCTAAACAGAAAGACATCCATTTTTACATTACTATTTGGCGACGTATGAGAAGTAATAGTAACAGTATTGGCTGTCTGCAAAATTCAATAAAGAAAGTTTATTGTGGTTGAAGTTTCCCTCTCGTTTATCCACAAATACAGTACACAACTGCAGGCCTGCTAAAACAAATGGAAGCCTCTACATCAACTATATATCATGAGGCACTCAGGATGAAGGAAGTTTGAAGAATAGACAGGTAAAATGAAACAGTGTAATTTCATTTCTAATTAAACAAGGCTCGAACCAGTTTACTGCAATGTCGCCCTAGGTTTTCAGTATGACAGGCATAAGGATTGTATGTGTACCCAGGCTCACAGAGTGCAGCTCCCTTTGAGATTTTTCCTACTTACACACATTTATTCACTGCATCAGAGGATGCAAGCCACTCGAGGGCTGTTCCCTACCCAGAGCGGCATTTATAACCCAAATGTCAGCCAAACCACACAGCTTAAAATAAAAGAGTGGAGGGGGGCTGGAAACAGATGCTCCTTAATTAATGCAGGTAGGGGACAGGGTCAGGACAGAGATGGTAAATCTTAGTTTAGCCACCAAGTAGTATGTGATACCAAGGTCTGCACTCTCGTCTCTCTTCAAAAGGCAGACATTTATCTTTAAAGTCCCAAGAGTAGGCGAGAGCCCATAAGGATTTGACCCATCACCGGCTTATCATGCAGGGTAAAAACATGACTTACTGTCCTATCAGCCGCTATCTACACTTCCTGCCTTGCTCGCGGGTCTCCCTGCCTAGTGCCGTGCACGGCCTGGCTTGCTTGCTTTCAGAAATGTGACAGGTCCAGGCTTCAAGGCAGATGGGGGCAGTACCAGCTCCGCTCGCCGCAGCGCACCGCGCGTGAGTCACATGTGACTGGGCCTGCGCTTGGCTCCGTGTCACTGGTGCGCTACTGTGAAGTCTGCTATTGCCCCCAGCACCCAGCGGGCACGAAGCCTTGATGGGTATGCTGCTCAGGGCAGCTTCCACGGAGGGCATCGTGGTCTCAGCCATGTCGCATCGCGCTACCTTCATATCAGCCCTGACTGCATCCGAGTAGCTTAGTCATGCTTCCATACTGCTTCTGAGAGTCAAGATGAGCCGCTGGCCTGTCACTAGGAACGTACACTTGGATTTCAGAGTGCAGGACAGATCTATATCGCTTAACTTTCCCCAGGTTTTCTCGACCGCTCGTGTAAAATACTTACGATGCTTTAGGAGTGTGGAAGGGCGTGACTGTACAGTACCCGAGAATTCTGTTTCTCACTAACCGTCTCAAGACGTGAGACCGAAAGTCAACCCACACCAGACACGACTCCGAAATGCGTTCCTTTTTGACACAGCCTGTTAGATGCGCAGGCCCAGCAACCACATTGCTTAATTTTAGATGACCACCAAGAGCTCTCACCCTGCTCTGCAGATACATTTTTCACTTCAATAATCACTTCAATATTTTTGGAGAACTAAATAAAGCAAATCACTGTTAATAGCTCATGGTATTTTTTTCTAATAGATAGATACTTTATTGATCCCGTGAGGGAAATTGCAGTGCAACTGCAATAATGATATAACAGTGCAGTAATGATATAACAGGTTTTGGTTAAATGTTATTTAAATGTAACAGTACATTAATTCCTTGAATTTCTACACATAGGAGGGGTCTCACTGGATTCACCATCACTGAATTGTAGCACCCACCAAGGTGATGCACAGCAGCCATTGTGCAAGAGCAGCCCAGCTATACTATTCCACAATTGCATTATGCCCTCTAATCCTCTACATCTGAGAACTGAATTTTATGCTGAGGTGTGTTAAAAAGCATTTAACCTTGCATTAAATTGGTAAATTCGTTATTTTCCATTTGCACTAGGGAAAAGGATAGCGACAGCTTCTGTAGTAGCAAATCGAATATTTCGCAAAACCATGTTACTTTTATATTCGTCACTCACTTCACATGCTTCCAGTACGGATATATCTTTACTGCTCTCTTTCTTAAAGAGAGAAGTGTTTCTGTGAAACAAGGAGCCCAGGAAATGCAGGTGAATGGACCATTTCTTGACTACTACATTTTAAATGTCCTAATTTCATGGTTACCCTTATCTACTGTTTACTGTTTTTTATAGTGGAATTGGAAAGACACACCTCTTTTTTACTGATAGTTTCTTAAAGAGAAGTACAGTATTTTTAGCCATTTGCATTTCATGTCTGAAGAAAACATGGATTTCTGGAAGAGTTTAATGACCTATGATGTTTACAGTTCCTGCCAAAAATAATTTCCAATATTAATAGTTTTAGGTATTTCTTATCAACAGTTGAAATTAAACTCTCAAAAAAAAGAAATGAAAAGAAGTTTAAATCTTTTCAATAGATGAGGATATTGTCAGAGTAAAGCCTCAGAAAAAGAAGCCATGGTATGACAGTATTTCAAAATTCATACCCCCTTATTATTTAAGAGTAAGTATGGAAGCAGGTGTGCTTGGCCTAGCGATCAATGAAAGATAACAGTTTCACAGTGAGCTCTATAAAAAAACCTTACAGGATTCCTGCCTGGAAAAGATAATAGCCTTGTGCTGCTAGTTCACATCTTTTCAAGTCAAGTTGCCTTGTTCTTTAATTAACTTCATTTTTAAAAGGCATTGTGCTTCCTTTGTCTGAGCCTATTAGCTCCATGTTCTGCTAAATCTTTGCTTCAAAATGCCTTTGTTCATTTTGTCTTGGTGAATTTTTAATTTCCTTTGATTTTTGTGTTTCGTTCTAAAAGGAAAGGAATAGAAGTGAAACTTCTTCACTGTGGTGCAGTGCCATCTTCTGTTTCTGCCACTGTACTACAACAATGGTAAGCAAATGAAGCCCTCAAATTTCAAGTTATGTTAGGTGCATATATACATATTTCTCTGCCAAAATGTAAACTTATTCAATGTGATGTTAAAAAGCAACAGTGCCGTACGCTTATATCCAGACCATACAGAGAGCTCACCCTAAATGCTGTGTGAACAAGCAGCTGGCACTGAAATTTTAACAAATTTTACGAAAAACCCTGCAGGATTTTGAGGTCAAAATACTTACTGATTCCTGCAAACATCCTAGAAGATCACTTTTGGAGTGCCCACAGAAAAGATTCCTGTGGCCAAAATAAAGGAGACCTGCAGAGAAGTCCTGTCAGGCAGACATGTTGAGTGTTGTCTCTCACCTGGTGAACTGGCCCAGATGTTTCTCCAGCTCAGTGATGTGACGCAGTTTGTGTAAAAACCACTTGTCAATGGCTGTCAGTTTGTGAATTTCATCCACTGTCACCCCATTGCAGAGAGCCTGACACAGATAAGTGGGGGAGAAGAAAGAATAGTGAGCTGACCATCCTACACAGTGTGTGGGGCAAGTTTACCTGTGAATGTGGGAACAGAATTTGAGAAAATGTACCAACGAAGACTTGGTAACTCCAGACAAATGGATACTGTAGGAATACCACACTCCACAATGTGAAAAAAAAATAGATTTTCTATACTACAAATGGCATCTTCTTTTAAATCTAGAATAAATTCCACTTTGGTCCTCTGTTTTGTGTTCTACTGTTGACTCTGACTGCACTGGACTGACTTTGTCAATGCTTTTGAGGATTTTACAAAATTGAATCAGCTGCCCTTGTAGTCTTTTTGTTCGGGTCTAAAAATGGTTCAGTTCGTTTTGCTTTTCAGTGCAGGACATTCCCTTAAGCTTTGAAACGTATCTAGTTACTGTTCTCTGAAATACCTTTCTTGGAACTCGGTGACCAAATTGTACACAGTATTGTAAATGAGGTCATTCAAATTCTACTTTTTGAAATTTGTGCTGCACTTGTACCTAAGGAATTTTCCCAATGAACATTGAGCATTTTCACAGTATGCCTTCTAATGTAACTCATAACCAGTAGTCGGTGAAATTCTAGATCCAGGAAACAATATCATATTGCAGTCCATTACAAGGCTAACCTTGAAGGTTATTGATGTCTCTGAGCTTTATGTGATTTGGCCCATTACTTCTAAATAAATCTGCCAGCATCAATAAATTAATTCCACACATGAAACATTCTCTTTTCAAAGGGTCAGTGAAAAAATAAAGGAAAGGTATTTTCAAGGAGAGTGAAAACACTATTGAAGTTGTACCCTCAGCATCTACAGTCTTGTTCTGAAGCTCCCAAAAAAGTTTTTAAAAGGACATAGACACATTAATATACATAGAAAGGCACATTCCAAACCACCGCAGAACAGAGGGAGAGGAATCAGTTTTAAGTCAGACAAAAATACAGTGTCCTCCAGAGGTATTGGGACAGAAGTCAGAATTGTTATTTTTGATTTACTGTATAGTCAAGCAATTTGTATTTGCTTGAGATTTTTCATAATGTTAACATGAATGATCTGTATAACATAACATATTACAATAAGTACAATATAACATATTGCAATTTGCTGTGTATTACAAATATTAAACAAATATTTTATGGGCAGTTGAGACCAAGACAAGCATTTACCAAAGTAATTAAATGTTTGAAGTGTGAAAAGGCAACCAAAGACTGACTTTTACATTCTGAAATGTGCCCCAATACTTTTGGTCGCTTGAAATCACTGGATTGAAAGCAAGTATGATTTTGTTCTAATATGAGCATGAGTTTTCATGGAATCACCCAGAACAAATGCACATACAGTAAGCATCGTACTTAATCACAAATACAAACTGGCTTGACTTTATCTCAAAAAAACTTTTTTACATTTGCTGTGAATTCCAAGAAATGAATACGAAGATTAAAAACAGAAATTTCCAGAAAATGTGACACGCAGTCTTTGAATACTTTACCAATTTACTCCAAACCCACACCAAATGGACCAGAAGGAGCAAAACTAATTGATACTGGATAGTGCCGTTTGCTAGAAGAAAGGCATTCACATGAGAGTGGAAAGCTTCATCATAAATGAAGATTTTGGTCTTTCTTTCTTACATATAGTGTCATGAAATGATTGGTATTGCAATGGGCCCTGAGAAGGATGTGGTCACAAGAAATGAAACTTCACTTCTTCAGGAAGAAGCACAGCCAGGAACGGGACAGAGCTACAAGGTCGATCAGTCGAGCTCTTCTCTCTAAGATCACGGTTGTGGCCATGGCTGTCTCAGTACCTTTGCCAGGGAGAAGATGCGAGTGCTGGAGGGCACGGCCCAGTCCTGCTGCAGGTCCTGATGCTCAGTCCAGGCCTTCTTCATCGGCAGCCGGGGCACGAAGCCATCCACAGAGGGGTGGCACATCCGCAGGGCCTTCTGGATACTCTCCTCGAAGGTGCGCCCTATGGCCATGACCTGGGGGGACACAACAATGCCGTTACTCAGTAACGCTACTACAGGCGCCTAGGAGATGGACATCGGAGATCCTTTCAAAGAATCAGAAGGAGAAACAGACGTTTTCATTATTACAATTCTCCTGGTACGGATGATTTCATAGCTGAGCTCCTCCACATGAAATAAAAGTGCATGCAATATACCAAACTAAACTTTATTGCATTTGACATTTTATTGCACTATGGGATTCAATACATACTCTGCTATTTTACTCACATTCACTCTATATCTGCCATTCCTGAGACCTGAAACGGGTTTCAAGGTGAGGGTGTTAGCACTTATCGATACGAGCGCATGTCGGGCATGCGCGCGGTCCCCGGCATGTGTCTGCATGGGCGAGCGGGCTCACCTCGCCCACACTCTTCATGGCACTGCCAATCTCTCGAGACATGCCCTGGAAGCGGTCCAGGTCCCAGCGAGGGATCTTGGTGACGATGTAGTCCAGGCTGGGCTCAAAACAGGCTGTGGTTTTCCCCGACATGGCGTTCTTGATCTCTGGAAGCGGAATGCCAAGCGCCAACTTAGCAGCGACAAATGCCAGGGGGTAGCTGGTGGAAAAAAAAAACAGGATTGGAAAATTATAATTATACCGGGGTCTGGAGGCTGCAAACTACACTCTACTTTCAAATAAAAAAACAAAAAATACAAGCTACAAAGAGAAATGTACAGAATACATGAAAAAGCTCTTACTGCAATGGGAACCCATTCAAATAATTCTTACTGCCTGTCACAAATTGCCCAATGTATTATAATTTCTATTTGGATTTAAATCTAACCATTGGATTCTTCTATCAGACAGCTGCTGTAGCACTGTCTCTGCTTCTGCAAGTATGGATACCTGGTCTATTCTTACCCTGCGCAGTGAACCTAGCTAGCCTGGGGACGTTACTCATAAAACACAAAGGCTCTCATCCCAATCTCTTGTGAATGTTAAATTGAAGGTACCTGGTCACGGTGCAAACAGTTCTTTTTAAGTTTATAACTTTAGAGGTTTGGGTTTAGCTTTTATCTTGATCTGCTCCTCCCATCTTAAAACGTGAGCTGCGATCTCATCATGGAGGCCGATGTACAGGGCCATGTGTCTCACCCTGTGGCTTTGGAGGCCAGAGCGGAGCTGCGGGACAGCCGGGCGTTAACCTCAATGATGCAGTACTCCAGGGAGGCAGGGTGCAGGGCGTACTGGATGTTGCACTCTCCCACAATCCCCAGGTGCCGCACGACCTTGATGGCTGTCTCCCGCAGCATGTGGTACTCCTCGTTGGACAGGGTCTGGCTGGGGGCCACTACGATGGAGTCACCTAAGTGGAGAGAAAACTCCCTGCAATTGCACCTTCTCTTTGCAGTATGGTCCTGCATTTCTACACAGACATCTGTTGATCCCTTCTCACGTCAATCAATCAGGTATAAAGATGGCATGATAGGGAATGTGACTCTGGGGATGCATCAGTGCAAATGGGGAATTGGGTGCTTTCTTTTGACGAACGAGCGCTCTGTACCTGTGTGGATACCGAGGGGGTCAAAGTTCTCCATGTTGCACACTGTCACACAGTTATCAGCTACGTCCCTCACCACCTCATATTCCACCTCCTTCCAGCCCAGGAGAGATTTTTCTACCAGGATCTGTCTGCTCAGCGCCAGGGCCTGTGGAGAAATAGCCCAGCCAGTCACATGGGTACAGTAGGCCACCACCCCCAGCCAGTGAAACTGAAGAACGGGTCCAGTTACAGTATCTGCCTGCCATGTGGAAATGACATGGAAGGAACTTTGTCTTATTGTATAATATAGGCAATGATGTCATTTTGAGGACTAAATGCAGCCTTTGATGTGACAATAAAATTAAGTAGACGAGGACCAAGAACATACAATTCAGCCTTTATGCTTGCATGCCTATATTTGATCCATTTCAAGTTTTGCAAGCTGGCACCAAATAGAATAAACTTTATTTTTCAATCTATATCATTGCACATTTACCCATAAGAGACAGTACCTATTAACAAGCTGGAATTTTTTTTATTATTGCTGAATATTAAATAATAAATATTGCTGTTAGTTACTTACAAGGCCCTGCAGCATGCAGAGAAATATTGCAGCTATTGCAGCTGCCAACCTCATAAGCAACAACACCTGGTTTGCTTCCATGAAATGAGACTGCTTGATGACCACAGTTAGCTGCTGTGAGACTCTTGAATTGACTAACTCACTTTCCTGGCAGTCTCCAGGAGCCTCTCCCTGTTGGCACACAGGCCAGAGCCCAGCCCTCCCAGGGCATAGGCAGAGCGCAGCATCACTGGGTACCCAATCTGCTCGGCAGCCTGCAGGGCATCAGCCACCTGCGGGAGGAAACACGAGTCTATCATGCGTGTGTGGACAGCCCTTTTGATCCAGACCATAAATACACAGTGCCCCCCAGTTTGTGTGTTTGTGGCAATCCGAGTGTTACTGTTAAATAAGATGCCTCCAGGCAGAAACATGCAAAGAGCTTCCTGTGCAAAGATTCAAGCATATTAAATATAAAAGGAATTTGGTCCATCCATCCCTTTCAAAACTGTTTTAACCAACACAGGGTCATTGGGGGGAGCTGGAGCCTATCCCAGCAAGCAACAGACACAAGGGCAGAATACATCCTGCATGGAACATCAGTTCATCACAGGGCACACACAAACACAAGCACAAGCACACATTCAGACCTGGGCCAGCTTTCTTAAAAGGCATTCAAACTACCAGTACTGTATGTCTTTGAAATTTGCAGGGAGGAATACCCTGTTCCTCTGAGCTGCTGCAGAGGACTAGACCACAGTTTCACAGCTAGGACAGGGAAAAGGCATGGACAACAGAAACGGGTAGAGCTTGGAGGGATGCAAATCCAGCCTCAACACGCACTTGCTCGGCTTGATAAAGGACAATCGCCTGTTTAAAAACGTCGGGAATACAGTAGAGATTGCACGACTTGCTAGAGTGTGTACTAATTGCAGGACGTCTATTGTGAAAGAAAGTTTATTTTGTTAGGGAAAAAAAAGTATGTCTTTGGGCTGACTGTGGGTGGAAAACGGAGCACCCAGAGGAAACCCATGTGAACATGCAAAACCCACGTTCCCGGTCAGGAACTGAATGCAGGGCACTACTGCACGGCAGCAATATTAATCACTGCACCAGCATACCACCTAGAGTTAGGTCCAACATATACACTAGGAAATAAGAGCAGTTTCAAAACGGCTAACTGCAAATAGTCTTATCTAATTCATATTCTTGTCCATAACAGGCTTATACTTATATCTATTATATATTTTACACTTGAACCAAAATATGAACCAGAACAATAATATGGAAATCGACATAAATATTTAAAATTTAGGACAAAATAGGCATTAGTGGAGGTCTCGGGTATTACTTCACAACTCTTTTTTCAGCAGTGCAGTTGATTTGTTATATTTAATTTGTGAATAAGAAGCACCTCTGACGTATCTGAATAACTATTTGTAAGGAATGATCTTAGCAGGTGGGGACCTCAGTAAGAGTAAGCGACAGGAGGGATGAAAAATAATCGGCCTGCCAGAATACTTCATTAAAATTTACAATTCCGTACTGGGAATGTTCAAGAAAGAGAAAGTGGAATGAATAAAAGCATAAAGCCTTGAAATGACTTGAGTAATAGCAAAAACTAATTGGGTAATAAACCCATTTTGAACTGCCCCTACTGCGTGTTCCATACTCAGCACTCAGTTACTAAAATGAGTTATGTACACTAATTTCTCCAATGTAAAGTAATAACCAATGTGTTTTAAAGACAAAAGAAGTCAAGAGCACCAAGCTTCAGCCAAGCTGTTACACCAGTGACACATCTCTTTCTCTCTCATTACAGTTTACACAAGTATGCATCCATAATGAGACAGACTGCTATTGCCTATTAAACTAGTAAAGCATGACATTTCATTATCGGCAGACTCCTGTAAAATAAGGTTTCATCCCCTTTTCAAAAAACTAAATTAATATGAGCAGATAAGGTGTATAACGATCTTGATTTGAGGTGATAACGAGATCTTCACGGCAAAAAATCACCTTTATAACTAGAACACCAAAGAAAAAGAAAGTACGATCATTAAAATAAGAAGCAGTGAAATTTTATCTCTGCCAATAAGGATTTTAGATGTTAGAGCAGAATACTACATTGAAAAAACTTCAGTGACAGTACTTAACTGACTCAAGACCTCTTAAGGGAACTAATATCTGCTATTTCAACAAGACTATGCACAAGGAATTAGTGGTTCAGGTGCGTAGCTGCGTCAGCATGCATAGTCTGCAAAAGAACAAGTAATAGGTTTATTCCATATTGTAAGTCATTAGCTGAGACAGTTTTATTGTCAAAGTCTGTGCAGAGTAGAATTTACTCCTGATTTCCTGAAACTAACTGCAAAAGAAAACTTTTTCAATGGAAATGAACCTTTTTACTGAAACAGTTTTGGATTACATGCGAGACTCTCTAAAAAGAGAAAAGAGAGAAGCATGTAATGCAGTAATTGAAACCGATATTTTGGGCTGGAAGCTATATAAAACCTGTGTACATTTCAGCATTTACTATCTAACCCTTTAACACAAGACTGGGGCCCAGAGCCTCACCGTCTCCACTGCAATGCTGGGGGCAATTTTCTCATTGATCGCCGTCAGCTTGTCTGCAAAGAGCTGACGGTCTTCAGTGGCCATGATGGACTCCACTGGCGTACCGAGGACCTGCACCCCATACTGACGCAGCACCCCACTCTTAAACAGCTCCACCCCTGAGGAAGGTAAACAGGGACATACATGAGCACCCAAGTCCAGTGACCTCAGACGTCAGCACCCGAGAAGAGTCCAGTGTTCACAACACAAACACAGTCTACAGCACATATATTCATGTCTCTCCACCTCAAATCACAAACTAAGTATTGGTCTTTTGAAAGAAACACTTTATAATAGAGAAGCTTGTATCCAATCAGGTGGTTGTCCAAAAACAATACCAAAAGGCCATAACTCTACTATTCTTTGATTTTTCTATACCATAAGAACTGAAAGAAATATGAGGAGGCCATCCTGTCTATCTGGACAATTTGGCAGTAAGTATGTAATTTTTAATACACCTGTGGATAGCCATGAGATTATATTTTTTTGTTCACAGAACATTCCAAATCACCCTGGAGAATGTAGAGAACCCACTTCAAGGGTACAGTACAGCACTCACCAGAAATCACCGCGAGGCCAGACTGCTTTTGGGCTAGGACCTTCAAGCAATGAGCAAACACAGCTGTTCCATAAAGGAAAGAAAAACAGACATAAAGGCCCTTTGTCCGAACTCACCACAGTCAAGAGCTGTCTGGCCACCCATTGACAGGAGGATCCCATCAGGCCGTTCTGCCTTGATGACCTCAGTGACAAACTGTGGGGTGACAGGGAGGAAGTACACAGAGTCTGCCTGCTTGGAGCCCACCTCGTTGGTCTGCACAGAGGCAATGTTGGGGTTCATTAGGACCGTTTTCAGGTTTTCTTCCTACAGCAGGAATTAAAACAGGAAAACAATAAGAAGAAACTCAAATTAGTAACGATGTGTCTGCCACTCTTCTCGGGCTACACATTTCAAGCCGGGCCTGTTGGTAAATGGAAGGAAAAAAAAATCCAAGTAGCAATCTCTGTTTGTTACACTAGCAGTGGTTAAAGAAGATTCCTGCTGTCTGTAGACATCTCTGGTTCAGCGCATTTCAGAAGCAGATGGTCCCTGATGCATCAGCCTCAGAGCTGTGCTGTTTACCTTCATGGCTTTGATTGCCTGGGAGCCGGAGTAATCAAATTCCCCTGCTTGGCCGATAGACAGCCCCCCTGACCCCAACACCAGGACTTTGGACACCTGCAAGGAGAAACACTCAGAATATCACTCACAGCAGCACCAGGGTCCACTGGACCAAACTGCCCCCCTCCCCCTGCATGTGCCGGATATTCAATGCAGAAACAAAACTACTTTACTATTTAATATTGCATGCTTAGTTTCTTAGTTGAACTCCATACAAGTCAGTGCAAATTGCAAAGTTTAATGTATTGTGTACCAGGTACAAATACTGTAACTGCAAAAGCCTGGAGTCTGTAGAACCTGAGACAGAACTGCTATATAATAAGAGCTATTGTGTCCCTCAGACTTCAACTACCCTTTGAGCACTGCAACTCACACACAAAATACAAACATCACAAGTTCCTTCACTTCATTCCATGGTTGAATGGGACTTATTTTCATGGTCATGATTATTTCTCTATGAGTAACTAAAGGCCAGGAGCTCTTTAAAGACCACAGAAAAGAACGTGACCTTTCCTTAGAATAAACCATTAAAAATGTGATTTTTTTAAAGGGAAGATGAATTGTTCCTCAAAAGACCAGGGCTAATTATTTAACAGTTTCATATTATGTCCTGTCATAAAAGTGAATTTACACAGCCGGATCTTCATTTCGCTAATACGGCAGTAAAAAAAGAAAAGGTCTAAGGTATAGAGAAAATTTCAGGCGTAGATACAAAACTGTACCTGTGCTCGCTTTGGAGGCTGGACTTTTTTGGGCATCACTGACATGATGCTGCTGCCCTTGTCTTTCTTAATCAGGGAGATGAATACATCAAACAGGAACTGCAATGGAAAGCAGACAAATTATTTTTTTATATAAATGCAGAAGAACGTAAATGAATATCTGCAGACACCTATTTTCTTTCTTTCGAGAATATCAGAATGAGTTAATAGTTTGGCACGGTTCTGCAAGTCCATGATAAATAACTCCCATAAAACATATGTGCAGCCTCAAATTAGACCTCACTCGATGGACATAGGGTCTGGTAAGTCTTGCAACCAGAAATCTGAACGCTACTCAAACTAATAGTTCTGTTGCTTCTCCTGTGTAAACACTTACCACTGTAAGATTACAAGTGTTCTTGTAATAATGGACTTGTAATGCTTCAAAACTCTCCACCAGGATGCTAATTTCGGAATCCCTTCAGGTTTCTGAAATGTGTTGTGTGATGTACATGTCCCTCTTTTATGCCACGAACCTTAACATGCCTCCCTCATAAAGCATAGGTTTTTTAGGTTTCAAACTGTTTCGCAGCAATGTGCACTCATCATTCCCAAGTCGCCAGTCTACATCATGCCAGACAATGTTATATACAGGACCTACAGTACCTCAGTGTCAGTGGGGCCCCCTTTTGCCTCAGGGTGGAACTGCGCAGTGAAGATAGGCTTGGTTTCATGCATTATTCCCTGAGAACGACAAGGACAAGACAACAATCCAAACCAACCAGTAAAAACATGGCACTACCCTCTTCCACACTACCTGTATCCCACCGTAGTATTTTAAATGGTTTATGGCTTTGTATAAGGTGTAACTAGGATTTATCTAGCTCGTCTATGCAAGGTCAAAGAAGATCCTGCAGTACCAGAAATGAGTGTAATGTCTTTTGCCTTTAGTATTTATTAAAAAATACTACCCAATTGTGCTACTTTAATCACTGCAGGTACATATAGGGCTTTAAGAAAAAAATCACAGACAGAAGAGTTGCATCTTATTCTCGACAAGCTGGGCTTGGTAGGTCCCCGCTCTGCGCTGAGGGCGACACCAGCTGTACCTCGTTGGTGCCGTCATTGGCGTTGACAAACAGAGGGCGCCAGCCTGGGGGCAGCGACTGGCTATCTATCCCATAGCCGTGGTTCTGAGCCGTGATGAAGGCCTGGCCATTCACCACATTCGTCACTGGCTGATTCTGGCCTCTACAGTGAGAGAGAGGGAGAGGAAAGAAGGAAAGAGAAGGGGACACGGACAAGGAAAAACAGATCGTTTTTTTGGGACAACGCTGTGCTATAACTGCAAGTGCGACTGGCACCATTTCTAGAGCGAGTGTTTCTAGTCATGGGTGATTTAGCAATCGAGACGCTTATCTGGCGTGAACCCGCTGTGCTGAGGGCCATGGCCTGGCCAGAAGGATGAGGTCACTGGGACTGCACCCCTGCCAGGAAGGGCGAGCCCGTATGTCTACCTACCTGGGCGGTTATCCCCTGCTTTTGAACATTCACTACAATCTTCCATAAAGGCAAAGAATAATCAGATGCTGCAACTTTAAGAACGTGGAATTCTGCTCTTCAGTACCCTCTTTGGGCTGGGATATTTGTCTGTCAAGTTCTAAAGCCAGACTCCACCAGTGACATCATAGGCAAGAAAAAGAGCAATTAAAAATAAATCATTTTGGAAAATGAGCCAACAGTTACTCGGGTCTTTAAAGAAAAGGAAGCAAACTACACAGCTGTAAAAGCCTTTGGAAGTTGCCCAATATGTCACAAGGAATCTTGCTCGCTGTGAGAAGAATAGCCCCTGAAGATTACCTGTTTCCCATTGGGAGCTTGTATGACTTTGTACCAGCAGCCAGCGCGGTTATCTGGTTCCCCATGCAGATCCCAAACACAGGCTCCCGACGGTCGCTCTCTAGGACCTGACGACAACACTAATCCCTCAGTGGTGTGACAAGTGAATCATGTTTCATTTCTATCTAGTGAAGAACAGTGGCAGACAAGTGGAATAAGAATTGCAATTTCTCTTTACACATCACCTGTTACGGAACTGTAGGTTTTGATTAACATTTAATTCAATTGCTTTCCAATCCCCGCTCAAGGGATCTCCTTAAGCTCTGTTTTAAAATCACATAAAATTACGACAGTCAGATCTTACTGGATTTAAAGTTCTCTTTAACATACCTGGACCTGTATAAAATGCCATGGTACCCCACCAGAAGACTGCAATGCAAGTGGCGCTGCCATTAGTGGTCACTGGACTAACACTAATTGCTTAATTACAGTGTAAGGATTTGCACTTGGGATTTATTGAGTACAGGGAGTATCACAGAGTTACAGTAGATGTCAGAGTTTGAGTTAGAGCTCTGGGACTGTGTCTGTTTATATTTTAATTTACTGAAACTTTGTTTTGCCAATCAAGCAAATTGTGAGTGACCCTGTACCGTTGAGTTACACATGTGTTGAAGTGAAGTTTTCATGAGTAAAATTAAACACATGAGAGACACACGACACACATGAGAGATGGCATTACAGCAACGCAGAGGGAGACAGCACTTACAAAAGGAGCTACCTGACCTACCTACCCCAAAAGATCTTTCACAGGAGGGAGAGCAAAACAGAAACTCTGTGGCTATTGAGCACAAAATATGGGCACCCCTTGCAAAAAGTTATACTGTATCTCTGGGACTAACTCTCTTAGACAATCCTAATGTGCAGCCCTCCCCCCATGTTAAGCGGTGCTACCCGGGCAAGTACCTTGCGGAGATTGTCAATAAGAGTCCTGGCCAGGGCAGGGTTCCCAGGGCCATTTGAGATGAACAGCCCATCATACTCCAAACCCAGCAGCTCCTGATCCCATGGTACCAAGTGTACCTCAGCCCCATGCTGCAGAGAGACACCAAAGACACAATATTAGTGCACCGCTGCAATGGTAAATGAGAGATGGCATTACAGCACTGCAGAAGGAGACAGCACTTACAAAGGGAGAATCAGGCAAAGCCTTCACTCATTTAAGCCTCTGGAAGTGCCAGAGGACTATGGACCTCATCTGTTCTTACGAGGTTAAATGGAATCGCAGTTTAATTTCCAAGCAATCATCTTGCAGTTTTCAGTAGGTTTCATGTCACTTTTACGAAATACAAAAAAAAACCACAAAAAACTGTCTGCAAGCATATTCTCAAGTTCTTTACCCCAGGGTGCAAGCTGATCCGGAGAAAGTCTGTTGGCAGATGGTCTGGATAATAACTTTCCCCTAAGAATCCCAAGAGGGAAACTACTGTATAAATAATCTAGCAACCTCACCTTCACAAGAAGTCGGATGATGTTGTGCTTGATCCCACAATCGACTGCAACAACCTTAATGGGATTTCCTTTCCCAAATACCTTTTCCTCCTATATATTGACACAAGAGGGGAAGAGTCATCAAATCATCACGCACTATGAAAAAATATTTAATACTCAAGTGCTGTTACTCCTCAACAACCCAAATGCATGATTCCTAAGAAAGCTTTCCTGTTGTACTTCTAGCACTAAAAATAATAAAGCTGTTCAAAATGGTTGAAAGATTTTTTTTTTCATTTTCTCATTTGTCAGCAGTATTAAACTGGAGTATGTATACAGTATAATGTGTGGTTGCTTCAAAGGACTTTGAGCAACACACCACTCTCTGATGTTGAACTACGCCTTCCTTAATCTGGTGTGAGCTTCATGCATGTGGCAATGATGCATCTAGAAGCCAAATCTGGACAAATGTATTGTATTTGTCCACAGACCTCACTCAAAAATTGACTGAAAGGCATACTTTAAAGCAGGTACATAATAATCCAGTTTGTAAGTGGCTTTGGTGATACACACACCAACTGGCAGGAACACTCAAACACAGGGGATGACAGAATAGGTTGGTTTACTCAAAGCTAAATAAGCCAAGAACATCAATTATCCCCATCTATGAATTGGCTACATTACTCTGCTCTCCTCCCCACTGACAGCTGATGTGTGGTGAGCGTTCTGGCGCACTATGGATGCCATCGCATCATCCAGGTGGAGCTGCACATTGCTGGTGGTGGAGGGGATCCCCATTACCTGTAAAGCGCTTTGAGTGGAGTGTCCAGAAAAGCGCTTTATAAGTGTAAGCAATTATTATTATTATTATTATTATCATCACAGAGTTTATTTGGTTCTTTAAACAAAGACTAGGCTGTTGCCACAATAACAAGACTGAGCCCACAGCCTCCAGACTATTACCTTTGTAGACACCTCAGCTACCAGATTTCGATGATTTGGGTCCAAAAATTTCATTGGCTGCCCTTCAAATTCAATTTTTCCCAAAACCGTACCCTGAAAAATGACAATGAAACCAAAGAAAACCTTCAGAAAAAAGGAAACTATCTTGTTTTTAAAGAATTCATGCTAAAGCTTTTTTTTCCAAGAGAGGAAAAACACCCAGAAGAAGGAACGTTTCTGTAAATATACTTTGTTAGCTGAAACTGTCAAAAACATAGCCTTATCTTATTCACCTTATCTCTGATAATTTTAGTCAGCATCCTCGTGTCCACTCCATACAAAGCTGGGACCTTTAGAGACAGAATTATTGCGGGTTACAAACACTAAATATTCACAGTCAAACAGGTGGGTAAGGTGAAATTAAGACATTGAAATTTAAAGTGTTAGTTCGTTCTGTAAGAACACCTGTATTTTGTCCTCTGCATATTCACTTTACATTAGCGTAATACCATACACTGTATACATTACATTTGTCAGCCACATCCAATTCACCTTACCAGACTTTAATAAATACATTACATTATAATGTATCTGACTGACACTTTCATCCAAAGCATCTTATTAATTGACCATATTTTTCCAAAAAAATATTAAACCGTTTTATAAACACAAACATGAATCCAAAGTACACAGCTGGGTATGCTGTAGCAATCGAGGCAAAGCATCCTGCTCAAGGGTACAGCAGCACCCAGGGATTTGAAATCACAAGCCCTGATCTGGAGTCTCTGTTCCATACCACCAAACCTTGCTTGGGGAACAACAAGGAGTTGCCAGTCTGAGAGGAAATATCTGATGTCTCTGATGTCATATGTACAGCAAACATATGCTTTATAATGCAACCCACATACTGAGCTATAGAAGTATGGAAAGAGTTTCAGGAGTCAGGAAACTGCCCAGCCATGCTGTTGGTGCCGAAACCCTGGCTTCTTTGAAGAAACTGTTGGATGAGATCCTTGGATCAATTAACATTTCTTGTGTTCTTACTGGTTGGGACACTACACAGGGAGCAATGTTTAGCACAAAGGGTGTCTGAAATAAGCTATCCAGCTATGATGCTGAAGTTGACATCCTCGCTTCGTTCAACCAATGCCTAGATGAGATCTTCAAATTAAATCGTTTGGCTTAGCAGCCAAATGACCTAGACAGGCTGAACGACACTCTCCTGTTTTGTTCATTCTTCCTAAGTTCTTATTTATTTACCACCAGGAGCTCGTTGGGCAACTGTAAATAATGGCACACACAGAGAAAAGGTGATGAAAGGCTGCCCTTGTCTCTGGCAGTTTCTAGTCGACATCTCTATGGCGCTTCACTTGTCTTTGATATGTAGGCCAACCAAAAACCGCTTCCAAGCCATTTCTTTGACTCCTTAAGCCATTCACCTGTTTCTGTGGAGCTCTACTTAATAAACCAAATAAAACACTTAACAGATTTACCTCCCTTGACTTTGTCTACTTTGTCACTTTGCTATACTTTGTCTTACAGAATACACATATACCCTCTACATTAAAACCACAAATATATACCAGCATTAAAGTTCACACTAATACTGAATAAAATAGCAAATGCTAGATTACTGTACCTTCTCCTCCTGCAGCCACTGTGCCAATGACTTTACCGAGTTCCAGTGACTGTACTCATGACTATAGTCCTGCACCAGTAACCCCGATACCTGCAAAAGCAGAAGATCACCAAGACTCAACACTCTGCATTCATTAATTCACAATTAAACAGCACATTTCAGCAAATCTAGCACATTAGTATAACCCAAAATTTACAGAAACCTCCAAGATCGCCGTTAACACTCACCAAATGTTCTTAAATCCAACACTCTCAAAATCTCAATCCAACACTCTCTTCATCTCAAGATCTTCAACATTTTCTCAAAAGGTTCAAAGGGGAACTGCAGTCCCAATTTCTCAGACCGGCTGTTAAATCTCGGTAACAAAATGAATTCATTGACATTTTAAAAAAATATGACAAATTTCAGATTAAACACATCATGAACTTTGCTAATGTACTGTAAGTCGCCATGTTGTCGCAAGCTCGCATTCGAGTTCCCATGAATTGCGACGGGATGCGGCCCTTCCTGCTCACTAGTCACCATAACGACTAATGGAATGTGATGTATGAGTGAATAAATACAGGCGCAGCAGACATTTTACCGCAGAGATTTCAATGTTCAAATGTGATCTGCATCCAGAGTTAACAAGTACTCTAAGTAGTATTTGTCGGCAAAACTGTCTCGAAATTGGAAGCAATATTTCCATTGGATTAAAAGAGATATATTCACAAACATGCTCGTTTACAATGTAATAGGGCTGGAACACGTCACCTGATGTTTTGTTGCCCCATTCTGAATCATGCAATGGCACTGTACATACGTGGAAAATTCCTCTATTTTGTGATGTACAGTAAATTGGAGGTTTTACATGTTAGTGTGCACATTTGACTTTTATTGTGGCTTAAAATCTACTCATCAATGCTGATTCTTTCTAACCCAAAATATAAAAATAGCATTGCAGTTCCCCTTTAAATCTTATGATAGAGTGTAGAGAGGAGAGAGGGAATGGGGTCACTACTTGGTGAAGGTTTTAAAAATTGGATTGCTCTTTATTTGTTTGTTATGTTGGACTGTTTTCTCCCCAAACAATTAAAAAATAATTATTCACATAATTATTAAATACTCTGTGAATAAAGAACTCTATGCACGAATACTATTTAAATACTGTATCTATACAGTAAAACCTCAATATTCATGTGTTCTACATTTGAGAATTCACCTATTTCTGAGAAATTGTTAGTGACCACTTTATTCATATTCACTAACCAAAGTTGTGAATATTGAGAATAGATTCATATAATGGGTAATGGTTTAGTTATTCAGTTATCATTAGTTAGTGAGCTGATTTGTTTGCATGCAATAACTTGAATTATAGGGGGTGAAACAAGGGGGTAAGAAAACTTACTACTTATTCATAGTTCATTTTCATTATAAATACTTACTACTAATACATATACTAACACTACTTCTGGAACAGTTAATTATAACAAAAATATTCCTATGGAAATGCTTGTTTCACAAGCTGCATATTCATGCCTTATTTTTCCCAAAAGATATTAAATCCCATATTTGCAAATTCACCATTCGGGAAGACTTCAATGTACCTAACCCCCATAAATACCAAGGTTTTATTGTATGGAAGTTTACTGTTGATTGTTGAGGCTTACAAACAGAAATACCTGAATGCAATCAGACTCTATGTGCTTCCTGAGCCCCAGCTCATCCAATTGCTCAGTGTTGGGAACTCCGTAGTTGCCCACAATAGGGTAGGTGAGGGTGAGAATCTGGCCCCTGTAGCTGGGGTCTGTCAAAGCCTCAGGGTACCTGCAGCACAGAAAGGGCAGCAGACCGGTCAAGTGAGGAGGCCAGACAGCAGGCCAGCATCCATTCTGATGGACACACCTTCAATGGTGCTAGCACAGAAGGTCATGCTTACAGACACAATATTGAGACTTTGGCCGTTCTGTTGCACATAGGTTTTTAAATGATGTAAGATCAATACTAAAATGAACTTAACTGACAGCTCAGAATACAGTCTTCAGTGGCTCACAGGTTTAGGACCACAATAGCAAATCCCCCCAGCAAAAAACGAGAGAGGGAGAGGTTTCTGTGCCAGAGAAGCACATGAGCAGAGGGATATGGCCCTCGAGGAAAAATCAGAAAAGACTTTAACCTTCTGCAAATGTGCAAAGCATGGAAGTCCCAGTTGCCCTTGGCACTGTGCTTCTGCAAATGCTATGAGCTATTAGTCTATTAGCCCTTACCCCACCAGTCCAGTATTAAACACCAGCTCTCCAGAGCCTGAATGTGGAGATCCAAAGGAGAAACCTTTCATCCGTGTGCCATCCTCCAGCACCAGGTGTGCCGACTGGGCCTAAGAGACAAAAGGAGAGCAGTTTATTGCCAGTTGAAAACCGCTGTCTTCATTTTGAACTCTGCAAATGAATCAGGGATGAGTAACTGCACATGAACACAATAAACAAACATAACCTACTACGAAAAACTGAAGCTCACCACCATTCCAGGCATTTTTTCAAACCTGCTCTTAGAAGGTAAAATGGCCTTTTCCCTAGCCCTATCCTGTCTTGTATGTTCAATTTCTCACAACAATTAGCACAGAATTTGATAAACAATAAACTAATCTCGGTCACAGTACTGGCTATGTACAATGCTGAAGTAGCACATGTTGTAAAAGCAGCTGAAAGTTCTCCCTTGTGCTTTAAACCAGCTGCACATATCCTATGCAGCTGTGCTGAAACCTCCTTTTAAATCAGTATCTACTGTTCCGACTCCAGTCTTTGCCATTTAGTGATCCATGCACACTCCCTTTCTGGAGGCATAATGATATTGCTGTACTGAATCTTATAAGATACCATAATAATCCCTCACTATACAAACAACTGCAATGTGTTAAGTGCATATACTACAGGATAGTACCTAATGGTGATGCATTTGCTAACAACTGGGAAAACTGGCCCTGGTGTGAGTGTGTGCGTGTCTGCGTCTGCCCTGCGATGGTCTGGTGTCCCATCCAAGGTGTATCCTGCCTTGTGCACACTGCAGGCCAAGATAACCTCCTGCTCCCCCGCGTCCCTGAACTGGATGAAGTGCTTATAAAATTAATTAATGTAACAATGTAACTACGGTAGTGTACCGTAAATGAGCAAGAGTGTTATTGTTTTCCTACATGTTGTTACATTACACATTGGTTAATAAGGATGTGACCCGAATAATTAACCAGGAGTGTTAGTTTCAAGCTCAGGTATCCTTCTCTGCTGTATTAAGGTGAAGCTTGGGTGTTTGAGGGCACATTATTCAGTTGTGGATTCAATCAGAAATTATAACATGGGAAGCAATGGAAATGTAATATTCGTTATACAGGTTTTCACCCTACGAGCAGTTTTTGAGGAATGAATTAAGCTTGTATAACAAAGGATTACTGTAGTTTTTCTTTAAGAACATAAGTAGGTTTATAAATGAGAGAAACCATTTGGCCCACCTAGTTCATTTGGTTTTAAGTAGCAATGATTAATATATACATATTAATATAATTGATCCTGTGATCTCATCCAGCTACATCTTGAAATACGCCACAGTATCGTCTGGGTAGCCAGTTCCACACTCCCACAATGCTCTGTACCAACAGTGCCTCAGACTTCTCAGTTCTAATGTGCTTCCTCTTCATTTCCACTGGGGTCCCAGGTTAACTTGTTTAACAATGTTTTTGATCATTTGGAACACTTGAATCAGATCTCCTCGTCATCGTCTCTCTTTAAAACTCAAAAGATTCATTTTCTGGACAGGGAAGACCTTTGAACTAAGAAATGTATATTGCAGCAATTCTCTGAACAGATTCAAAAACACCAGTAACTTTTTTGTGCTGCTGTGACCCAAAATACTACATTCCAAATGGGATCTTAGTAGTGTGTTCAATTTTAAGATGACATGCATTGATTTAAAATTCTGCATTTTTAATTATCTTCATATACTCTTTGAGCTTTATTGCTTTTGTAGTGTGGACAATATAAATTATGTCATCATGCACTTATTTATATCATGTCAGTCATTTGCCACTTGTGAAGTCTTTCTGAAAGTGTTTGTTGAATATGGGCTTTGTACTTTGGTCTTTATTTTTAAGAGTCAGCAGGACCAATTCAGACAATTTCTTGCTTAGGAATTTGTCTTTTCGCATACCCCAGCTTTTCCCCATGGAGACACAGACAGGGAGAGAAGCTTGGGGTCAGAGCGCAGGGTCAGCCATTGTACAGCGCCCCTGGAGCAGTTAGGGTTAAGGGCCTTGCTCAGGGGCCCAATGGAGTAGGATTCCTCTGCTGGCCACAGGATTTGAACCGGCAACCTTCCAGTCACAGGCGCAGATCCTTAGCCACAGAGCCACCGCTCCAGTAACTGTGTACTCCACCCCAAAATAACAGGCTGTAAAAAGAGGAAGAATAAGAACAGCCAGCCCCACTAATGTCGAACTGATTCCGACTCACGCCATGTGTAAAACACACAAGGGCAGTGGGCAAGCAGCTTCACTGTGCTCCTTACACTGCATACAGAACTCTAACCACACAGCTCTCACCTGCTACAAATGTACTACAGGGATTAATCCAGGCAGCAGAGCCCTGGAGCACATGTGTGCTTTCAGGTATTCATGAGTTAATTACTGATAAATTACGGTCATAAAAATACAACTTTCATGAAAATATGAGACCGAGGTGATGTGTCATTCCACAACTTGTTGTGACTGGCAGAATTGACTCCCTTTATCGGCAATCATAATGGACATATCCTGTCATGAATGTGACTGAGGAAAGACTGTCAAACAGGTTCTTACATTAAAGCCTTTGGGGGGGGGAGGGGAACGTTTTTTATTCCAAACTTCACTATAATGATATAATGATTATAGTGATATAATAATGATTATATTGAATGATTAAATTGAACAAATGAGATGGATCTTTTTTTTAAGAACATGTAGGCATCGGGTACATTCTTTAGGCTCATTGCCAGAACAGAACTGAACTGATACTGGGGTTTTTTTTTTCACTCATCACGAGTTTAACAACTTGCAAAACGTGCCTCAACATAAACCACAGATTTAGAAACGGGGCCGAGAGTTTTGCCGTTTCAAATTAGGACTACTAGTTATTTCTAGAGAGTATATCTTCATTTGTGCTTAAAATCGTATTATGTTTGGAAAACGTGGTTAAAACATAGCCAGGATGGGTGCTGAGCCTCGTTTCCAGAGATGTACGATGCATTGAAATAATACGCACAGAAGCATAGTACTGTAAATACACAGAATGTATGTTTTTAAGAGCTCATATCACTTGTGTGAGTCCTGTTTCTTGGTGCTCTGATTTCAGACTTGACCATGGGTCCAAATTCGGGTGTCATTAAGATAAGTATGGTTTCATTAGCGTTGTAAGAGAAACCAGACTTGCAGTGGATTACACTTCGCCAATGTTAGAGGCTCTTGCACAAGCTGCAGTGTTAGTAATACACACATCTTTTCACTGTGTTTTTTAGACGTAAGGAGTTTTGTGATATATTACTCGTCTTACATTTAGACCAACACAAATGTCAGTAAAAATATTTAAACCAGAGCAGCCATTAGGGTCATGTCTATCACCTTGCCCAGAAGTGAATAAAAAATAGTATTTTAAATGTCAAGAGTATTTTAAGTGAGTGAGGGAGCAAGATGCATGTGAATTTAAAGAAAAAATAAAAATAACCAGAGCTGTGCAATACGACCTTAGTGTGTAATGTTGCGGGTCATATATTTCCTGGTCGAGGTAATATGTTTAAAACTTAAAGATAATGTTTTAGGTTTAAGAAGAGGTTCACTTCCTCGCTGGCAAGAAAAATAAAGACTCAAATGTACTGAAGCATGCAACTGCGCGCGAACTCTTCAAGTCACTTGCAAATTAAACAGATGATCTAGTACTGCACTAGGGTTCGCTGTATTTCATATGACCACGACTCACTCTTCTGCTACTTACAATACTAATAATGATAACAATAATACAGCTTACCCCTGCGCTGAACAATCGTGCTCCAACGGCTCTCCAAGTAGCGGTGCTACCGTTGAGTGTGAACGGCAATCCATGCTTCCAAGCCCTGACCAATTTAGAAGCTGTCAATATCTTTGGCATATTCGATTTTTACAAACAAAAATGTCAGCGACACCTCCGCGTTAAACCACAGTCTGTTCAAACGCGCGTCTTGTGCGAGCAGCTGCGATACGACACCGGCGCAACCTGTCGCAGGAGCTCGACTCTGGGCTGAGTTGTGCAGTTAGCTGGGTCTGCGAGGAAGCTGGAAAACTTTGCAGTACTATTGCACTGCGCTTATGCCACATGTGCAACTATTGCATCTGTCTAAATTAGTCCCTTTGACTCCCTAAAGACAGACGTGAGTACATTTGGAAATGAGCTTTAGAGAAGCACCAGTGGCCTCAATTCTTCCTTTTTTTTACTTTAAACGACTATAATAAAAATGTAGGAATACGAATTTCAAACAGTATACGCAAGTACATGTCAGATAAAATTATCCGACATACATCGGATTTTACATTGTATTGTATCAATATCAATTTAACTTTATTTTATCAGGGCTCTTTTTGGTGCATAAAAGGTCGAGTAGAGATATTAATTGAAAAATCGTTACACGCTGTCCCGCAAAGAAAGGAATTTGTAGACGTTCCCTAAACCCACACACACCCATGAACTGCTCAAAACAGTAGCCAGAGCGACTGAAAGATCAGGTACAGGGTGTTTTGCTACAATATATTCACGCTTACATTTGTATTTTTGCAAAAGTGATTTTCGTTTAGTTCCTAAAATTTTGCAGATGCGTTTTACTTCGGAAATCAAGTGGTCTGCTTAACAGTTTTACCTCTCCTGGCTAATGGGGACAGCAGCCTTTCAGCGATTTAGTCTCGTACTGCGGTGCTTATGGCCGGGTTCGTGATGTCTTAAGAGCAAAACGTTGCAAGTAAGGCAACTTCGTCTTCAAAATAACAGCTAGAATTTGGTCGGTGTTTTATATTTTATTACAGAAGACGCCACGGAGGCACTTCGCTTCCTCTAGAGCCGAAGGAGGCCCCTGCCCACGCTGGCGTTGGCGATTTTCAGGGGCAGAATTTTCTCCGCTTCCTGCCGGTTCGGTTCCTGGTGCACCAAGCCCGAACTGGGCCAGAGCAAGAGCCTGAGCATCTGCGGCAAGAGAAATATGGAGCAAAGAGCGATCAAGAACCCGTACAGAGACTATGAGGGCACACCTGTGTGCACCCAGGGTCTCTTTGACCAGCAAGGCAGAGTAAGTCAGTGCGGTACTGTTTACAAAAGTTGTTTTGCGGCGGGGGGCTTTTTTACGGTTTTGGGCAACGCTTGAAAGTCTGCAGCTGCCTTTCACGAACAGAGACAGTATATGTTTCTCCAAACAGCGATTTGATCTCATTTCGCTCTGGCTCCTATAAATCCTAGCGCGTAGCCTTCTACAAAAAAATAAAAGTCGAGTGGGCTAATCTGAACATGGTTTTTCTCTGATTTGGTTGCTGTGGTGAAAACTACGTGAATTCTAAACGTGCTTTAGAATTTAGATCCCAAAACGAGAGGACATTCGCCCCAATTGTTTTTTAGACGACTAAAAAAATCCGAGGGTCTTTCTTGAAAGTGCTGAGTTATTAATTGCGCGCCGGGTGTTGCTTGGATGCGATCTTTCTCTGCAGGTGCGTGAAAACGTCGTCCTGCGGTTTGGTCTGAACTGAAATCTGGAGGCTTTTGGCTCCAGACTTGTGTACGGGAGTTCTTGACAGTCGGTGGCGTTTTTATTTGAGAGCAGAAGTTTGAAAATTCCACCTTGCACCCTGCGCAAACTAGCTTAAACTATTTAGGCCCTGTGGCAAACCAGAAGTTATTGCTGCTGGTCTTTAAATTAAGTATATTTTAGGCTGTATCTTATTTTTTTTAAACAAACCCCTTCAGGCAGGGGTCGAATAGCTCAAAATGAAGTGTAGGGATTACAACGAGCCACGTCCGGTCGTATGTAATTGATTCATTGTCCATTCACATCACAAGAATATAAGAAGAGGTCATTTGGCCCATCTAGTTTGGTTCGGTGTTTCATTGAAAAACACAGTGAGACTTTTCAAAGCAGTGCTTCTAGGTAAAGGCTATTTGCAGTTCAGTTTTCCCTGTCATAAACTACTGATGTATAGCGAATAAAAAACGTTTTTATTTACTTGGGAAAATTAAGGGTATTAACAAAGAAATGTGTGTTTATTTCGTTACCTCCTGACATAACCCAGTTACTATTGAATCCCATACAGTGCTGGTTTCCAGTTAAGAGATGTATTTCTTCTCAATAGGAGCAATCCACAGTTAATATAAAAATAATAAAATACCAATAATAAGAATATAGCACAGCCCTCCTTTGTTATTATCTCTAATCTCACTCTACTTGTCACTCAAATGAGGTCTACTCCTTGTGTTACTTTTAAATACGATGCTACATCTAAAAACAACATAAGAAATTGCAAACATTGGAAATCTCAGTTCTATAATTGGTCTAACTTTACAGAAGCAAGCTTCATTTTAATGCAATGAGAGAGCTAAACCTGGCAGTTTAGTAACCTAGTTCTATCTTTTTAAAGATCTGAAATAGGTCTGTTCAGTCTCATTGGATTTCAGTCCAATGTACCATTTTCAGAGCCTGTATCAGATTTTGTATGTTGTAACATTTATTGAAAATTTAATATTTTAAGTAATTGCTAACATCCAGGCAGAAATGCTCATTTCTATTAGTCAGTCTGAAGATTAAATTTGTGTCATTTTATTAAGTTTTGCTAACTGTACAACAGTGCTGTGCACCTAATTTGAATCATTCTGCAAATTAAGTCTAATATTGGCTTAACGTTTGTGATGCTCACCTAACTTTTGTTAGAGCAGATAAGGTGAAACCATATCACCTTATATGCGTTACTACTCCAATGTTCTGATATCATCTTAAATTGAGACTCTTTAGGGGAAGGGGGACAACAGTGTTGTGGGTAAGTCTCTTACTGGTGGGTTGTGGATTCAAGTCTCCACTGCAGATATTGCTGTTGTACCCTGCAGCTACAGCAGGTACTGTACCCTACTCCAGTGTCCTCAGTCCACCCAGCTGTATAAGTGAGGAGAGAGAAGTGTTGTCCTTGTGTTGGACTGGCTCCCCTTCCAGGGAAAGGGTCACCCTCCCTCTCCCATTTAACACTACAGAAACCAAGGTGAGCTCTGGCCCAGTTATATCATAATTTCCTACAGAGGTGCAGAGTGATCAGGGACAATGCGTGTGGTAAAAGCAAGCTTTAAAGAGCAAAACAGAAGTGAAAAACCAAATCAGATACCAAAGACAACACGCTTTTGTATGATGCTGGCATTATACAGTAAATTTCCATTAAATTGCACAAATGTGCACGTTTTGCCAAAACAACTTGAAATGTTCAGGCTTGACAATATGCGTTGCTTCTTGAAGGAAAATACTTTGTTTTCAAATATGCAGCCTTGATAATAATTTTTTTTAAAAGCTTTCCCTTCTGAAATAAGGGTGACAATAGATTTCATCCACTGTGCACAAGGTCGCTGATTTGCAGGACTGATGTGCGCTGTGTCAATAGCCTGCTATTCAGAGTGGAGCTGAGTTATTTTCTTTTAGCTGTGCATCCACCCTGTGTCCTGAGTGACAATAGTGCAGCCCCAGTGACCAGGATTACAAGCAGACTGTAAGTCTGCTGATCAGGGCAGTAATTCTCGATTAAGGACCTCGACCTCTAGCCCTCTGATGTGGAATCAGCATTGTCTGAGAGCAGGCATGCTGAGCGGAAGTCATGAGTAAGCTGAATGTGTCAGCAAAGAGCCCAGATTTTGTATTTGAGCTGGGAGCAGTAAGTTAGGTTGTTGTCAGACATTTTCCAGAAATGTTTACACCTGCATGATCTTTTGGGGGGTGGAAGGGAGTTTCAGTGGAAAAATGCAAATCAAATAAAGTGGTCGAATGCTTTATAGCGATCTCTATTTCCTAGCACACTAGTTGTTTGTTAGGAAGTGACAGGAATTGGGCAGTCGTAGTTTGAATGGAATTTCATTCAGTAAGACAATCCTCCTTTTGTCATGTTTGCTTCCCATGCCTTGAGGGGTGGTTAAGTTAAATAATCCACTGAAAAGAACATTATCACTGATAATATCAGCAAACACATTGATATATACAGTACCTGTAAACGTAGTTCACGTAGGGAGCTGCGTTAGAATGCGTAGGCTGCAAAGGAACAAGTTAAAGGTTTATTCCACGTTGAAATGAGACGAAAGGAAACACAATGTTTCGGCTGTGGAGTCAAATGTTGTATAAATAACTTTTGAGAAGTGCGTATCGTTTCTTGTAGCTCACTCCAGACTTCGCAGGCCGTCTGAACAATAAGATTGGTGAGCTGCTGGCGCGGATGGAAAATGGGTTGAAGTCCGCAGACCCGGGAGACTGTACTGGATACACTGGTTGGGCAGGTGAGGATCCTGGGAGAGGCACAGGAGGGTGGAGAGGTGTGGGATACTTCTGAAGTCAGATAGGCTGGTTCTCAGATGTGTTGTTGCCATCTTTGTAAGCTCTTCTCTTCCATTAATTTGTTAATGAGAAATAATTTCTTAGATACAATTTTTTTTGTATATTAATGCCAGGTGATGCACACAAGAACTCTACGCATAACTTTGTCTTTTTGAGAGTTAAAGGTGAGGCAAAAATATAAACGTACTACCACTATAAACATACGCCTCCTGTTGTGTACTGGTTCACAGCAGCTTTCAGATTCAGTGGAAGTACATTTAAAACCGAGATCTTGAGGCACGTTTTCCCCCAAAAGGATTGTGGGAGTACATAACAGTCTGCCCAGCCATGTTGTTGTAGCCGATACCCTTGTTATTTTCAAGAAACAGCTGGAAGACACCCTTGGGTCAATTAACTGTCAACTGCTACACAGGCCGAGTGGGCCGATTGGCCTTCTCTTGTTCGTAACCTTTCTTTTGTTCAAAGGAAAGAGGACAGATACAGCAAGCTGTTCCCAGAAGGGCCTTCTTGTGGCTCCGGATTTACATCCTCCTCCCTCTCATTCCCAGGCATTGCCCTGCTCTACCTCCATCTGTACAATGTGTATGGGGAGTCTTCCTTCCTCCAGAAGGCCCTGGACTATGTGAGCAGGAGCCTGAGGTGCCTGACGCGGCGCTGGGTGACCTTCCTGTGTGGAGATGCAGGGCCGCTGGCAGTGGCAGCTGTGGTTTATCACAAACTGCAGAGGAAACAGGAGGCTGAGGACTGCCTGAACCAGTGAGCACAGCACAGAGCAAACCTCCTTGTGTTCCGTCAACCCAGGGGTTTTACTACTGGTGCAGCCGCTAGTCCTAGAGACCGTGGTTAGACAGTCTTGACTCTTGCATTTCTTCCCATTGCAAGCTTGTATAAGCTTGTGTATAAGTTAATGCTTAACTGCTTAAATGATATTGGGTAGCAAGAACAACTGAGTACTTAAGGAGCTGTTTGGACTGAGGTCCCATGACACCGACATGAAGAACTAAACCTGTCTGCTTCTGGTAGGGACTGCCATTATGAATTAATTTAATTCCCTGATTGCTCCATAAGCACAGTGCTGCCTTATTGACTGCACTAGTGTCTGTTGTGCAAGAATTAGCACCTTCAAGGATCTTCCTTATTTCAGGGACTTTAATGTAGAAAAGGATTTTCTAGAACGGTGAAGAAGGTGTCTCTTTGGTGATTTGCTGTGAAATCTTAATCTGCTTTGTAACTCTGTGTCGCAGAACATTTACACCTTTTAAGGCGTTGGGGTTGTCATGAAGGTATCCAACCATAATCCCACAAATTGTGGGTTCTGTGTCATTGGCTCCTCAGCCAAGCACAGACAGACATCAAGTGTCTGAACCTGTGGTTCCTCTCATAAAGAGCAGCAGATCACAACAGCAATCGCAACATCGCATCATCGGTAAAGCCATGAGGTAAAGTTAATCTGTCTCATGAGTGTCTAACCCAGCTCACATTCCCATTTAGAGGGTGAACAATCCAATACTAAGTGAATCCTACTTCACAGTTCTAGGAAGGATCAAAGGATCAAAAAGTGATGTCGCCCTGTGCAGCCCACTGTCCTTAATACTAGCCCTCCCCACCCAGCATTATCCCTGGACCGAGTCTGACTTGTGACAGGAACTCTTGTGTCATTGCTCCTTTGTTTTGATTAGATATATACAAATAATAAGATCATATTTGTTAATACATTTCCTTTTCTGCTTGAACTCTGCAACTTGTACCAGATTGCATACAGTGCATACAGGCCAGTATACAAGTTTATAGCAGATTGCATACAGTGCATACAGGCCAGTATACAAGTTTATAGCAGATTGCATACAGTGCATACAGGCCAGTATACACGTTTATAGCAGATTGCATACAGTGCATGCAGACCAGTATTAAAAATTGTACCAGGTAACATACAGTGCATGCAGACCAGTATAAAGACCAGGGTGAAACCAGTGTGCCGCGACAGTTTGTTTGCTTAGTCTGCTGAGGTGCGCGGTGTCTCTCCCCTCCCAGGCTGCTGCGTCTGCATCAGTCCGTGGTGAAGGGGGACTCCCGGCTCCCTGACGAGATGCTGTACGGCAGGATGGGTTACCTGTATTCGCTGGTCTTCATCAACCAGCAGTTCCAGCAGGAGAAGATCCCCATGCAGTACATTCAGCTGGTAAAGGACTGGTCCCGGGGGGTGTTAAACATTTTATGCCCCTCATGCTAGAATAAGTGAAAGCTGGATTTTTTAATCTATGAAGTGAGGCTTAATTCAAAAGAAACAGAAAGAGAAAGGATGAAACCGTATTTAGATTTCATGAAACATCACATCATCAGAGCTCCTTTATCAGTGTGCAGAGATTTTGAAGGAAAATATTATTTAACACAGCCTCCCTGGAGCGCTTTTGTTCGTTCATGATGAGATGGATTTCCCTTTGACAATTAGAAATCTTCAGATTGACAGTTGTTGGGCTGAGTTAAATGCACTCACTGTGTAGGGGTATAACAGGACCCTGTGGATGTGCCACTGTGGGTTTCAGATCTGCGATGCAGTCATTGCTTCTGGGGAGAACCTGTCCAAGAAGAGCCGGCACCAGGAGAGGAGCCCTCTCATGTACGAATGGTACCAGGAGTACTATGTGGGAGCAGCACATGGCTTGGCTGGAATCTACTATTTCCTCATGCAGGTAAAACCTTTCAATGGGCTTTACTTGCTCTGATTTGCTTTTGGCCCCCCATTAAAAAAGGAGTGTTGGACTCTTGCCTGTTCACTCTGTTTATTTTAGTATAAACAAGAATGTGTGTCTTAAATGTTTAATATAAACGATTTGTATGATTGATCTCTTCTTTACCACCCTGTGGTGCGGTGGCTCTGTGGCTAAGGATCTGCGCCTGTGGCTGGAAGGTTGCCGGTTCGTATCCCATGGCCAGCAGAGGAATCCTACTCTGTTGGGCCCCTGAGCAAGGCCCCTCGTTGGGCCCCTGAGCAAGGTCCCTAACCCCAGCTGTTCCAGGGGCGCCGTATAACCCCTGCACTCTGACCCCCAGTTTCTCCTCCTGTCTGTGTGTCTCATGGAAAGAAAGTTGGGGTATGCGAAAAGACAAATTCCTAGTCCAGGGGAAGTTTGCACAGTAATTATAGGGAAAGATCAGGCTGTTAAGTGACATTACTGATCATCTCTTAGCCAGGCTTTGGGGTGAGTGAGGACAAGCTTGTCAGGCTGGTGAAGCCCAGCGTGGATTATGTCTGCCAGCTGAAGTTCCCTTCAGGAAATTTCCCTCCCTGCATCGGTGACACCAGAGACCTACTGGTGCATTGGTGCCATGGCTCTCCAGGAGTGATCTACATGCTGATCCAGGCCTACAAGGTAGGCAGAGGTGGAGAAAGTGCACGTAGTTCTGATTAGTCTTGTCTCTGGCGTGCTATACCCTTGCTGTTGTCTGCCCCCATTGAAGAAAGTAGTTGTGTATCTATTGGAACAGGGTTCAGTGTTATTTAACTGCAAATAACGAGGCATTTCTTACATGTGCTTACCAGAACTTAGGTGTAATACACTGTGCAGCTATTCCTTTGCTTTAAAGTAAAGCAGCAGACGAAAACGGCGATCTCTTGCTCATAATGTCCCTTTCCAGCTGCTGTTAACCCGTGTTTTCCTGTAGGTGTATGGTGGAGAGCACTATCTGTCTGACGCATTGCAGTGTGCCGAGGTCATCTGGCAGAGAGGGCTTCTGAAGAAGGGCTATGGGCTTTGCCATGGGGCAGCTGGCAATGCCTATGGGTTTTTGGCCCTCTACAAGCTAACTCAAGACCCCAAGTTCCTGTACAGGGCCTGTAAGGTGAGTGTCGAGTCACCACAGTAGCAGTCGCCAAGCTTTCCTCTACAGCTCGTAGTCAGACCTGTACATCATTAACAACTTTTTTCATTTTCATTTTTGTTGGGATAACAGATGCATGGCTTTGCACGTGCTATATTTCTGTAAAACACGTTGAGATGGAGCTCATCTTAATAAGGCACTCCATGAACTGAAGACTAATGATAAGGCTCTCTAGGTGAAAGGGGCAGTTCCTTTATTAGGATCTGTGCAGAATGAGTATTTATAAATGCGTTTCGTCCAATTTATAAACACAAATCCAGCTGTGCACCAAATCCACTTGAAGGGTCTCGGGGATCGGGGGGAGTTTTGGGTTTGTATTTGTTTGAAAGGTGGAAACACTGTATTTGTGCTGAAGCCCCCAGAATACCATCAACCACGTATCAAGTCTGTGTTAAGTGGTATTTAAAACATGCTTCAAAATAAGTATAGCTTTCAAAAATGTACGTAACGTGACACTTGCATAAATGCACTTGTGCTCCTGTTACATAACACATAGGCCTCTGCCACACAATAGATAATCTCACTGTCTCTGATCGCTATTTCCTCTCTTTTCTCTAGTTTGCTGAGTGGTGTCTGGACTATGGGAAACATGGCTGCAGAACCCCTGACACTCCCTTCTCTCTCTTTGAAGGTAGGAGGATAAAAGTGAACAGTATACAGTATATAGTGTGTGGTTACAGTGATACTGCAGAGTTAATTGGATGTTGCCTTTGCTGGAGATGGGCAGGCTTGTTATATCTATCCCAGTCCAGTGTAGTAGGTGAAGCAGTTAAAGAGCCTCTTAGGTATTGACTGGAAGAGAGTTCTGCAGTTGGATGGGAATATTTGACACTATTATATTAGAGTTTGTATAAAACCAGTCTTTAGATGTATCGTATCTCTTCAGCAGCCTTATCCTTCCTGTAACCCACTTTTCTAATATTACAACACTACGCCACTTATCTGCATACTTCTGGAAGAAACCATCATTGGTTCACTCAAAATCAAAAACTTTCACACTTTGTAGGCGATTACTTAAATTCTTTTTTTTAATAGTTCAAATTAAATAATTCCAACCTTTTCTGTTTTCTGTACCTGTGACTTCCAAAGAACAGGAGGTCTTGGCAAGTGAATGATCCTTTCTCCCTAAAGATTTTCATTTCTTAAATGGAAGTGTCTAAATTTTACTTTTGTCTCGGTATAACAGTCTCCTGTGCAGATAAAGCACACATAATGGAAAATAATCAATATAATCTGAAAGGGTCTGTACCGATCTATCCTCTTGAGCAGGACTCTTATCCTGGGGAGTCTTATTCCAACAGATTTTGCAGGTCACCATTATATCGCCAGTTTCTAAAGATATGAAACCACTCCCTAGTTGACTACTGTTAAATCAATTAATGTAGAGATCATACAGGATTTAAACTCTTTGGCCCTCAAGGACAAGCATCTCTTTCTAATTCATAGCTGACAGGTGTTGCCAGTCTCTATGAATGGGTGACCTACAGTACAGTATAAGAGTAACTGGATTGAGGCTCTCCATCACCAGGATTGAAGACCATTGCTCAAGAGAGACTTTCTTAGGAGGGGCAGTTGATCATCAGTTATTTTTATTTGGATCTGAAAGAATAGGTATTGGTGGCAGACAAAAGTATTTCTGTTTTTTTCCAAAGATCCCTCTCTGCAATGCCCTAAAATGTTCACACTGATCATTAGAGTCACAGAGCCTTCTGTCAGTAAACTGCAGCTGTGTATTTGTCAGAATAGGGCAGCACGTGAAATCCTATTCTGCATCATTTTTTTTCTCTTTAATTTTTATCTGCAGGTATGGCTGGGACCATCTATTTTCTCGCTGACATGCTGCAGCCATTGAGATCTAAATTCCCAGCATTTGAATTGTAGAAAGGGGAATATTACCATGAAGTAAGCTGGACTGCATCACCGGAATATACCATGTCCTGTTCAGCACTGTGCTTGTTTTTCGTTTTCCGTTTTCCTGCATTTAAGTTTACTGTTGGGGACATATTGTATCTGAATTGTGAAGCCCTTGCATCCAGTCAGAATGGGCTGAGGGGCAGTTTGTAGTTTTTTTGTTAAATAAGTAGTGTGATGCCAACTTCTATGTTACCGTTAACAACATCTGCATAATTCTGATTTTATGGTGTTCATTTGCAGGGTTTGTTTTGTATTTATTAGCAGTCCTAAATGAAATTCAGTATCATCTGCAAAATAAAGCAGCATCATTCTCAATAGGTTTTTCAACATTTTGCGGTGGCACAGAGCAGGCTCAGCGGAGAAGAGAGGACTTGAAGAATAAGCCATGTCTCACGTCATGTCACATGACATTAACCTAGTGTCCAGTGAGAGATCAGGTTATGATGCAGACTCCACCTAAAACGCTAGATATGTATGCACTGTGGATCAGGGTAAACATAAAATGTCTTACTCTTGACTTTCTCTTGATAACCCCACTCAACTTGGTATTTGAGTGTTGTGGTATTGAATGTCTAGAATCTCAGAGATCTGCCAATTGGCAGATAAAGCTTTGTACCGGTAGTTGCCAAACACTTTTGCGTTTCTTTTTTTTGATGGCTCTAAAACAGGAGTTGTCTGGTCCTGGTCCCAGTGGGCTGACATGTCTCCTGATTTTCAAGACCTTTTTAAGGAAGCAGCACCTGAGGAATGGGAGATGTTGTAATAGGTAACCAGCTGGTTTTGCTCGTTAAGAGCAGAGCTGAAATGGAAGCCCATGGGCACATGGCCCTCTGGGACCACAGGACCAGGACTGGACAGCCCTGCCCTGTAGGAAGGACAGCCATGCAATGGTATGGGAATTGTCTACAGCTCGAGGATGATTTGAAAAGGCACATTTGTAGATGCATGGTGAAAGAGATTCATTCTCCTTTTCATACATGTGGAAAAGAAAACAGCTATACTGTATATGAAAGTATATTTAGAGCATAATTGAAGCTAGCTATGAAATACTCAAATACAATTGATTTGCAATGGTCTTTTTGTAAATATGTGTTATGTTTATTGCTATAAATTAAAATATGCGTTCTGCCTTATATTGTTTATTTCAAGCTTTTCTGTAGAGGAGAAAAATATTTGGATGGGCTTTTTTATTTCTTGATTCATGCTTGTATTTTAGTTTGTTTTCTTTTACCGCTATTGTATTGCTTATGACTTAAATACGTTTAGAACAATAAACAAGTATTAGACACTTCTGCGTCAGGCTGTCAGCTGGGGAAAATCCTGGTGTGAAAGTGAGTGGTCAGCATAATCATTTTCAACCTTTTATTATTGTTTTTAACTCGTTTCTTCTGGGAGCCTAGTCACATTTTTCATTGAGATCTTTATATAATCCTGATGATATACATAAATGCTTAATATAATATCCAATCCTAATACTGTACTAGAGTCAGGCTGGGTCTGATTGCTCTCTCCTGTGGTTTTCAAGGGAGCACTTATCATTTGGTACCCTCACAAGAAAACTGCATTTCTCTTCTGCATAGAAAGTGTTTATGAGGGTATAAGAAGATAATTAAGACCTTATTTAACTTTTTAACTTAAGGTATAATTTTGTTAGCATTTTTATTTCAAAGTAACATGTTTGTCTTTATGGCCCAGTTTGGAGACGCAATTGTTACTTGACTGGTGACAACAGCCCTTGTGACAAGTTCGTGTGAAATGAAGACCTCATCCATCTCATACATCCACTGTCAACACGTTGTCATATAACCCGCTTTGTTTTCACAGTCCCAGGCCACGGGTCGTATAGTATACTCGATGTAAAATGTCAAATGGAACTTCCAATGCAACTGGCTGCTGGCACTGCAAGCTTTAATAATCAATGCGCACTGGCCTATTTTGGCCACCAGGTGGCAGCAACATGGTTTGATTTCATTTGTTCCAACGCGCAGCTGCTGGATCTAGCCGAGTAACAGAAGTGTACAGCACTAGAAGCTGGGCTGATCGAAATATTGGAAGAATTTCTCTTTTATTTGGCATGATGGTTCAGTTTGTAGTATTATCATATAAAATAACTGTACTGTCTATTTATCATTTGGAGTTTTATAGAAATGATCATGCTTACGATGAATTAATTAAAAAAAGATGGAGCGACTACTGTTCTCTTAATGAAGCAGTGTCCTAATACATTTGCAAATAGTCCAAATTTAGGAAGCCAGTCTATTTATATTTTGGACAAAAGCCATAACAGATTAACTTTTTTAATCGCTTTGTACTCCCTGTAGAAATCTGTTCATGTAAGTTTAAATTCAGTTTATGATTAATTTAAATGTTTCAGTTTTTCTGCTAAAAAGCCTTGTGCATAATGTAACCTTAAGGTATTTATGCCAAAGTCAAATAGATCTGTGATTATAGTCAAGCATTGGAAAACATTCTCATGCTTTTAACTGTTTAAACCTTGTAAGGACACATAGAAATTTCTATTCTATTAAATGTTTTGCTTACTGTGTCCTTTATCGAGTTCCAGTGGGTTTTCTGCAGTTTTCTTCCCTTTTTCAAAGATGTGCTCGCTGGGTTACTGGGTGTCTGTTATCTAAATTGTGCAGTGTGTGTGTTCACCCTGCGATGAACTGTCAGCCTGTCTGTTATGCAGTCCCGCCTCACACCCTGGCCTTCTGGGACAAGCTCCAGGGATTGGTGGCTTTCTGATCATGGATGAATAATGCAAGCAAATTGCTGATAATGGCCTTCCTGTCTGGTATATTGGTGTTGCTGTTAGAGCTGTTGGGTCATAACCCATTTGCTCCAGGTTCAATACTGAGCTGGTGAGCCTTATATAAAGTTTGTACTGTATGTCCTGGTGGGCAGGGGGTTCCTCTCACTTCTGTACTAATTCAATACTAGACATTTGTATTGCCATTTGTAATCCTAAATATTTTATAGGAAGCAATTAAAATGTATAGAAGCTCGGAGAAACAACAGTAGGGTGCCACAGTGGCCCAAAAGCCAGGAGTGCTGCCTCACAGCGCAGGGGCCCTGGGTTCACTTCTGGACCTGGGGTGGAGTTTGTATGGTCTCCTTCAGTTCACTTGAATTTGCTCTGGGTTCTCCAGTTTCCCCCCCACAGTCCAGAGACATGCTGGTAGGTGGTTTGGCTTCTGGGAACGTTGGTCCTGGTGTGGGTGTGTGTCTGTGTGTCTGCCCTGCGGTGGACTGGTACGCCGTCCGCGTGTTCTCATTGCTTGCTGGGTGAGGCTTCGGCTCCCCAGCAGCCCTGAATTTAATGAAGAAGTTAGAAGATGGATGGAAGCAATAGTAAGAGGAAACTAATTCAGCTCTCATGACGGCCTTGCTTTCTGTTTAAATTCATTTTAAATGAGCGGCTTCCTTTAACTCTTTCTTACACAGCTCTCTGATGTCTCAGGTAATCTGCTGCAATCAAGTCTTGAATTGAAAAGGAGTGAGGGAGTGCGGAATGTCAGTGATGGATTTGAGCTCTTGAGTGTGTTTTGTCTTAAGCAGAGAGCTGAGCAGTGATCAAGTCGAAAGTGTGTTTTATTTTTCTTTAACCCAGCACTAGAGTAGAGTGAAAATAAGTGTCAAAGTCAGAGCTGGGTTTGGGTTTAGATCTAGGGAGATGGGAGCTATGACTGAAGGAAGTGTGTGGCATAGGTTTGGTGCTAGAGTAATGGCAATTCTTTTGATTGGGGTAATAGCTCGAAGATGATTTGAAAAGGCACATTTGTAGATGCATGGTGAAAGAGATTCATTCTACTTTTCATACATGTGGAAAAGAAAACAGCTATACTGTATATTAAAGTATATTTAGAGCGTAATTGAAGCTGGCTATGAAATACTCAAATACAATTGATTTGCAATGGTCTTTTTTGTAAATATGTGTTATGTTTATTGCTATAAATTAAAATATGTGTTCTGCCTTATATTGTTTATTTATTTCAAGCTTTTCTGTAGAGGAGAAAAAATATTTGGATGGACTTTTTTTTTTCTTGATTCATGCTTGTATTTTAGTTTGTTTTCTTTTCCCGCTATTGTATTGCTTATGACTTAAATACGTTTAGAACCATAAGCAAGTATTAGACACTTCTGCGTCAGGCTGTCAGCTGAGGAAAATCCTGCTGTGATAGTGAGTGGTCAGCATAATCATTTTCAACCTTTTATTATTGTAATAGCTCCTGTGACCTCTGACAGGCGTACAGTGACAGGTGCAACTCCATTTGTTGTCCTCTCACCTCCTGGAGCGGAGCTCGTGGTGTGTCAGCTGACACTGCTCTGTAGGTGGTAGAGCCTGGGTGCGTCTTCTCCCTGCATTATACAGTCTGCGGTGATAAGTACTGTAGGTGTTTCCCAACTGAATTATAATTCCTAACAGCAGGTAAAGTGGGTTTTGTGACATACTTCTGTAGATTAAGAATGATAGTAAATGTAAAAGTAGATGAGGGCTACATATAAGGTGAGATTTTCAAAACTTACTCTGGGCTTCCAATTGTCTTTTTCTGTTATTTGTCGTCCTGGCTACTACAGTTCAATAACTGCTGAAGATTAAAGATGGAAACAATTTTGGATCCATTTTCAGTTTCTACAAAGTAGTGGATGTTGCAGTCGCAGATTTGGTTTATTCAGAAGATTGGATTGTTCAAAAGATCTGCATTGGCAAAAAGAAAAAAACAGGGGGAAAGAGCGTTCTCATTGTGTAAGAAGTAAAGTTTCTAACTCCGGTGTCTGAGCGGATATGTATAATACAGTCTGTCCACCCTAAAGGACCCCTGAATTCAAGTGGTGATACAATTTCTCACTTCTCTAGCTGAGCTGCTGTGTGCCTGCTGGCTACAACATGACAGCCTGGTGAACAAGCTACATATCCCCATGTACAGTTTTATATTACTGTCGTTTGTAGTTGGACGTATTATCATTATCAGTCATTTCAGAGTATGTATAACTATTGTATATCTTCTGTCCATATTGATCAAATCAACCGGTATTATTGCAGTTCTCAGAGCTGATCCATCTTATTTTTTTAAGCAATGGGTTCATACTCTTGAATTTTTTCTAAAACTGTGGCAGATAAAAAAAAAACTATTCTGCTCTTAAGAAAGCAATTTGGTCTATTATCAGGCTGAGCTTCAGTCTGGTTGCTTAGAGCTTGTCAAGCAGTGAATCAGTGCTTTAAGGAGCTGCACCCTCTTCAAGAAATCCCAAGACATCTCACACCCCCAGTTGGAGTGCTATATTTAGATTACATCTGTCCCTTAAGATAGTCTCGGTTTCAGTTCATTCCTTCCATTGCACTCCAACTGGTGGGTGCTATTGATAGGCAGCCATGTTGATTGGACAGTCCAGCACTGACCTCTGTAGTGTCCTGATGTTTTGGTACCTTCTGTTTCCTTGTACCATTATTGTCCCTGGGTAGCCTCACAAGGAGCGTTACGAGTAAGTCACAACACAAGGGGACTGCCTGTATTCTGACCTTTGACCGTAACTGGTAACGTAAAGCCTGGCATTCCAAGACTAGTGGAGTCACTTGACTCCCTGCCTCAAGCTGGGTGAGCACTGTCACTCAGCCATTCCAGGGAGTTTTGTATCCAGGTGCTCTTGCCAAATCTGCTGCATACTTAAAGGAGACAACCGGAATAGCCTGAATTACCTCTCTATTTTAGTAACCTCTCAGATGGACAGTCAAGACTGATCTCCATGCTCTGGCCTGCTAAACCTTATAGTAATGCTGGGAGTTAAAGTTCTAACAATTTGACTAAAAAGAGTCACTCTTTTGCTGAGCCACACGCCTGTTAGGTTAAGGCTTAAAAGTCATTCAGCAACATGTCCTTCATGAATCTTAAAGCAACAGAGTCTGTACATAAAACCATAGGGATGATGTGTTAGAGCAACAATCTGACCCAGACAGATCCCTGTACTGTATCGCTCATCTCTTATTTCAGCTCCTTAGAACAGAAATTACTGATGGCACATGCATGACTTACCACCAGATCATTCTACAGGAAGGATTCAAATAATGTGCTTTTTAGCTTGTGGGTTTCAAAGCCTAGGTTTTTCCTAGCACTAGAAGCTGGTTAAAACATTGTTAGTCTTCAACTTGCTAATAAGCACATAGATAATCTTCAGTTAGAAGAATAAATGTTATGTTGCATATCTGTGTTCATGTTCAGAGTTAGTAACCAATACACACAAGACAGATCACAAATGGACTTAGGAGCTATTCAACACATCTAGCTCATTTAGTAGTTTGTACAGTAGTTAATTAATCCAAGGGTCTCATCTACAGTACCTGTTTCTTCAATAAATCAATTTTATTGGCTTCAAAAACATGGCTGGGTAGCTCGTTCCCAGAACCATTTGGGTAAAAAAACGTGCCTCCTGTTTTCTCTTTTAAATGCCCTTTCATTATAGTTTCCACATGCTCACTCTGGTTCGTGTTTCACTGTTTTCCATCTTGCAGGTTTTGGGTTATAGGATATGGAAGATGTACAGTAAGTGCAGAGTTTAAGGTAGAAACAGAACACAGCACTTGTGTTAGTATCACAGCTTTGAGAAATGTCAATAAATACGTGGATTTATGTGTGAACAGCAGACAATATATGAAATATAATAATGTAAGATAATGTCAGACTTTTTTATAACTAGAAAAAAATGGTTTTGATAGGCATCTGTTCTGAATGACGTCACTGATTATATTGGGATATTCAGAGCATTTCACAACATTGCGTAGACCTCAGTGCCATTTCTCCAGTACAGTTTATCCTCGTCAGAAACTTTGGCCTCCTGTCCAACTGTACAAGCTTTCCAGTATTAGGTCATGCAGAGGAACCTATATTAATCCAGATAGACATGGAACTCCCTTGACATTTACTCTACTTTGTGCATCAAGCCTTCCTTATACTCTTTGGTGAGACTGCAGAACTGAAAAACAGAAATCGCCACACACAACAAATGCACAACATGACCATAAGACTTTACTGTGGTGGTTATTATTGTCATACTGTGTTACAAGTTTTTTTTTTTACTCTAAATTGTCCATTTATTGTGAATTTATATATACTGTAAAAACAGAATACCTGGCATTGGTTTCTAGTTTTTGTCAGACGTGTAATTATGCAATATAGGGCAGATGACATTAATTTAAGCAAGGTTTTTTGGAGAACAAAAATAGAACTGGGGAATTTTCTGGTATTAATACAATATTCTTGTGATCCTGTGTGGGAAGAAGGCATCTGAGGAAGAGTGACATAAGGGAATCATCATACATATTAGAAACAGGGGAACAAAAAAAAGAACTGAAATAACCAATAACAACAGCATCCCAGCCTGGGATTATTCTTATTTTTATCACAAAGGATAGTTCAGAAATGCCTTCAGTTGTGACTTTTTAAATTATTTTAATGTTGAGTCCTCAAAGAAAGATGACCCAAGATTTCCACATTGTCAGTATGGTTCACTGCAGTACAGTTTTACTGCACTATCCAGTTCAAAACAAAATCCTCACTTAACAATACAGACACCCCCCACAGACTCAACTAGTTTAAAGTTGCCTTCTGTTTTCACTGATGCTTCCCAATGTTAGTGATTTTTGCAATCAGGAGACCTCTACCTTGGTGTGTTTTCTCAGCTGCCTCCGTGTGCTGGTGGAGGGGATGCAGCACATCTGAAAACAGGAGTAAACGTCCAGACACCTGGACATCCTGCATAGTCATGTGCTTTTGTGTCGCAGTGTCTGTAGAAGGAGCTCCCTGCCTTGCTCTTTGCAGGTACCCTGTGCCTTCTGTTTTCAGTTGCGGTGGAGCTCTCCGGTATCTCCCCCAAGCCTACCCTGAAAAGGTAACTTGCTCAATGACAAATGTAGCAACCAACTTTTTAACACTTGGAGGATTTCAAGCAATTATTGTCATTATTCGTGTACAATTCTTCCCAGCTCAAGAGACAAAAACAAGCGTGGTTGTTAAGCCAGTCGTGAGGTCAGGTAAGTGGGATGAAACGACCAGTCAGAGCAAAATGCAGAAACCGTGGAGCACCCTGGCACTACAGGTATTGCACTTGGTATCCCGATGACAGCTGACACGTCCTCCCTCTCCCATTACCCATTCTGTGGGAGGGGATTGGCGAGGATGTGAGGTTAGAATGTCTTGAAAGGCCCCCTCCCCCTCTGGAGGCTGGCAGGACGAGGACGGGGGCTGGGCTCGGGGCAGAGACGCTTTTAGAAGAGGGGAGACAAAAGGCGGAGAGCCTGGAGTGCACAGTCAGCCCGGGCAGGTTACTGGCACCGCCAGCTGCCTGCCGCCTCTTCTGTGATTTATTGGGTTGGCCACAGAAAGAAGAGTCACGCTGCTTCCTCACCAAATGTCTGCTGGGGTTTAAATTTGCAAAATGTTGCTAGGCATTCCCCTACATTTTAAACTACTCTTTAATGGGCTTTTGTGCATGACAGGACAGTGTCAAAACGTTCACATCGTAATGTGTGTATTTACACTAGGCTAAATGAATGAAATTAAGGATAACTACAGTATACAAAATACCACACCCGCAGAAAGCTAGGGAGCTGAAGCACTGTGTCTTTTTTGTGCTTTTCAACCTGAAATTTACATCCTTGTTCTTTACTGCCAACGCGCACTTTACTGCCAACTCCCAGCTCGAAACTCTCCAAGACTACTCTGTACGTCTACCCGTGCTCGTAAGCGAGCATGCCCTCGCAGATGGTGTTCACTGAATCCTCACCAGTAGTGTTCACCCATTAGTTGTACTGTAAAAGAAAACTGCTCATTTTACAATGATAGATTTTGTAAGATGATGGACCACTCACTCGGATTTTCTAGTCAACTCGGTAATTTAAGGTACGAGTTAGTGATTACTCGTCTAGGCTGGAAAGGATGTTCAGTAAACTTGGAAAAGGCGCCACTGAAAAGTGTATAGAGCTATCGGCTAAATATGAACACGAGTAATGTTTTATTAGACCATATGAGTGGAAAAAACACTGTTTTTAAATGAAAGCGCGTAGTATTTGGAGTTAAGGAAGCTGCGCCAGGGAGTGGAAGTGAGATGTGCCTGGGGTCCAATGTACTGGCTCATAACGTATCAACTGCCACAGCAACTGGTTGTTAATGTGTCACAAATATGCAAGACTGTTCCAGTGATTTCTCTGAAGGGACCTGAATCAAATGTCTGTACTGGCTCACATCCAGGGCACTGGAGGTTGACTAAGGAGTTTTGTTTTACCCAAAAGCAGCTCCGCGGCTCTACTACGTCCAACGCAGCACGTTGATAATTCCCTATCAAGTGTCAGTTCAGTAAGCACGTATTGAATGCCGAATTCCCCATAATGGAGTTCCGGAATGCAGCAATTCACTCAGACCATGCAATACTATTTCAAGTACCATGGAAGACTTTGAAACGGTGAATCAATATCCTTGCAGATATCACAGGCAGTGCGTCTGGATATAGGGTGTGCAGTCAGGGGGCACTGTAGCTTTAAGGTCGCTTTCCGCGACTATAACTCTTTTCTGTGGCGAGAATTATATTTCATGCAAAGGATGGTACCGCTCTCAGAAGCTGAGAGGATACACACGTGATCCTGCGGTACTTTCCTAATTATAAAACCCTCGCAGAGCGGAGTTCAGACACCAGAAAACGAACAGATTTTGTCTCGTTGAAAGTAAACGCATTGGTTGGCGGAATAACAAAAAAAAAACTGGAAACGACAACGACATGTTTTCTGTTGTTTCCATGACGAGTTTAGAAATTTCTTTGGAGAAGCACTAGAAAAGACGGGTCTTCACAGAACGAACGCTGTTCAGGGAATGCGTCATTAGCTACGGGAGAGTGGCCAATTCGAGCTAATAAAGGCGTAAGAGTAAGTTTGGTGTGTGCTTCTTAATAAAACAAACGATTAGAAGCAAGATAATTCGTTAGAATCTGATCGTTGGAAGATGTACTTCAGAAGAACCGGTAGCGGGCATAGAGAATGTGCTTTAGCTCGCTTCCCTCTATTAGAAAACAGGGATGGGCATAGACAGTAGGGAGTATATGAGACGACGAGGACATCTCTGAATGCATCCTTATACGACGAGGTGTTATTTTTAAACGCTTCTCTTGCTTATTCGACAACTTTCTAAAAAGAAGGGACGTTGGTGGGCGGGGCCCAGAAGGAACGGGGCGTGTACGACGCCGTGTACACGCCCTCTTCCTTGCCACGCCCCCTCGGGCTGCCTGAGCCAAGCGTCCAGGTGTAATGCGACCCCGAAGGTATGTCGCCTATGTGTCAGTGGAAAACCACACATTCCCCCTTCAGCAAAAATAAACTTCTAGGAAAGGTTAAAATGCAGGGAGCCACGAACCCGAGGTGTCACCGAACCCCCTCAGAAATTCCTTTTTGATTTTCGCTTTTCAGTTTAAAATAAACAACGCCGGGCTCTTTCCCCCTGCTGGCCCGGTTTGAGTCGCCCATATTCCATTTATAGCCCGAGCGCACAAAAAAAGACCCCATCTCACCCACCCTTCTTTGTATGTCGTCCAATCCTACTCCATGTGGTAAAACAGGAGCGATCGCTAAGTGAAATATATATACTCCCATTTAGCGCCTAACACGTTGAGTTCTCTCCAAGCCACTTGGGCTGTAGATCCGTCTTGCTATTTCCACCTCCTCGACTTCCTCAGGCAGGGATCTTTGCTCGTGCTCTTTGTTCATCTCACTTCAAGTACTTAACGCGGCTGTAGACAAAAAAAAATGGCACCTAAGAAGGACGTTAAGAAAGCAGAGCCTAAGGCTGCTGCTGCTCCCGCTCCCGCCCCGGCCGCCGCACCAGAGCCGGAGAAGCCCAAACCTCTGGACCTGTCCAGCGTCAAGGTAAAGGCTCGCTGTTCCCCGGGTCCCCTCAGCCCCGGGCAACTTCGTGATCCCGAGCGTGTGTTGTGTTTTGTTTTCATTTCCACGGTTTCATATTTTCCCGTCCCGTAGTGAATGCTTATCGCTACCGAGAAGTATTCTTCTCCGTAGAATATGGACATTTATGTCACAATTGCTATCATACGCGCTGAAATGAATACGGGCTGTCCCGCGTCTTGCTAGAAGATAACGTCCCGAATTAGCATAGTGATTGTGATGACGAATTGAGGGAGTGCGAGAATCAGATGCCTCAAAAAAGTCGTTTTGAACAAAACACTTTGAACAAAAGTACTATAAATTAAACACAGTAAGTAAATTAATCATAAGATGTATGCTGGTTTGACAGGAGTTGTTTTTAACTTTACCTTAAAACAAACAAAAACAGAATCTGAGATGCTTGGAGATGTACTAAATGTTGATTTGGAATATGTACCTATGATAACAACTCTTAACTACAATTTTTAAGTATGATAGATGACAAGCACTTCCTTAAATGTTTGAATTTCGTTTGACTGATAACGGCATTTTAAAATAAGGCACACTGAGTACAAATCAAAGAACAAATGTGTGTCCGAAAATTTATGGTACTAATGTCTGCTATTCAATTCAACGTCAAAATTATTTTGCAACAGTTTGAACTATTTAACATTTGCATTAAAGTAACTTAAAAAAATACTCCAGTTTGGCGCAACAGAACTCGAACGTTATGATTTATTAAGCGTTTTGGAAAAACATCCGGTTGTGGAAAAACACAGTATTTCAAATACCAGCAGTCATCTTTCACTCTGCCTTTTAATTTGGATTTACTTGGCTTTGGTTTTTCTTCAGTTTGTTGTATCCGTTTTAAAAACATTAGTATTCATATTTAAGAGAATATTTAAAATAGGAATTCCCCGAGCCGTAAAGCAGCATGTGGGAAAATTGTAGCATTCGTTTTTAATCACTTTGACCGTGTATTAAAATATATAGTTTATTTCTCAGTCAGTTCGTAAAAGACCATCTTAATTTACAGTTATATAAATTGTATACATTGTACTTTGGGAAAAAATATTTTTATTTGCAGTTTGAGAAGTAAACATTTCATAAATGAGAGATTCTTAAAGGGTCAGCTTGTTAATCTTGTTAAAAAAAACATACATTTAAAACTTCTGTTTTCAGTCAATACTGACTACTTATACGGGTTTTCAAGCTCAACGAAAAAGGGCTGTGCGCGCGCTTGTGTCCGTGGCACGAGACCTCGAGAGGGATGCTCTGGACAGCCAGAGCCGCAGAGGCTGCACAATCAGTACTGCGGACAGCTCCTCTCTGTCTCCCAGACAGCGTCCAACACCCGCTTATACCCGTCTAGAGGTCTCTGTCCCTCCCCGGCAGCGCCGTCATTGGACAATGGAAATATGGGGGGCGTGGACTGTTTACGCGTCGCCGAATGAGGAGTTTGCAAGTGTTAATTGCACTCGCGAGGCCGCGACACCGTGCCGTCAGCTTAACGTGAATTAGAGACAAAAAGGATGTAATAGTTTTCATGCTATGAAGCCCCAGGGGCTGAAAACCAAAAGCTATTGGCAGCTGACCAAGGTGTGATCAAGTATACATCAATGACTGAGCCCTGCGCCCAGGGGTAATTGGCTAACGAGGCAAACTGATCTCGTCGACTTTATATTATCATCCAACATACTGACATGATGTAGTGGGTCAGTTTCACGTGTTATACACTCTGTCAGTGCTGCATGTCAAGAGGCCATATTCATTATTATTGTTATTGTTGTGATGATGATTATTTTTTTATTCTTGATATTGTATTATGATGTTAATTGTTCTACTGTGTTTTCGAAAAAAAATAATTTTAATTTACATTTAGGTTTTGTATCTAATAATCAATATCAGAGTCATATCTACGTTTGCATTTGTGCATGCCAAGTCTATGAGCTTTATTGTTTTATCAGACAGAGGCTGGAGCAATGCACCTGCAAATGAACTGTTTTGTAAAGTTATACTTACCTTTTGCAGCTCACCGGCACAGAAAGCTGGACTGCCTTTAAATTCCATAAAGGAGTCGGGGTGAAACCAAATGCACCAACAGATCCAAATGTCACGGTTAACGCCCAGCATCTTGCAGCCAATTCTTAGAAAAAGCGAAGAAACCGGTATTGGTAGAGTATCATTTGCTTGGGTATACATAGACGTGTAACGTCTGAATACACCACACGAACTATTTGCATTCTTTCATGGTGCTACAAATGATTGATTGATAAGGACTACGATCTCCACCGGAAGCCGGTGCTGACTTGACTCACCTAGCTTGAAGCCCCTACAGAGATCTGAGGTGCGCTACCAGCTGTCTCATGACTGATGGCGGAAGAACGTCCCAGCTATAATAAGAGGGGATGACGGAGAATAGACGACTAAGGAAATTCAGACTTCCAAAGCCTTTGGTTTCTTTAACTGAGTCCACACAGAAATATGTGGTTTTAAATCGTCATTTGCATCCACTTCCCGGCGTGTACCTTGTCCCTTTAGAACATGTTCTCCTTTCACTTTGTAGCAAAGACGTTCGAGGAACCACCCCTAAAACACACACCGGATAAAAACACAACTGAAGCTGGTGTGTGTGTGTGTATAACGTTGACCAGTTGTTCTTCATCTAAACTGCAGCCTGCACCCCATTTGGTTCTCAAAATGTGCTCTCCGCACCCCTTATCAAAAATCACTGAAGTCATTTCTGCTTTTAAGTGATTTACCTTCTAATAAATACGGCACGTTTCGCACCCCCAAAAGGGGCGTGCACCCCAAGTATAGAACCCCTGGCGTAGACCAAAAATGTCCGTATAGTAGTACTGATATCCCCCATACTAAAGTACCCATAACGTAAAATACAGGTTGTTTTAAATTAAAAGTTTTTAGACACGACAATACATTGCCAATTGACAGTTGAAAAACGAATTGAAAACGAAGTTTGAGGTTGTTACTTTATTACTCGTTTTTCATCTTCTACCAGTAAATAGCTAAATGTTTTCTACACAAGTATTTACTCATTTCCCCGGTTGATGTGCAGCTCTATTTTAAGCCAAGACGCACGCCTGGATGTCAATCTCCGTCCCCGGGAGCAGGCCGCAGTCTTGGCAGGAGTGTCAGTGTCTGATCTCCGACCGTCCCGTTGCGTCCACACGCTGTCCATAAGAGGTCGTTTTCTTCGTGCTCGCCGGTGGCAAAATGCGAATCTCTTGAAAGCGCGGTCATGAAAATACATCTCGTTCAAACTGGCGGCATGTCGAATATTTTTTTTAAATAAACCCTTTAAATTATTTTATGTTAGACATATCTATCTGTATATTCTATCGAGCGTCAAAAGCCCATACAACATAAGCCCTGGATTTATTTATTTTTTAAATCGTGTGGTTTCTTTAAAACCATTCAGCGCGTACATGCATTACAAAAATACGTTTTAAAAAAGCGGATCTACAAAGCAAGAGGAAGGCCCAGGGCTTTATAAACTGTCACACGTGGGTGAAAAAAAATAAATAAAATAAGACTTTGTGCGTTCCCAGAAAAAAATCTGCTGACCGAGACCAAAGGTTCTTGTCTGTGGCCTCCCATACAACCCAAAAATAACCCAAACCCTTCGGCCGGTCCTTGGTGAGGGGGCGGCAGCTCTACTTTCTCCTTGCCCTAAGAAAGCTAAAGAACTCCCCTGCGGCTACCTGATCCCCCCCGTGACGTCACGGCCCCCGGATAAATAAGAAGGGCTCAGCCCGGAGAAGACGACCACTCTCCAGGGACACAGTCGCTCCTCCTGCCTCCGGCCTCTGCCTCCTGCCTCGGCTCGCCTGCTCCAGCCATTCGCCATGGTGTGTGTCGGGACTTTCTCTGAACTCCGCTGCCGCGACGCGATTTTTCTTCACTTTGACAGACAGCTTTCGGCATCTGCGCTTTGTTAAAGGGATTTAACGTTTACTGAATGGGAATTTAAACCGATCAATGCAACCACAGGATTATTTTGGGATATAATAATAATAATAATAATAATAATAATAATAATAATAATAATAATGACATGTTTTAAATACTAGCAAACATTTTTGTTTCTACCCGGGATTGTAATTTAAGAGTTTTTAAGTAATACGAATTTTAATCTAAAACAATGAATAACCAGGGAAATTGTAAAATTACTTGTTAAATTATTACAACACAGGTTGGAGGAAGCACACCTATACATTTTGATTTGCTATTTTTTTAAGCCTCGTGCAAAGAATGGTCACATATAGCGACCCCCAATATCATAACTAACTAGTTGTGTCTTTCAAATGCTTTTAAAAGAACAGGCAATAAAGTCAATGACGAACACTGAGACAATCAATTTCTGACTGAAGAAGTGACGGATCTTTTGGTGCATTTGGTAACACAAATCCTATCTTTCTTTTTTGTTCTCTCCTTCCATTGCAGTCTTTCTCTGCTGATGAGATCGCTGGTAAGTGCAGTGGGGGTCTGGTTTAGGTTGGGCGCAAAGTTCTGGGCCACCTAGGCTTGGGCCTGCTTGTGAAGCCTCAGAGGGTGTTTGCTCCCAGCCTCTCTCTGTGTCTCTGGGCTCTGCCCCCCTGAGCCAGGCAGCAAGCAAGCCTTTTCTGTCTGGCTCTGGGTGGAGAGTGCCCATGGGTCCACTGGTTGTTAAATGGGTGCTTAAGATGTTTTCTGGTTGGTTTTTGCCCTGTACAGATCGATTTCTCCGCAGAACAGCAGGAAGGTGAGTTGCTATCAGTGTGTGTCGGTGTCACTTCACAGTTGTATAGCTGTGTTTTAAAAGCCTGCTAAAGAACCAGTGTGATCTGAAGTTGGACCTCTTAGTTTAAATTGAGGTTGGATTAAATGAAATGGTTTTATTGTTAGATCTAGATGATGTAAGCAACTTTCCTTGCTTATTCATCTTTCAGGCCTATTATATCAGTCTTTGCAAAAGGAAGTGAAGTGCATTTTTTGGATCACAGGGGTTCTTTAGTATCAATTGTGAGAAAATGGTTCGATGTAAAATGTATACCTATTCATCATGCAGAACATCTTGAAAATCATGAAAGGCCAAACAGAATTTAAAGTCCAAGACGGTATGCTTAAACTTAAGTAGGAACAATAACCACAGACTGTTGGTTTTAGCAGGTGATAAAAATCTTCAATAATAAATTCTTGATTATTTAATTTATACTCAATAGTTTTGTATTTTAAAGTAATGACAAAACCTGACAAATCCAGATTACAGCCCCCCAAAGTTCTGCAAAATGAAACATATACCAACAGAGTGGGAGCATTAAAATGGAAAACCAGAACTCAGTCTGATATGTGCAAAAAATAATGCATTATTGTGCGTGTTTCTAAAAGAGTTCTTCAGCCCAGCTGCCATATGGCAGGCAATATTCGTGCAAAGTGGTACTGCTGTATCCATCTTTTGGTTTTGTTTTCATTCAAAGAGTAACAGAAAGCCGAGAAACCAGGGAAATGAGAAGTTATTTGCTGATGATTACTGGGTTCCAGTTTTCATTGCCTGTTGGAGACTTTTCCATAATGCTGAAACAGGCCTTGTTAAGCTGAAGGACCACTAGTCATAAATGCCACAGGGCTTGTCCTAAGCTCCAGAGGATGAGTTAGAGTGTACAGGGACAGGACAAACTCTTCCTGAAGGGTTGGACCAAGACTGCTGGTGTGTGCCCTGTATCTTTGTAGAGTTCTCTGCAACCTTTGCTGTACATTGCAGATGATGAGCAATAATTACACATTCTGCACAGAACAGGATTGTGGTATTAGTAATATTAGCTGTATAATTTGCTGCCTGTATGGACAGAGCCACTTGTTGCAGGATGGAGGATCCTTGTTGGAGGATGCAGAGCCTAGTATGGAAGTTCAGGTGCTGGGGTTTAAGTTACCCTCCAGTCAGCATTCCTCTTTAAAGAGGATCAGGTGGAAGATATCACTTGCTTTATAAGGAAGGAGCTAGTCCCTGTGGAACAGATTGATTCCCAGTCATGGCTTAAAATGTCCTCCTGAGAGAATGGTGGAGAACAGCTGCCATGTTTTGGAATCGAAGGGTCCCATTAATCTTTCCTCAGATCACTTTTAAATTAGCGCCTGAAACAGCTCATAGAAATACCTCCTTCTTGTCACATCTACAGTATGTTGCACACTTGAGCCGCAGCTGTGTGTAGGAATGAGGAGATGAGTAAAAGAGAAAGTGTCTTGCATCGCTAGTCTGTTCACAGAAGAAAGATATGGATGTAGTGGACACAGTCAACTAGTGCACAGCTTGGCAGTGTGCCATTTTCTATGCTCTGCTGAACTTACTATAGTCTTACTGGTTTGATTCTGTAAGAATTTGAGCTAATTGTTTTTGTTTAGGGGCATTCTGAGTAAAAATAAAAATATTCACTAATGATCCAATTGGACTTTGTAACTTAGAACTTGTTATTGTTTTATGTGTGGGGACATATTCGTTACTCAGGAGAACTGTAGCTGTTTGAACTTGATGGTCATATGTGACCTTTTGCATTCAACAATGCTCCCTTCTTCACCAAAGAGCTATATCCTGGCTGAGGTGTCCACCCGGAGCTGTGGGTGTGACATAAACAACAGAGACTGGCCTGTAGACCAGTGCTTGGACAGCAAAATAAATTATGTGAAGTCACAGTCAGTGCTTACCAATATACTGTATGATTTGACCTTAACACTGAATCAAATGAAAATCGAGAGTGGAAATGTTATATTTGAAGTAAAAATTAAATTTGAAAATGGTTTGCTAGATTTGATAAAAGAATTTAAGCTGTAATGCATACTTTTTATTTTTCAAAGGGAAATGAAGCATTGATTAGAAATCAAACTGTGGGTTTTTTGGGTTTGTGTTCTCAATAATCCTGTAATGTGGTCTAGTGGGCTACAGCCTCCTAGAGGGAGTAAAGTGAAACAGAAGCACAGAGGCAGCTACAGTATGTCTTTGCATTTACACCACAGTGTATTGTGCTTCGTGTTGGTTTCTGAGAAAAAAAAGAGCATTTTTAATTTGGAAAAAAAAAGTATGCTTAAAAAGTCAAACAGTGCAAAGCATTTAATGATGGATATCTGAGAATTTTTTTAAACGTGTTTTTTTTTCACAGTTCACACTGTGGATTGCACTGTGAACAGAAATGATTTGTGATGACAGGGTGGGACATAGACAGCAGTGATTGGTCAGGAGCCTGACCCAGTCTGTACAATGACTGAGCTTCTAGAAGGCTGCAGCCAGGCCTCACCTCTGAGTGGGAGTATCTGGGGGTACCTGTGTTGTGTGGTCTGTGAATTTGGCCGTTTGCGTGCTTTCCTAGGTTCACCATACGCTTGGATGTCTCTTACTAATGCCACCCTGTGCTGTTCTCTCCCAATCTCTCCTCCCCTCCAGACTTCAAAGAGGCCTTCCTCCTCTTTGACAGGACAGGCAACAGCAAGATCGCCTACAACCAGGTGGCTGATGTCATGCGTGCTCTTGGCCAGAACCCCACCAACAAGGATGTGAATAAAATCCTGGGTAACCCCACCCCCGAGGGTAAGTGGGTGTTCCTCTGACCTTCACACATCAGCCTCATAGTCACAGCACTGGAGCATAATACTGCTGGAAAATATCCTATGAAAATAAAAAGACTGTGCAAGTGTATTGATACTATCAGTTGCATATTTGATTGCATTCAATTATATAAAGCTCTGTATATACAGTACTACATATTATTGCAGAGTTTTTAACATTCTCTTAAAAATAAGAGCTTTGTGTTAGCGTGGCACAGGAAGATTCTTATTTTACAATATTTTACTGTGTTACATTACAGTTCATAGTAAAAGGTGAGAAAGTTGATGGTTTCCTTTATACTGTATATGCCACAGAGGCAAAGGCACTGAAACTTTTTCTTCTTAAAGTCACTAATCAAAAACTGCACTAAAATATAAAAGCTGTTTTTAGAAAAAAGCATATAATGCATATATATATACTATTTTGTGCCAATAAATGTATTTTTCTAGAATGCTTCTAGAAAGCATAGTCTAGCATGCTTCAGGAAGTTCTTTTTTTTCTGCAACAAAGTACCTGGCCCTTTATCAGCCATTTAAAAAAAACTTTCTGCCTCTTTCTTGTGAACTAAAAGTGCTAATAGGGGACAAGCCCCAGAGGGGGCTGTGGTTGACGCTGCTGAATCTGCTGGGCAACAAGGCCCTCCAGTACAGCCCGTTTGTATGTGTCTCCCAGTACCTGGGGCTCAGCCCTGCTCACTCTGATCTCCTGCAGAAATGAATGCCAAGGCCATTGACTTCGATCAGTTCCTGCCCATGCTGCAGACTGTGGCCAACAGCAAAGACAAGGGTGGCTATGAAGACTATGTTGAGGGTCTGCGTGTCTTTGACAAGGAGGGCAACGGCACTGTCATGGGTGCTGAGCTGCGCATTGTCCTGACCACACTGGGTGAGGATCGCCGGCCTTTGGCCCATCTGGAGAGACTACCTAGCATTCTCATAAGCACATTAATTTCATTCTATTAAAAAAATTTAAACTGTCCCTCCTTATGATGGTGGAAAAGATACCAAAGGCACAAAAGGTTCTTATGTAACACCGTGCACCTCATAGGTAGATTTATCATTGGATAAGTCAACCCTTTTCATATATTAAACTTTTTCTGAATAAGGCCATTAATGTTCTTGAACTTTATGCTGCATGGTCACATAGAAGCATTTTGAAAGAACGAATTACATCAGCAACAAAACATCAGATATATTTTAAGTGCAGAAAACTAACTGTACAACTTCACTTCAAGAGTTAGAAATGTGTTTTCTGGCTCTTCGCAACACGTCCGATCGATTCAGGTTTTGTGGCCCCCCGTCTGCACCACAGGAAACATGTGAAACAGTGCTGTTGTGACTCTCCTCAGGTGAGAAGATGACTGAGGGTGAGGTGGACACTCTGCTGCAGGGTCAGGAAGATGAGAACGGCAGCATCAACTACGAGGGTTAGTTCCCAGCACACGCTATGAGTAGTGGGTGTCTGGAACAAGCTAGCCAGCCAGATCAATTAGTTACTATCAATCAAGTGAGATAGACAGGTTACAAATGAGAATACTATATGCCAAGTCCTGGCAGATACCCTGTACAGTGTGAAAAATATAACCCTAAATAATTTGCAGACCTCATTTTAAATGTGTTCTAGCTCACAAAGCCATATGCTATTTTATTAATCTTCTGTTAATTGTGTGCTGGAGTGGTGGTGTCCACTGTTTTTTACTGATTGCACACTGCATACAGGATGTAGTCCATGTTTTTTTGCATTATCAGGACTATCCATGACCTTCACTGTGTGGTCAGCTTTCTTGCCTGCTAACACTCTTAGCACTTCACCGGTTTCCTAAAGCACTGTTTCTCACTGCTCACTCTCTTTTTTTCCACCCCTCACTCTTCCACAGCCTTCGTCAAGCACATCATGTCCGTGTAAAGCAACTTGAAGAGGTACGTCTGCTCTCCTTTTCCCAGCATGCTCTCCAACAGCCTACCGCTTTTTGAAATCTAGCTCTGATGAATCGGCGACAGGCAATGCCGTGAAAAGGTCCCGATCGGTTCTGCTGTGTGGAGTTCCAGCCATAGAATGAACAACTACAAAATGGAGGGATTTGATTTTCTTGGTTTCATAAGTATCTTCTTAGGGAAGATTTTATTTTATGCCATTTACTTAATTGCTTATTCAGTTAAACAGTTTTGCGATGCTCTGCCCCTAGTTGGCTGTTAATGGAAGTTACCCAGAGCTTTTCTGCTGTTCTGTCTCTCATTTGCGCATGAAGCCCCAGCTGTCTAACCCTCTGGGCAAGGATCCTGAAGCCAGATCTAACTCTGTTTTTCCCTTTCAGGACTGGTGTGAGTGCGGAACTATATCTGAAGACCCAATGGTGTCAGGACATCTACTTCACCATTTTGTAGACCAACAAAGGAAAAAAAGGACTATGGGATGTATTTCTGATATGTTCTGTTTTTTTTTCTTTTTGTTTTCCTTTTTGGATCCCTTCACCCAACATCATCCCCCTCTTCCCCCTGCTGCCCCAGGACAACAGTCACGCAGCATTCACTGAGGTGTCAGTGGACGAAGACCGTTCTCCCCTGTGAGGGTCTCTGTCCACCCTCTGTCCACTCACAAGCAGTACTCTGGCACACACCTTTAGCCTGTGATTGTGCTGCAATCCACTCGGAATGCCCTCTGCTCCTCAAAGTCTTAATTTATTTTCTCTGTAATGTAATTTCACAAAATAAACTTTTAAAAAAAGGTTTTCCGGGTGAAGTCTGGTGCCTTTTCTTTTTCAGAAGATTGTGATTCTTATGCTTTGCATGCACTGAATATAGAACACGACAAATAAATTAAAGAGGGGCCACACAAGTTACAACTGACTTCCATTTAAGTATCATCACAGCAATAATGCAGATGTCCTCTGACAAATGCTTTATTTTTACTTTATTAACTGCATTATTGCCCATATTGCTATGTTACTGCATTGCATCTGAACCCCTTACTTCTACAATATACATCACAGCAATATCCTGCCTCAGAGTAAGCAATGGTGAAACTGGTTCACAAGTCCAGAAAAGTGACTGATGAGACTTGACACTATTGTGGAATGAATTTTCGAATTGTCACTGTTTCATAAAAATAATTTTGTAGATTTCAGGGAAATTCTGAATCTTTGAAAATGCCCTTAATGAAGGTGGGCCTGGTGTTTTTGCACTCAGCGATTTATTCATATCTGGGTCCTTTGTGGCTATACATTTTTCAATTAGAAAAATCACAAATCTCAGACACAACCAAATCTTATTCTATAGAGTCAAGACCCATTTTCTGGGCCTATGCATTTTTCCCTGTATTTTTACATGAACACGGACTCAAGATCTGGAAATAGGTAATGTTGACAATATAAAAAATAGTTGATTTTTATCAAAGTAGCAGTCTGTGAATTCAAAGTGAGGAAATTTGCATTTATTGGGAAGTTCAGACTGTAACTGATTTGTTATTAATTAACTCAAGTGTTTACAAACCAAGATACTCAACAGCCAAACATCCCCTATTGACTGTACACTGATAATAAATTAATGTAACTAGTCACTTCTTGCACAGGGCAAGTGTAACACAAATAAAGCTGTTTTCTTAAAATATCAAACTCTAAGCATGAATTATATTCTAACTCTAGAGATAATTTCCTGTAACTGCAACCCCTACTTAAACTGGCCCGCCACACTCCCCTGTCGTTGTAACCCTTCTTACAGTATGTTCTTAACCGGAATGATACTTATTTGGTATATGCCTGTCATTGCATTAATTTAGAATTTAGAATTTAGAAAGTACTAGTAAGACCAAGGTTCAAGGGTTTGAACCCAGTAAGTTTGTTAGTAGTCAGCAGTATTTAATCAAACCTACTGTACTAACTCTATGTGTAACATCACAGTTTATTTATTAATATCAGTTTATAAATTAGAGATTTGCTTGTCTCGGTATGGTTTTTGACTCCCTTTACAACCTACAGCAGTTGTATCCAGGATGCTTTCTGAAACTAATTAGTGTCCAAGCATACGAAATGCTGATACTGTAAATACAATAAAACAAAATCTTCTCTGTTTAGGACAATAGTTGCTAGCTGGCTATTCACCATATACTGTATGATTTATACATATGTAATATTTATATTGAAATCTATTAATTACTTGAGCAACTGTGACTGTTTATTTGACATTATTAATTTATTGTGTAGTTATTGAAACATGAAGATTGAAAATGGGTATCATATTGAAACAGGGACAATGGGAAAATACACAAATTACCATGTTTATCACAAGAAGTTTACAAAACTAAGTGCACAGCATAAATGAATCCACTGGACTGACTATATTTAAGAACTCTGAATATTTCTATGTAGAGTAGTCTCCTCCTCATGTCCTGTGTTCGAGACTAAAGGGGTCAGTTCCTTTAACCTACAGTATACAGTAATCTCTCCGTCTGTGTTCTCAAAGACGGTTTTCCGAACTCATACATCAGAAAGAAACTAAAATTATTCTGCAGCTAGGATCACACATTCTCCCTTCCCTTAACGACAGACTACTGTTCTTTTAAATTTTCTCCATTCATTGGAAGTTTCATTTCACACCTCTCTGCACCCATTCTGACTTCACACCTCTTGATTGCCCTCTCTTTCTGTCCCCCTGCTCCCGCCTCTCACTCCTCCTCCCTCCCAACCTTTGTTCTTCCGCTACATTACCTTTGCCTACTGCCCTGTCTCTCTCACACCTGAAGAAGGCTCCACGGCCGACACGTTGTGTTCTCTTTCTTCTTTTTTTCAGCATGGAATAAACCTATTACTTGTCCCTTTGCAGCCTACGCATGCTGACGCAGCTCCCCACCTACAGTATACACCTGGAACTATAGTGGTTGCTTTTCTTTCAGCTCTTTCTAGGCCAACACTGCCTTTTTCACCCAGAACTGAAAACAAGTGCAACACAAGATGAAGGTCCACTTGGAGAGAAATTATCTTAGAGCCGAGCTGTTCTGTTTTTTTGCTACTTTGTTCCTATTAATAGTTACAAAGTCACCCATCGGAGGGCGCAAGCCTATTTCGTTCTGTTTTTCCTCTGGGCAGCTTCTGCAACTTTGCATTCTGTATATTGTACTGAAGGAAGTTTGTGCGGTTATTCTTTTGCGCGAAATTAAACCGAAATGTATTTAAATCCTATTTTAAGAAAATGCCTTTCCGGTTTCAAGCCTTTCCATTACGGAATACTGAATAAGAAAGCTGGTTTTGTTGGAAGTCTCAGGTAAGCCTGTTTTTAAATGTATTTATTTTCGATGTAAAGTAGTACTGCACTGTACAGTATGCTAACTTCGGGCACAGTATTAAATAATCGGTAAATATGACTAGATCAATACCAGCACTACATTAATAACTGGTGCATTTCATATGAACTGTTTAGGAACAAGTAATAGGTTTATTCCATGCTGAAAGAGAAGAAAAAACAATGTTTCGGCCATGGAGCCTTCTTCGGGACCGGGGTAAAGGTAGCGTGAAGTTCGAAAACGAAGTTCGTAGCGTTTTCACGAAACCTCCTCGAGTTACGAACACACCTGCTGTGTGTACTAAGTACTGTACATTGTGATTGTTTTCACAGCCTTCACTATGTCGTTTTTAAGCCATTTGTTTGACCCCGCACGAATATTCTTTTGTCCATATCTTCGCAAGGGAAACACAGAAAGCCTTCAAACCAAATGCATTTTAAAGACTACGACTTAAAAAGCCTCCATATAAAACTATCAGTGAGCTAATTATCTTTTTTTAAACCTCAGTTTTTTCATCGATGCGTAATTACACACTAACTGGAACCCGGGGGGACCGCTCTGTACACAGCTTCAAAACGCGAAAAATATTGCTCAATACGGCTTCGTTGGGAAAAACCCGTATATGACCATAGGAAGCAAAACAGCGCAGTCTCCAACCCAGCCTGTAAGCACGGGAATAAAGCTTTGTTTGATTTCTGAAACCCTTTCTTTATGTCCTGTTTTCATTCAGGTAAGGGTCAACTATATTCACAATACTGCTGACAGCAGCGAAATTCAAATATTCTTTACTCAGCAGCTTAGTAAAAACAGCTCCCATGATGTTCAAACCGATTTTTCACACAGAAGACTGACACAGCTTTGCGTTCTGAATCTCTTTTTTCTCGTGCTTTTATTTAATGTGGCACTCTGCACTGGGATAGAGGAATGCTGTTCACAAGCCAATAGCATTTAAACCACAGCACCCACAATGCTGCAAGTAAGTGTTTTACACACTAAGCAGGTCCTCTGACCTTTCCAAGCCTTGCTTTGGGTTGTGAAACCTCTTAAATTTTTTTTATGATTTTTTCAACATGGCACCATTAGAGAGGTGGTACATGGGGATAGGGGGGTGCTATACAAAAGTCAATAGCTTTTCAAGCACAACATTCACAATGCATGAACCAAGTGTCTTGCACACTAGGCAGACCCCTCACCTTATACAACATTGCTTTAGGTTGTGAAAGTTTTCTTTATTATTTTATGATTTTTTCACTATGGCACCATTAGAGAGGCGGTACATGGGGAAAGAGGGGTGCTATTCACGAGTCAATAGCTTTTGCACAACCATATTCATTATGCTATAACCAAGGGTTTTACACACTAGGCACGCCCACTGACCCATCATAACCTTGCTGTGATATGTGAAGCCTTTCTTTCAGATACCTGGCTATTTTTTTCAGATATCTGCATATGTACATTTTGCAAACCCTGGTCTGATGAGGGTACGGTTTGCACAATGTCACAGTGGTAGGTTTTGCAAGCAGGAAATGTAGTGATAGATTTGAAAGAAACGAAGCAATAGTTCAGTGGAAGGACTATAAGATTATCTGCAGGAGTATTGGTTCTGTAAACTAGGGTAAAAGGAATCCAACAGCAAGACAAAAAGGAAACACAGAAGTGTTTATCGATAAATCAAATCTTTTTTTCATCGTTGTATTCCTTATTACATGCATGCACAACCATCGCAACTATAGAAATCAGATGCGACAAATTTGGTGATAAAATATGTATGCAACTCAGAGTTCTATCCAGTAATATTAAAACAAAGGGGGGAAGACCATGTCTTCATGGATGATGTTAAAGACCATGTTGTTTGGCATGCTGGAGCCAGAAATGTTTGGATTAATTCAAACAGAAAAGCATTGTGAAAGTACTCCAAAATGTGTTTCAGTTGTACAGACAGAACATAATTTCTTGCTGTAAAAAAACGTCCCTAGGCATAATTTTTTTGCTAGAAATATGTTCCTAAAAAGGAATTTAAAAAGCCATTTGATTCAAATAGCTTTGGCAAAATCTATGGATACTTTGCCTTTGAGCTGTAAAGCTTTTAGATTCTTTGGGTCCTTTAACTGTAGGAACACCCATCATTTAAAAGATTTTAAAAACTATAGTTTTCATAAAAATGTGAGAGTATCTTCATGCATTCTTCTTCATAACACTTTACACTTAGTTTAAACTACTGAGTGAACAAGGTTTAATACAGAGAGCAAGGGGCAGTTCTTTAGCTGGTTGTGTGTCAGCTTCAACAACTGTCCAACTGTGTTTTGGATCATTTTACTTGGGCTTCCAATATTGATAAGTAAACAGCCACCCCATACTGCACAACATAGCATAATAGCTATGTTTGAAAATCAAGAAAACAGTAAAGAAAAGTACATCTTTTCTCAGGATAACTCCCCTCACAAAGAAAGTTAAGTAACGGTTTTAAGATGCCCCAAAACAGTACGTCTTGCACTAGTGTTAACTTTCAGAACCGATGTGAAACTGAAATAAAATACAAGAAACCCAGAAATAACTGGAAGCACCCCCCCATCCCAGTCCCATGGTGCTATCTTCTAGAAATAGTAAAACATTATGGAAGGGATTCACATTGGAAATCATGACGGTGCAAGATAAGAGGGCCTGCTTAGTGTGTAAAACACTTGGTTGCAGCATTTTGAATGTTGTGCTTGAAAAGCCATTGACTCGTGAATAGCACCCCCCTAACCCCATGTATTAAGAAGACACCCCTATTCCAGTGTATTACCTGTAGTGTTATCTTAAAAAAATCATGAAAATAAAGAAAAGTTTCACAACTCAAAGCAAGGTTGTATAAGGTGAGGGGGGCTGTCTGGTGTGTAAAACACTTGGTTGTAGCATTGTGAATGTTGTGCTTCAAATGCTATTGAGTCACGAAGAAGACCTCCCTATCCCAGTGTATTGCATGTCTAATAGGTGCTGTATTGAAAAAATCATAAAAAAATAAAAGAGGTTTCACAACCCAAAGCAAGGCTTGGAAAGGTCAGAGGACCTGCTTAGTCTGTGAAACACTTACTTGCAGCATTGTGGGTGTTTTCCTTGCGAAGATATTGAAGAATGAAGAGATAAGAGAGACGCCCGGGAAGTGTGATAATCATTTTCGTGTTTTTGTATGTTTTCGCAAACTATGCAGTCTAGTGGCTTGACGTACAGTAGGCTTTGTGCTCAAATGTATATAAAGAATGCTGCCTGTCCTTGGTCAGTAAGATAAAGGGCATGTATTTGGTAAGCTGGCTGTACGCCCCGAATATGAAAAGAACTAACTGTTGTCTAGTCTGCAACTTAGATATAATTAATTGGCAGGTGTTGCTGTTTTCTCATCTGTTTAGAATACAGTATGTCATAGTAACTCTTTGTGTTTTAAGGTATAAAGGACCATCTTCAGCTACTTATTTTTTTAAGTCTGGTGGTTGCAAGCCAGACTTCCATATGCATATGAATAAAGAGACTTCTGCTTCACAGACACATGAACTTTGTCATTTGTTTGACACTACAATATGGACACAAGAATATTCGTGTGTGGTGAAATTAATGTCATAAACATGACAAGTGAAGGCTGTGAAAACAGTCACAATGTACTTTATACACAAAGTAAGTGTTCTCGCAACTCTAGGAGGTTTCATAAAAATGCTACAGGCATGCCAAAATCGTTTTCGAACTTCAAGCTACGTTTACCCCAGTTTCTTCAGGTGTTTAGCACTACAGAAATACATATTGTATTATGATATTTAACTGCTTTTCAGGTTTAGCACTTCAGGGACAGTCCATAGACTCGGATAGTTTTAATTTCTGTTTTAAATGTTTAAAAACTTTGATTAGGGAAACAGGGGATTACCAACGTGCAATGAATGTGTTTAAATGTAAATACGTTTTCAGTCATGTGTTACGTCTTACACAGGTAAGCGTTTTTTGGACCCTTGGTTTAGCGTGGGGACATATTGTAAATACTTTTGCAGTAGCTCTGTCAACTCAAATCAAACTGCACTGCCAGTAACCTTTGTCCCGGATTACGCAATACTATGTATATTATAGGTTACTGATAACCCAAGTTCTGTATATTAAATAATGCTATAATAAACAGTCGATGGCAATAACTAAGCATAAAAAGTAAAATAAGATATTTCACCTTCTCTGGATAGAAGTCTATTTTCTTTTATATATAGAAAATATATTTTTGCAAACACATAAACGGAGTAGACCTTGTGTTTTTTTTGAGTATACCGCTCTTTCTTGACGTTAAATGCTTTGCTGTCCTTCTAGCAGTTAGGGAGTGTGACTGACAGCGCTGTGCTCTGTGTTTCAGGCTGCAACACACCCAGTGGGGGCACAGTGAGGCACAGAACTTCCGCCCAGAGACCTCCAGTGCCAAGAGTATGATGGACATCGGCACCCGCCGGATCTTCTCCGAGGAGCACGACATTTTCCGACAGAACGTCAGGCGCTTCTTCCAGGTGGAGGTGGCCCCCTACCACGCGGAGTAGGTATCTCAGACAGTGTCCTGGTCCTCTTACTGTTTGTGACTCCACGCACGGCACAGGGTCCGGCGTTTCCCAGTTCCATTGCAGGACACCTGCCAACGCTCCAGATTATTGGAGCCAAGATGGAAGTCCTGCAGGTGCGCTAAAGAAGGTTCAGCTTTTGCAGCCACTGGAAAGCCATATTCTCTGCAAAAACAGAAAGAGATGGGCACCACACGACTTGAGGCGAGGAACTACAGAGAAATTCAAAAGCATGTCAGCTGGAATGGAGAGGGGGGAGAATTCAAATATTGCAAGTGGAACAAGGCTCATGCACTGAGTGTTACAGAATTACAGAAGTGCCATCAATCCCTTCTCGGAACTCTGGATGAAGGGAGCCACACTAGTCACTGGTGCCATGTAGATTTCTCCTATGCCGGAGGACCTGCTCTATAGGCCTGGAGGAGCTACCCCTCTGTCTAGGAAGTGGCGCTGTGTGTGCTCAGAGCCCACAAGCGACTTTTATCAAGTTCTGGCAGGGGCAGAGAGAACGGCAACATGCCCTGCTGGTGCCACGTCTCAGGTTTCTCAGGCTCATGTCCGTCAGTCGCTGAGGTGGAAGGAATTTAGAAGGGGCGAATATAACAAGGTTCACGCCCAGACACTGGTCAGTTACAGAACCGACGTCAGTTCCATCTGAGATCTGGGCTATGTAGAGTTCTGCCACTGCATAGGCCCTGGTGTTGCTGTGTGGCAGAGTTATCTGCTTTCTAGATATTAGGTCTACGTGTGCAGAGCCCACACGCTCCTTGGACAGATAGGGCCAAGGAGGGCTACACTTGGTACACAAGGTCAAGAAATGAATGGATTTCTTTTTCTTTCATAAGCTGATTAAATGCTTCTAACTAAATGTCCGGCATTTAGTTACACAGCATTCCAAAGAGATGGGAAAGGGGCAGTGCTGTACATCAAAAAGAGAATTCAGACATGAGACATAAGAATTTAACCTTGACGGATCTATAAAATACATTCAAGGGGTACAGTGAGTTTGCTACAGACCTCCAGACTGACATATCAATTACAGTGTGGTCTTTATGCTGAAATATTTATATGGGTATAAAGGAAAAAAAGTTACTATTCTTGTAGATTGGGAAAACATGTTAGTCATGTCTACTTTTTTGTTCCTTAATGCCTAGATTGATCTATCTTTCCAAGCTGTCAAGATGAAGCGCTGAAAAATGAGAGAACTATCTGTTCTTGCAGTCTTTTAATGGTATATTTAAAAGTTTATGTTGAAGCTGAACCAGTAAAGAATCCCAAATAAAAGTTTGCAATTTCAGGAAAGCAGACTGTGGAGGAATGAAACTGAGTTTGAAACGAGCAGAGTGTAGTGGGTTACAGCAGAGACTAGATGGCAATATTGTAAAGATATTCTGCTTCTAGCACAGCCCTTTGTTTAACAAAGTCTAGAAAATAGTGATGCAGTTTCTTAATTTTGTTAAGAAAACTACAAGGAGAAACAAGTCAATTTATCAACGGAGTAAAAAAAACTCCTGTTAAAGAACAGAAGCGCAATGAACAGGAAGCATGAGTGAAAGAGGATTATCAGAAATGCCTGAAGGGCCATAGCTTAAAATTATAGTGGCGACTGAAAGTTTATTTTTCAGTTTTCCAACAAAAATGGGAAGAATCATTTGAATTTTGGGTGTTTGGGTGGGGAGCTGAGTCAGTGTGCACTGACTGCAGAGGAGTCTGCGAAATAGGAAGGAGAAATGCAATGTTTCGTCTGTTGGGCCTTTTCCAGACTCTACAGGAGGCTCTAGTTTACACCGTGAGCTGTGGGAGTCTGGAACAAGCAGCCCAGCCATGTCGTTGAAGCTGTCGTACAGGCATCTCTCAAAAAGCAGCTGAATGAGATTGTGGACCGCTTACTGAATTGCTAAGAAACAAACTAGCTGCCTGGACCAAACGGCCTTCTCTGGTTTCAAGCTCTACGCTCATCCTTTGCTGCTGCTGCCCTGTGTTGCAGGTGGGAGAAGGAGGGACAGGTGAGCCGGGAGGTCTGGGAGAAGGCAGGCCAGCAGGGGATGTTGGCCGTGTGCATCCCTGCGGAGCACGGTGGCGTCGGAGGGGACCTGCTGTCCGCAGCTGTGATGTGGGAAGAGCAGTGAGTAACGGGAGGGGGTGGGGGAGTGGAGGTCACTGTAGTCCAACAGGAACAGCGAGGAGACTTCCTGAAGCAATTGTGAAGGAAAATGGCTGGTCAGTGCAGAGGCAATGAGTGATGTGGCGGGTTTGTGGAAATGGTGAGTTGAGGATGGATGCAAGCGTAAACCGCGTGGAAGCACATTTAAAACTGTGTACAGGAGGTCCGGTTTTGCTTAAAGGGTTGTGGGTAAAGTATGGCACAAACTATTCAGCCTTGCTGTTTACTGTAGATTCTTTTAGGAAGGAGCTACGTGAAATTCTCCAATCAATGAACCGAGTGAGTCAGATGGGCCAAAGGGCCACTTAAACTTTATGTTCAAACATTTGTGTGCTTTGTGCAAAGGGTGAGTGTTCACAGGGTTGAAACACATGCTTTGTGCTTCACAAAAACCTACATTTTAAAGACTTACATTTGCTGTAGAAGAGTGCTGTATGAGTCACAACATGGCCACTTTTTAAAAATGAGCCAATATTACATATTTGAACTTGCAAGTAAAGTTAAATGTCTGGTATTGCTTAATGATTCTGTGCATTTCTTGAAAAACCAGCAGCTCTGATGTGAGGAGTGCTCTCTGAACTGTCTATCTGAGATTGACTGCCAGGAGTGTCGTTGAGGAGGAAATGTAGACACGATGTTTCTGCTTAAAAGTGTGTGTGTGTTTGTGCTTTTCAGAATGTACGTGAACTGCACTGGACCGGGGTTTTCATTGCACTCAGACATCATTATGCCTTACATCAGTCACTATGGCACCAAGAGCCAGATAGAACGCTACATCCCTCAGATGACAGCAGGAAAGTGCATTGGTGCCATTGCTATGACAGAGCCTGGGGCAGGCAGGTGAGGCACTGAGTTTCAAGAAGGTGTGAACACGTCCCTCCTTCGAAAGTGGCAGGCAGAGCTAAACCAGTCTGTTTTAGCCCAAGAAGTTGTGGGAGTCTGGAACAAGCTGCCCAGCCCTTTGACTGGGTAGTCGCACACTGGCTTCTCTCTTAGAAAACGACAGGATGAGATCTTAATGGGTTAGTTTGCTACCAAACAGGTTCTATGGGCTGAATGGCCTCCTCTTGTTTGTATCTTTCTTATGTTCTTTCTTAGATGCTGATACAAGATGTAGCTTCCTTCACTGTCAATATGCTTATGTTCTTTCTTAGATGCTGATACAAGATGTAGCTTCCTTCACTGTCAATATACATCTTGTACATCTTTTTTCAGTGATTTGCAAGGGGTGAAAACCTATGCCAAGAGGGATGGAAGTGACTGGATTTTGAATGGGAGCAAGGTACCATGTGCAAGTGCTCTGTTCAGTTCAGTTTATTTTGCACATCTAGTGAGCATTCGCTACCCAACATCCTGAGAAGACAAACCAGACTCGATCGTTCTTGACAAGTGCTGCTTATGCAACGAGGACCTCATCGGCTGTATAAGGCAGTGGTGTGAAACGAAAAGTATATTTAAGGCGTCTCCCACATGTGTCCCTTCTCTAGCATTGTATGATGTACGAGAAGACCCTGTGGTAATAGCTGCGCATCAGTCGCACAATAAGTGTGCTGGCAGCAGAGTTGTAAGCCTGGCCTGTTGTACATCTCCAGTTTAAAACATCTTATAAAACTCACAGTTTATAAATCTCAGAACTCACCAGACGTTTAATGTCGAGCTGCCCTTTGAGACCCTATCAGTCTCTCCTATTGAAGGTGGTGAGTTCTTTGTTCTTGGGGGCTTCAGTTTGGGAAGGCATCATGCTCTATACTATGGGGTGGCTAAGCTTGGAGAAAAAAAACTCCACATGGTATACAAGCCAGTTGGAGGTTTTCAAATGGAAAAAAAATAATTTTTTATCACTGGATTAGAATCCTCCCCAACCACACCAGACTTTTTTTTTATATTGCCACAAACCTATTTTCACTGAAGCAGAACATTACTGGAGATCTGAAAGAATCAGATGCTATTTGGATAGGTACTGTTATTCATTTTTATTTGCTCTTGCTGTCTTTTCGGAAAGCCAGAACTGTTTACTTGTGAATGACCTTTGAATAGTATTGTTTGCCAAGTGGGGAAAACGTATGGACAGTTTATGTTAATTGAAGGAATTGTTTTTTTTTTACCAGTGAGTTGTTCTTTGTTTACTTTGTTGCTTTCTAGTTTGAATCCCCGTTACTGTTGTTTTCATTTCCCTGAGTCTGTCCTGCCCACACCCAGAATGCTGATAAACAGTTTTTTTTTGGCCAAATTGCCTTCCAAATTCTTGGTTTTGCTGTTATTCACATTTGGGCTCCGGTTGTCAAATCAAATGAGCTGCATATCCTCAACAAATGTTTTTTTTAAGAATACATTGTACAGAATGTACAAGTCATGCACAGTAAGTGTATAGAAAATGTATTTCAACCTCATGAAGTTTAGAATCATCAGATGTAACAACTCCCACTTTCACTCTGGAGAAAAGAAGAATGTATCTTTTTTTTCCACATGGAAAGCTCCACCGCCCCCGACAGGTTAGATAGTGTTGATAGAAGCTGCAACACATCTCTCAATCACATCAATGCAAGCTGGCAGGTGCCAATTGTTATGCCTCTTGGGAAATCCTTCTCAGTCAGTTGGGAACATGATCTAGGCTCAAACTTTCAACACTGGAGCTCCAGGCCAGGGCCTTTACTGTATTAACACTGAGGTTGACTGTGAACCCTGACACGTACTGTACATGCTGTCGAGTTATTGTAGACACGCGGAGTTACTAGGGTCTGTATTTCTGATATGAAGTGGAACTACAGACTAAATCACCACTGCAGTTGGGTCAGTGATGGGTGGGGAGCTTGTCCTGATGGCCTTCTGTCTCTGTCCTTCTGCCCAGATATTCATCAGTAATGGCTGGATGTGTGACTTGGTGATCGTAGTGGCGGTGACGGACCTTAATTCCCAGAAAGCAGCACATGGAATCAGTCTCTTCCTGGTGGAAAATGGGACGAAGGGCTTCCACAAGGGGCGCAAATTGAGCAAGATTGGCCTGAAGGCGCAGGTACTGGGCTGTCACACTACAGAACCATGACCACCAGCTATGGGGCATGTTTACAGCATCTTCCTTTTCAGATGAACCCACTTGTTTGTGTTCTCTGTTATATTGCGATTTTGTAGGTTCTGACTTGGTCCTTTTTTTCTTGCACGAGGCCAGAGAAGTGAGGAATTTCTTTTTCCTCTCTATCCGTGCTGATGTACGCATCTACAGTATTTCCCTGTGGTCTGTCAAGTGAGTTGAGTGGAGTCATCAGTGAGCGCTCTTCAAGGTATTCTTCCCCAAAGGACGCATGATTTCTGACAGGCCTACGGTTAAAGGCTCAAACTCAATCCCTGGGGGGTCCGATAATTTAATAAGCCAGATAATTATAATAACTCCCAACCAGGCTCCGAGGTGATTTACAGGTCACTGGCCCGGAATATACAAGGCCATCCAAGGAATGAGTGTCCCTGCACTGTGGGTGAACCTGGTGACTGAGAGATCCATCTTCTGTCTCTTCAGGACACGGCCGAGCTGTTTTTTGAGGATGTGCGTCTCCCTGCTGAGGCGCTACTTGGCGAAGTTAATAAGGGCTTTTACTACCTGATGGCTGAGCTGCCACAGGTAAGAGTGGCATCTCATTTTCAAGTATTTCAGTATTTATTTACATGAAGGCACAGCAACTAAGAATGTAGTAATAACACAGAGTAATGGTAATTTTCTGTCCTGGGCTTTGAAAAGGATACCATTATTTAGTATGTGTAACAAACACTACAGTCTAATGAATCTAAATTTTGAATCATTTTCTTACATAATGAAAAGCACTTCAAACTGTTTTAGAGACCATCTGATTAAACCCTTTATTACAAACTGGTAGTAGTTACTTTTTGACCCTGTCATTTGATGAACAGGTGAATTCATAATTGTGCCTTTTTTGGTCTTTTAAAAACACTTTTCTGGTCCTTATCATTTTGAATTGGTCTTTTCGAGTGCATCAGAAGGATTAGTACACACTTCATTGCCATAATTGTCTTCCTCTTGTAAATGCTGGTATGAGTGTAAGCTACCTTTGTCACCCCAGGAACGTCTGGTGATTGCTGACCTGTCTGTCGCCAGCGCCGAGTTCATGTTTGAAGAGACAAAGAGCTACGTCAAGGAGAGGAAAGCCTTCGGCAAGACTATCGCGCATCTGCAGGTGAGTTGGCTGCTACTGTATGTTACCCTTTTCCCTGAAGGGGTTTTGAGCAGTGAGAGAGACAAGGGGTCAGGCGTCTGCTTCCTCTGAACAGAGACGCAGCAGCTGATCTCCCATGAAAAGCTGCCAATGCCCACAAACCACATCTATCGAATTCACAAGCAGGCAGGGTCAGTATCAAATCGGCGCTGCAGGTTCTGCTGGGGAGGCTTTGACACAGTGGAAAAACATAGTTATCCAAGACACACCATCATTTTAAAAGTCTGTAGGTCCAATCTATACAACATCATTGTGCGATTACAAGCCGCCGTGCTCTTTAGCAGTGAACCGGAACAGTCGGCTGTCATGAGCTGCCGTGCTTTGGTGATATCAGCCCCTACATACACGCTGAACTCTGCTGCTTATTTCAACACAGACGGTGCAGCACAAGCTGGCAGAGATGAAGACGGAGATCTGTGTGGGCCGGGCCTTTGTGGACAGCTGTTTACAGCTGCACTTGGAGAAAAAGCTGGATTCGGCGACTGCCTCCATGGCCAAGTACTGGTGAGAGTGCACCCTCGCGTAATATTCCCCACACGCAGTTATTACCCGGCAGGTCATTTCAATCAGCTCCGCTGGTGTGTGCACCTTTTTTGTTTTCTGTGTTTTCTTCTTTTAAATGGCTTATTTTCCCTCCGGACTTCAATTTTTTACAGGCTTAGCAAAATAGTCTTTTTTTTTTTATTAAACACCAAGTGTCCTTGTATCCATATGTTGTCAAGTGGGCTATATAGATGGTTATTATTTATGCATGTGTTTTTAGAAACGAAAAAGCTTGATTAGCGATTTTAGAAATGAATACTGTATTTCAGATTTAGCTTTCTCACACATTTCACATCCTGGATGTGAAAGGCGTTGTTACAAGTTGTGCAGAGTGCCTTGATGCACTAGTGTGGTCACCACAAATGAGGTCTCTTGCATAAATGCTTCACGATGTCCTTTGTTGCTTGTTGCTGTATGGACCATCAGGTACCGTGTGCTTTCATGCTTCTTGCACTGGGCTGATGTCACTCTGTGGATAAGCATTATGAAAACCCTCTCGCGGATGTGTCTTTGATTGACATCTCTGCTGTCTCTTCAGGGCTTCTGACTTGCAGAACCGTGTGGCCACACAGTGTCTGCAGCTCCACGGTGGCAGTGGATACATGTGGGAATATCCCATTGCCAAGTGAGTGACAGAGCAAGGCAGACAGCAGGGCTGTAACAGCGTGACTCTGTTAGTCTCTGGCACCAAGGAGCATTGCGTGCCGAACAGGCAGGGAAGAATACACAAGCATTTTCAGACACCACAACGCTGCGCTCCATTCTTACAACTGCCTGTTGATTGTCAACTCGTTGGTGACAGCAGATGGCGAAATTTGCAGAGGGAGCTGGCCGATCCTTTCCACCTGGCTGAAAGGATCCGCTGTCTGTCAGTGGATTACGAGAGTAATAACGACAATCGGAATGCCAGGCTGTTTCTGTGTTGATTTGGGAAATTGTTTAACAAAAAAAATTCTGATTTTTAGAGGCTTGTCTCTAAAGTGGAATTACCCAGACCACAACCCCACATCTTGCTAGCTGCAAAAAGTCATTGGTTCTACATGGATTCTGGTATTTGTAGACAGCTGGCAGTTACTGTATGTGATCCAGTATTGTTTGCTATTTTGCTATCAAAATATCTGTCACACATTCATACAAAGCCAGCAGCTCACTGTTCCCACAGCAGCTGACTCCGGTTCCCACATGACCCATTAAACAAAGTGGTTGGAAAATGGACGGATGAACGGAGAACATTTATCACCTTTGCACACTATGAAAGCACTGCATTTGATGTTAGAAATTTACCTCCCATTGTCATTATTATTGTATTAATCTGAATGTCTTCATTTCTTACAGAGCCTTTGCGGACGCACGGATTCAGACCATTTATGGCGGCACTAATGAGATCATGAAGGAGCTGATTGCACGCAGCATCGTTGGAGGGCAGTGAAAGGGAATGTTTGACATTTCTTTCAGATGCGTCTTTTTACTGCGCTGCATATTCACATGCCAGCGTCACTGCCCTCTTTTGGTCAGCCTTTGATACTGCACTGTAGAAATGAGAAGTGGTGTCTCTGATGAAAGTAGGGGTTTCTTAGCAATATAGTAGAACAAAGGATTTATTAACAAAATGATGTCTCTATTAAAAATACTCATACTCAGTTTATTGAATGTACATTCTCTTCACAGCTTTCATGTTTAATAGCATTTGGAGTTCTCTTAGAACTACACGCACAAAAGAAAAGTTACAAATGTGAGGTGGAATGGGAGGTTTGGTAGTTAGCAGTTAAATGATACCAGGACCCCAGTATGTGTAGCTGTTTACTAAAAGAATGTAGGGTACTAATACACCAACATGGCTGGGTAGCTTGTTCTTGTACCTTTAGATATAGAAGTGCCTCTTCTTATTCCTGGATTTAAATGTACTTCCCTGTAGTTTCCACTTGTGCTCCCTTGTTTGTGATTCACTGTTCATTCTGAAGAAATTTGCTGGGCTGACTTTGTCTGTGCCTTTGAGAATCATGAAGACTTGTATCACGTTCCTTCGTACTTTTCACGGTTCAAGACTGAAAAGTTCAGTTTCTTTAGACAGTCTTTAAGTCCCAGAATGTATCTGGTTGCTCTTCTCTGGACTGACACAAGAGAAGCAATATACAGTATTTTCCATAAAGTAGTGACCAAAATTCTGTGCAATATTCTAAATTCATACCTGTATACTAAATATTTTAACTAAACTTGAGTTAACGATCCTATAATATCCTAGTATTTTGTTAGGATAAGAAGCATCTTCTGTCTCAGTGTTTCCCATTTTGTATTTATCTATCTACTTCCTGTGCAAAACCCTGCACTCGTCTACACTAAATGTCTTCACCCAGGTGTTTGTCCAGTCCTACATTCTAAAATGTCTTATTTGCTGTTTCTACAGTGCTTGTCTGCTTAATTTGGTGTCATCTTCAAACGTAACTAGTTTATGAACTTTTTAATTATGTACAGTATGTATTTCATTAAGTACATCGCACCAATCTGAGTAATCACCCCCTTTTTATGTAATAACCATTTCTTATTCCAAACACTTGTTTCCCCGAATGTCTACCACCTGCAGTTTGCAGTATAGTAATTTCTCAAAAGCCTACTGAAGCTCTCATACTCCATATCATATGCCCTGTGTATATCCATTACTGTTGTTGCTTGTGTAAAGAGTTGGCTAGCCACACAAATCTTTTTTAAATCAATGTTGTCTGTTTCCATAGGATATTATTTCCTGTTGTACCTGTGTACTAATTTTAGTAATTGATGTGTTGAATTAATTGGGTATCATTTTTAGCCACTAGGACTATTATAGCCTTGTATACTATGCTCAAGAGTTTAGTAGTTGTCGCATCTTTATTGGAGTTTGATTTTCATTAAGCGTTCAGGCGCATTATGGCTGCCGTCGCATCATCCAGGTGGATGCTGCACATTGGTGGTGGTGGAGGGGAGTCCCCATTACCTGTAAAACACTTTGAGTCAAGTGTCCAGAAAAGCGCTATATAAATGTAAGCAATTATTATTATTATTATTACAAATAGAGACATGAGTGCTTTTAACACCACACCAGGCTTCCTGTGCACACATGGACTTCACGGCAAGATTCAGGGTGATTAAAATCAACCAAACACCTTTGCCTTGGGTCGTTGTGAAGCTGCAATCCAAGATACAAGATGGTCTGTGAAAAAGGAGAGCAATTAGTGTGTTGTAAATGAACAAAAATACCACTTTGCTAAAAAGCAATTTCAGATTCCAGCATAAAAGCTTTAAATACAAAAGACTTGCATGGTTATGTAAGACAGAGGGACAGAACTTTCATTTTGCTGTCTGTATTAATGCAAATGCCTATAGAATTCTGCAGCTGGCAACTGGAAACAGAGAAAATCCTGAAGTCTTTTTCATAGTCTTGCTCATTTTTGACTCTGAAACCTTCAATTATGAAAAGCCTCCTACATTATTGGTTTAACAATGGCAGCAGTTGGCAGTGGAAAACTGTTTTTATCACAATAAAAATGTTCTGACCTGACATCAAAACTTCATCTCACTCAGCAGCATGACTTCCTTCAGATGAGGTTTTCTCAATGGAAGTCCTAAAAATTCTCAGCTCACCTTTCTCTCACTGACATGCAGTCATTTATTCCACAGAGATTGCTCCCATTTTCACAGCACTGACTTGCAGTATTTTCCTAAAATGCACTTGATTTTTTAATTCTGGTTTTAAACAGCAGATACATTATGGGTGTGTTATTTTCTTTTTTTTTTCCAGAAGATACACAGGGTCTTGCCTAAAGCCTTTTGTGCAGATTTATTCCACGGAACTGTGAATTTAAATATGAGAAGTTACATTCAGTAGCATACACTAAGAAATTGATTTCACTTGTGAAACACAGACAGCACTGTTATTGGTTAACTGCCATGAGGCACTGTGGAGCTTGTGGAAGTGTAAATGTGTGAATGCATGGCCCATGTCTGTCCATGTCTATTCTGTGCGCCTGAGCAGTGCAGAGTAACTGAAGGTACCAAACTGGACTGTTTCAAAAGAAAAAGTAATATGTGATTCTGCATTTAAAATGTAATAACTTTTAACTGTAACTGGAAGAAACTGGACGTTGAAATAAAAATCGGTGTGCTGAAATAAAGTGTAATTTTTTCTTTTACAGAAAATGAATGCAACAGTTTTACAATAACCCAATACAAAACATCTGATATTTCATAGTGCAGAGTATGTCACAAGAAGACTATATTCACACCTCTCTACCATCCTTGAAGGACAAATATTCCCAAGATAAAGCTAAAGACAGCCACTGAATATTGAGCAATTGTTTTAGGTTAATTAAATCTTTCTTGACTTTAGACAGCGATGGCTATGATTGTTATGTATGCATGCAATGAAGCAGGAGCTTCATTGCATGCAAAAGTTTTCTTTTGCATTAAACTCCCCGGTTTATGACGGAAAAGCTTCTGGGCAGCGGTCTGGGTCATGCTGCTTGATGGCTTTTTGGTTGTCGAGAAGGTCCTCAGACGGTGGATCCATATTTTAATATGTTCACTGCATCACCACATGCATTGGAATATGTTCAATATCACTTTATTCATTATGAATCTGTGAAGATTGACGTAAGAAGGGTTGCATAAGGCTGTGAAAGAAGGAGGCCTCATCCAGCCCATTTGATAGTAGCTAATAGATCCAAGCGTCTCATCCTCTCATCACCTGCTTCTTGAAGGAAACCGGGGTCTTGGCTTCAGCAACATGACCGGCTAGCTTGATCCATACTCCCCACCCACCACCCATTTGGGAATAATGCAAGGAGCAGGATGATCTTACAGGAGATGATTGCCTGTGCCTTCTCTGATGATTGTTCTGATCCAAAAATGGTCTCCTCTGCATAATCTCTCCAATGAAGCAAATGAGGACAGCAGAGACATTGGGTTTTTAATTCAGCTCTCATAGTGTTGGAGAAAAAGACATTCAATCAGACACACGAAAGTGAATAAGCATTCCATGTCAGGTTTCCCGTACTGGATGTTCCACTTTCCATCTGTGGAAGAAGCAAAGTTCTTCCGACAGAAGACGGAAACCTTTTCTTAATTTGTTCAGTGCATTTGTGCTCTCATTATTTCCTCCATTAGTCTGAATATCAGTTTCAGACTTCCCTATGTATGTGCAAACATTAACGTTGACTTTTGTTCAGCTCACCAAAACTTGTGTCAAGAAAAATGACGATTAAACTTTTTAGATTAAGCCGCAAATGGGGTTTCGTATCTCAGATGCTTTCTCTAGTGAGTGTGATGGAAACCAGCTAGCAGAAGCGATGCTAGTTCCTTTGGAGGAAACAGGAATTTTGGGTTCGAACAGGAACACTCTGGCAAATGAACCCGCCCATCAAGATGTGACGAACCCACTTCAGCTGTAGCCAGCAAATTCGACAAAATGTCTTTGTTCAAAACCAAAAAAAACAACTGGACACTCTGCCTCTAACTACAGTAAAAGTAATGCTATTCCTTTTCATTGTAATTACAAGAAAATTCTCAACATGTGGTGAGGAACTACTTTGACCGCCCCTTTTTAACAGACCCAGATTAGACCTAGTCTAGTTTGAACCTAAATTAACATCAGTCATGTTCGTGATCAGAGAATGAGAAACCGAATTAACCCATTTAAACTTCCTAGCACAAAACCCATGATATGTAAACATTAGGTTTTCCTTCCATAAAAAGTAAAATCTCTCACAAAAACACAAAACCTTTCTTTGTTACAGTCAGGCTTTTGATTTTTTGTCAGACAAAAAAGCCTTTGTTTTCGTATGTTATCTAATGCCGCCGCGAATACGGCGTAACTTTCTCCGTTATATACTTTGTTGATCTAATTCGTTGAAATATGGAAATAAGTGACCACCCTTTGCCTGAAACAGATCACTCTTGTAAACAGCGTCTGATTCGTCCTCCCTTCTTTCCAGCCAAAACACAAAACCACATGGCCATGGACCAAAAAATACACAACCCCACTCTTCCCGCCCTTTCTTTCTGATTGGTCGAGGCTTCTGGGTGGGTGGGAGGTGGGGGGAGAGAGTGCGTGAAACTGGTTCCATTTTGGCTCTGAGGTAGAACTAGCGGGAGCTGGTAAATTTCGCGGTAAATGAGAACCGAAATGGCGACCTACGAGGAAACAGTTTCGTGAAACCGTTAGTCCTTGTGGACCTGCGATTGGTGGGACCGGGGAACAATTTGCATATACACCCCGCCCACCGCTAGTCTCGCCCTCCTTGGGGCGGTGGAGCGCTGACAGACAGAACTGGAGGCAGTTGGTAGTGAACGGGCGAGGAGTTTCGGCGGCTGTTGTTACTGTTATTTGTTATCGCCCTGTCGTTCTTTTTTTTATCTTAAAATACAGGTTTTTTAAAGGTGGTCACTCATGCCAGACTGGACAAGTCCCACAAGTCCACCTCTCCCATGAATTGAGTGCTAAAAGGGACCTAACGCCGGTGAGTACGTTATTTTCGAGTTTGACTGTTGCTCTTCTGTTCTGCGGGGACTCTGGAGAGCCGCCGAGTGGGAGGAGAGCGGGAGGGAGCTTCAGATTCAGTCTGGGGAGCGTTTGTGTTAACTTATAATTAGGTTATACATTCATTCAGCATCAAACACAGCAGGTGACAGCGCATCTAAAATTACCTTCTCTCAGTCCCGTTGATGTTCATCTGCAGATCAGCCGAGGGAGGCACTTGAATATTTATGGGGCGACGTGACTTCTGGGGAGAAGTTGGCATTTTAAATTTCAGTATGTGTTTTTTTTTCTCTCTCTGATGGGCACACTGAATCTTGGTTAATAATGTTCAAGCCCACAGTCAGTGCGGCTTTTACTTTTGTGAACTCATTAACATAAGTATGTCATTTTCTTCTCTGAAAACTGTTTAGAACGTCTTCGATTTGCAAGTGGGTTTGCTCCTAATTTTTTTTAGCAAATAGAAATAGCCTGTACAAATAGGAGCAATTATTTTGCATGTTTTACTTGAGTATAGGTTCACACACGGTCACAAAGGGTGCCTTGGCCAATAATCACATCTGTAACGAATTTCTGTTTTTCCAGAGTTCTCCCCAAGTAGTTATTAAAATGAGTTTTCTTGTTTCGACTAACGTCACATCAGCGCTGTCCTTGGTAGACTATGATTTTAGGCTTTACATTCTAGTCACAATGTTTTCCTTACACACGATTCATATACTGTAGGTTTTATTCTTACGGCTTTTGGTATTCAGGATGAGCTTCTCCTGTAGTGACATTATACCACATATATTAATACGTCCTCTTTATCTTTATGCAAGAAATGTGCTCACTTTATTTTCTGCCTTTTAATTAATTAATAATATCTGTTTTTGATAATAAACGACCGCTGTCCTAAGTCTTTTTCATTTCAAAACGTTTGCCATTCATAGCTTATCCCTGTTCTCAAATGTTCAGTGTCTTCTGGTCTTATACTCATTTGTGAAAGTTAATATTAAAATAGAGGCAAACAAACAGATCCTCAGTGACCTTAAATGACACAAGAGTTGTATAGTATATTTTAATATATAATACAGTATTTTAATATTTAATATAATATATTTTGTGTTAAAGGATCTGAGTTGGAGATTGTCCTTATGTTATTAATTTTTTTAACTGAAAATGGCTTGAATAGAAGGTACTGAATAGAAGAAAAACAAACGTTTTATCTTATTTTAGGTTGTTTGTAATCTTCCTCTTGTTCCTTGTTGTACTGGCAAAATTGACGGTTTACTTGAATTTAAGCAGTGAATAGCATAAATGTGTTTAATGGCCCCCTAAATATTCAGTAGGAGGATCCTGTCTTATTAATGAACCTCCAAGCTGTGAAATTTAAGCTGATTGGTTTGTGAATTTCAAATACTGGTTTATGTAAAACTTGTGCTTAAGCACAAGGGTGTTATAAAGGCTAGTGGACACAAAATGTCTTTA